CTACACTAGAGCTGTGGGTTGGTCAACCATGCGTTCCCGACTGCTAGTTCTCAACCTCGAGACCTCATAGTGATTACTCGCTTCACAATATTCAACGTCTCAATCTACCCACCTTCAGACCTGTCTCTTTGTGGTCGAGCACTTTCTCACTTCGGCGCCCTGCCCTGATTGTGCCTGACTCCCGTCCGTAGCTAGCTGGATTACCCCGGGACAACCCCAAATTATTTCCGGCCTTCGTGCTCTCCTCGGAGTCAGGACACAAGCCACATAGTCAAGCAGATATTTGCATGGGATGATGGAGAATTTCAAAAAGCTTCTCCTGCGGGTCGTATTCGGTTGGCTACTTAGGTATCATGGACATGGGTGGGTACAACAATTCTATGCTAGAGCTGTCAGGATATGTTTGTGGGAGTACCGGCTGTTACATCTTAGTAGCATAGTGGATAGATTGGAAACGTTGGATGTATCTTCCGTTATTATCATCGACGGCAACATATAGATCGTCCCTAAAAGTTCGTAGTCCAGTTCACATATGCTTGTGTGCTTCGGTTACGAGATGTACATTTCATTTACGCCCCTGCCCAAAGAGAGTCTACCACCAATTTTGTAACCAGATACATCAGTCCGAACATTAGCCCTGCTCATATCTACCTACACCCAAATATGAAACATTGTGTAGAATAATCTGAAATACAGTGGGAGTAGGAGTGGTTATAACAGAAGGACCAGCGCCCCAAGGCAACGTCGGGGGTCAGAATAGCCGGGGGGCTCAAACTCAGCAACCCCGTTCATGCAGCAATTTGTTCTGTAGAAGATATAAAATTAGCTCTCGGCACAAAGGGTAAGTGTTGGGTACCTGTGCCTCAGGCCATTGACCATTCCTCGCCTGAGATGTCATGCAGCCTAGCCCACATTCTTGTTTACGGATGAGATGCTGCGACGCCTTTGTCAACTGTAATTCATGACGAAGGAACAAATTACCTTCCCCCTAGCTTCTAACTACAAGACTCATCATCTAGTTAGACTTGTGGGATCACCGACTCACAGCAACTCTTCAAATCTACCAAGTATCCTCACATCTGTGTCAAGCTAAGAAGATCGACCTATCTAATTAAACCCTCGAGGCTGTGAGAAAATAAAGAAAACCCTACACTCGTTCCAGTTCCCCTTGTCTTGGCCTGCATTCTCGATGTCGCGGTGTTAGCAAGACCTCGGATCGTAGTTAGTATACGGCTCCCCTATGGTAATTAGCTGATTCCTAGGAAGGTCGAAAACAGACTCATGGTAGTGATCAGTAGCACCCCCAGATGTGTGAACCTGAGTTCATATGGCATGTTTAAATTTAGTGTGAAACATCACAGGGCGGCCCCTGGAATAGACTGCGAGATAGCCATACCTCAACGGACGTGAGTGGCACGGTCCTTGTTTACAAACATAATGTCAAGATTCAGATATGAAACGAGAATAATGGGTGATGTAATTGAAGGGGGCCGGGGGGGAAGGGGGAAGAGTTGAGAATGCACACAACCCATGCGGTCTAGTCCAAAATCGAACACCTCCCTCCAAACTTATATGGATGGTCAAAAGATATGGACGTTGTAGCCCCCGGGTTCAGTGATGCTCATACCCTCATGGATCACCCACTTGTTGAGTGTTGAGTCAACATGAATTTCGTGCCACTTGCGTGGCAACATTGTTCCTCACGTTCGGCGGTTTCCTCAGCAAATGGGTATACAGGTCACGCATAGAGGGTCATGGAAGTCGTCAAAGGTTTCAAACCGGGCTTCTGTCTCAGTCGCCCTGGTTGCTTCGTACTGCGAGATTCGAACCTCTTGCATCAGGGTTGGTTCACTGGGCTGGTACTTCGGTGATCGTGTATTTATGACGGCATTCTCTTGGAAAATTTGGGATATTATCAGGAGTTCAAGCTCTTGCCGTGATTTGGGGAGTAAGACTGGTACGCAAAGAGTGTAAGAGGCGTATTATCAAAACTAAAACGGGGCGGAGCTCGGCGCGACTGTGCGCCGAGAGTGAGCCGGTAGCGGCACCGGCGTTGCAGTGGTCAAGCTAGACTGGTTTGACCACAGCGGCTGATTGGTTTCGATAAGACCGGTCTTCTCGTCGGTTCCTCGATGTATAGGCCATGGATACGATACAACTGGGAGCTTGCCGTTGGTCTCGACGTGTCAGCTTCTCACCCTGAGTCATGATTTACACAAGTACATGTACGACGAGTTGAAATCCGATTTTGGGAGGTTGCAGCAGCGGTCGGGTTGCACCACATAAGGCCCCTTGCTTTGCGATCTTGTGTTTCGCCCCGTGGCGTTAAAGTTGCGGGTGTCCTGTTGCACTTCAACGTGACACTGTGTCGCTGGGCCATGGTATCTTAAGGGGTTTCACAACAGGCAAGAGCGCGGAAAACCGCCAGCCGCCAGCGCCAGAGCACCGGAGCGGGCGGGTCCGGCGCTGCATCGTGAGAAATATTGTCTCAACGGAGTATTCGTCGGACGAAAAGTGTGGAAAATGATCAGCAGTTTCCTGAATTGGGTTACTGCACCATGCTTGCCCATTGCCCAGTCTCGGCTCTCCGAGAAATACTCGTCCGCTGTTTAGCAAAAATCGGCAAGTTGAACGGGGTTTCAAGAAGTTGGCAGAACGTTCACCGGAGGCCGAAGCGGTCAATTCACGGAGTTGAGGACCTTGCGGGTTGATGTGGTGGGGCACCGCGGGCTCGGGAGTTTGCCGGTTCCCACCCTCCATTTCAGGAATGAAAGTGGGCGGATTGCTATGGCCAATGGAAGTTGGCCGCCTGGGCAAAAGTCACAAGACGGGGACCCTGAAAACTAGCTGCCCGCGGGTGGTGAGGACGGACGGAGCTTCTTAATCGGACGGCCTCACGGAACGGGGTTTGGCAGTTGTTTGTGACTCAGAGGGATGGAACTTGGTTGCTGTTATCCTGTTTGGAGGAACAATGGATGATGATTGCGATAAAAAGTCGGGATCGATGCATCTCGCTGGCAGAGGTCTTGCTGGTAGTCTCGTTAGGTCGGTCGTGTGTCCAGTGGCCGTTCGGTGCTATTCCGAGCGTCCCAGTCAGCAAGACAACTGTGCCCGTTGGAGGAACGTGGCACGGTAAGCACGGCTGGCGGTCGCGCCACTTGAAGGTATTTGTGGGAATTGGTCGAGTCAAAAAAAAGGGATTGTCGGGCGGGAGCCTGCTTGCCTCCGCGATCGCCGGAGTGTGCTCTTCTTTGCCGAGTTTGACTCTGGTCCGCTATTCCGCTCCACGGATACAATGGAAAAGGGGGTTGCACCTCAGGATACAAGTCAATTGATGGTTTTGCGAAATAGCCGGAACTAGAAGAAATGAAATGTGAGGTTCTTCAGGGACCGGGGAAACTGCAATCGAACCTGATCTTTTCCTCCCTAGGCAATTCGTGGTTGTTGAGGGAGGCACGGTCGAGGGCAACATGTCGCACGAAAGCAGATCGAGGCTTGCCGTCGCGGTGATAGCGAGCGGTCTGACAAATGGAACCTCCCTGGAGGCTGAGAATCGCGAAATGCTCCACCACCCGTCAAGGTGGGTGGTGGTGGGGCGCGATGGGGCTGACTGGAGCGATTCCCCACTGTGGGGGTGGGTCAACGACCGTTCGACCCTTCCATTTTCGCTTTCCAGCTTTCTCGGCGGTGGCTCGCCTCGCTGGTGTAATGGGCATATGCGTTTTGTTGGGATCCCCGACAAGATTTCGTCTCCGGACGCTGCTTTCCTCAATCTTCATCCGAGCGATCTTCCTTTTGCGTTTTCTTTCCTGTTTTCCCCGATCATTGTCTGCTATTTGCGCACGCCACAAACAAGCCCACCGGGCCGAGTCCCAGCTGACCGAAGGCACGCGCACGTTACCCGACGTCAGCCCTGTCGAACAAAGGGTCTTGGGGTTGGACAGTGCAACTCTCAATGCGCCGCTGAGTTTCGAAACGCGCCCGTTCCCCCTCCGTCCCCGCTCGTGGATCATCCCGCAAACACTGTCGCCACAGCTTTGGGACATCGAGGGATTCGCGGATTCCGCAGTTGTTTCCCCGAGATAAGCATCGCGGCAACAATGGCGGCTCTGGGAGAAGCGGGTCGTGTGCTTGGCGTCGCGCGTTTTTGGGTTTTTTTGCTGCAGGTTGAAGTGGTCGTCCACAGCATGCAGTGTCTCCGGCTTGGCGTGGCCGGCTTGGTTTGGGCGGAACGACTCGGGCGAGGGAGTGTTGCACCTTTACGGCCACCGCTCGGCGCACTTCGCTGCCTGATAGAGCCGGTGGGCGGTCGGGTCATCCACGAGCTCGGTTGACTGCCCGTATATACAGTATATACAAGGACGTTGGGCACAGCAGTTCGGTGAGGCGCGGGCAACGTCTTTTGTCTTCTCTTCTCTCTTCGTTCTGTGGCTCGTTGTCTCCTCTGTCGACACGGTCCAGTTTTGAAGCTTTTCGAACTGTGCTTGCTTTGAGGTTATTGTACTGTGAGTGCCACCAGTTGAGTCCCTGCGTTTCGTTCCGAACCCCCCCAACCCTGTCCGAGGCTCCATCAGGAACAGGGGCAGGCGATCGTTTCTCGAACGTTGTCTTTCCGCCACCGCCCACGCCGAGCCCGGCATCCCAGCCGTTGGCTGCCGCCGGCCTCGCACCCGCCTCCACGACCCTGCTGTCTCGCCGTTTCGTTCTCCCATTGTTGGGGGTCACCTGGGGACGGACGGTTTTGCTCACGTTGCCGCCCAGATCATATAAATACATCTCGGCTCTTTATTCCCTTCCCACTTCCCGGACGTCCTCCCGAGCTTCCTTCCTCTAACAACACCCTCCCCCACGATATTCTGACTGAGCCACGGCCGCCCTCTGTCCACCCACGAGTCCTCCAAACGACTGCTGGGCGCTCTTCACCGCCCTTTGTTCCCGGGCACCCATCTTGTTCTTGGTCTTTTAGGTAAAGAGAGGACAAGTCCATCTCGTCGCCGAGCATGTATGGCTACTCATCGTCGTCCGAATCGGACGATTACTACAACTACCGCAAGCACAAAGGCGCCGCCCCCGCGCCAGCCAACCCCAACGATGCCAACAAGAAAAAGAAGAAGCGCAAGGCGCCGCCGCAGTACAGTATCAACCGGATCTGGAAGCGTTTTAGCAATAAGCGGTTTAACAAGGCGCTGTCGGTACTGCCCTTCGATCCGGTTCTGCCACCCACCATCTCGGACCGTTCAAACGAGTTGCTGAGTGCCGGGTATGAGCGCGCCGCAGAGGAATGTCGGCGCAAGGTCCGGAAGATTATTCAAGAATGCCGGAGGGTGAACACGCGGTACCGGGACCCCGGTTGGGACTTGGTAAGTCCTTGGCTATTTGTTTCCCCTCCTACCTAGTCGAGTGTTCTGCGATCTTGGGAACCCTGACGCTAACGGCGGTTTGGTGTCGGTAGGACTGGGACCTTAAGATGGAAAAAGGTCATACGCTCAACATACTTGGACGAACCAAATTCGACCTCAGCATGTCGAGCATGCTGAACCCGGGCTCCATTGTGCCCAAGGCGGTCAAGCGAGTACACGAGATCTACGAGAAGCCGAAATTCTTGGGGAACATCAGTGGGTCCGACGTCAAGCAGGGCAACATCGGGGACTGCTGGTTGATGTCTAGTCTCTCCGGCCTCGCGAATGTTAAGGATGGCATTCATCGCATCTGCGTCGAGCACGATACTCGGATCGGAATTTATGGATTTGTCTTTTACCGAGGTGAGTGTCAAGAGCAAGAGGGAATCCAAGCTTTATATCGGGAGTATGAGACTGTACTGGACAAGTAGAGCTGACAGCGATACAGACGGAGAATGGATTTACTCTATTGTGGACGATAAGCTGTTTCTCAAGTCCCCCTGCTGGGATTCGCCGAGCTTACAGCGCGACCTCTTGCAACAGATCGACCGGGAAGATGTCGAGCGGGTGTATCGCAAGACATACCAAACGGGCTCCAAGGCGCTGTTCTTCGGGCAGTGCAAGGACCAAAACGAGACTTGGGTACCTCTCTTCGAGAAGGCTTACGCTAAAGCCCACGGTGACTATGCATCACTTGGGGGTGGCTGGATCGGTGAAGGACTGGAAGATCTCTCTGGTGGCGTCACGACGGAGCTCCTTGCTTCCGACATCCTCGATATTGATGGGTTCTGGGACAATGAGCTCAGCAAGGTCAACGAGGAGTTCCTCTTTGGCTGCAGCACCGGTCTCTTGGATGGCGGGTACGGCCAGCGAGATGGAATCGAGGAAGGCCATGCATACGTTGTGATGGAAGCGCGGACGCTCAAGGACGGCACCCGGCTGGTTAAACTCAGGAACCCCTGGGGCACGACCAAGAAGGGCATTTGGGAAGGTGCCTGGTCGGACGGTTCGAAGGAGTGGACGACCGAGGTGCAGGAAGAACTTGGCCACCAGTTTGGGAGCGACAGCGTCTTCTGGATTTCATACGACGACATGTTGCGGAAGTACCAGCACTTTGACCGCACGCGCTTGTTCCGCGACCCTGACTGGCGCTGCTGCCAGCGATGGATTGGTGTTGACGTCGAGTGGAAGCCGCAGTACCATGAAAAGTTCCACATCAAGCTGACGCGCGAGGGGCCGTTGGTCATCGTGCTCAGCCAGCTGGATAACCGGTATTTCAAGGGTCTCCACGGCCAGTATTACTTCCGGCTACACTTCCGCATCCACGAGCAAGACCGCCCGGACCCAGAGGATTACATTGTCCGCAGCCACGGCAACTACCTGATGAGCCGGTCCGTGTCGATCGAGCTGCCCTCGATGTTGCCGGGTACGTACAGCGTCTTCATCAGCGTGGCCGGTGAGCGGAACACCGATGTGCCTAGCATCGAAGACGTCGTCAAGCGCGAGTGTAAGAAGCGGATCGAGAACGAGAAGCTGGCGCAGGTCGGGTACGCCTATGACCTGGCGCACAGCAAGGCGTCGGCGCATCTCGAGGCCGTCAAGCGGGCGCGCAAGAGGGCCGACCAGAAGAAAGCCAGCGATGCGCGCCAGAGCGAGCGCCACCGTCTCTGGGACAAGCGGCACCTCAACCGTCAAATTACTAAGAAGCAGGGCCGTAAGAACAACCAGAAGCTCGAGGCCAAGCAGGCCGCCCGCGAGGAAAAGAAGCGCAAGGCGGAAGAGTCGAAGCCCAAGGACCGGGGCGTGCAGACGGACGACCCGAAAGAGAGGGAGAAGGAGGAGAAGGAGAAGGCTGCCGAGGCCAAGGACGATGCCAAGAGTGAGGATAAGAAGGAAGCTAAAGACGACACCACGAAGGTTCCATCCGAGGCTGCTGACAAGTCATCTGGAAAGACCGACGAGAAGCTCAAGGAGGCGGATGAGAAGTCTGAAGACAAACAGAGCGACAAAGCTGAGACGGACAAGGCGAAGACTGATGCTGAGTCTAAGAAGGAGGAGGAGCCGGCAGCGGCAGGAACTGCGGTTGAAGACTCACCCGATGGAACGCCGATTGCCACTCCTGTAGTGACTCCCGTTGTCGAGAAGACCGCAGCACAGATGTCAGAGAAGTCTACTCCTGCAGAAGCTGCTTCGGAGGACAAGAAGGAGGAGTCATCTAAGGACGTTTCTGCTGAGGGGCCCAAGGCTGTTGAGAGCAAGTCTGACGAGAAGTCAAATGAGAAATCCCAGGAGAAGCCTGACGCTACCGAGGCCGAAAAGCCCGCGTCCTCAGTTAGCTCCGATAGCTCCAGCAGCGGCTCCCCGACGCCTAAATCGGACACCTCCTCGACGCCCAGCACCGAGGGCAAAGACAAGGAGAAAGTGCCGGTTCCGCCTGTCAACGACAACGACCCTTCCAAGGTACCCGGCGGACCACCACCGCCACCCTCGCCCACACCTTCCGCCAAGTCCTCGCCCAAGCCGAAGCCCGCGACACCGGCATCCGCAGAGCCCGACAAGAAACCCGCCAACATGTACGTCACATCTGAGGGCGAGTCCAGCGCGTCGCCCATCTCCGACTGGGAAGAGCTCTACAGCAGCGACGACATGTCGCGCAAGCCGCGGATGGCCGCCCCGGCCCCGCCCAACACGGGCGTGGTCGGTAAGTACTACGACGAGACGGAGGACGAGGACGGGCCGGACCCGTGGAACGCGATTGCCGTCGTCGGCCTGCGGGTGTATTCCAAGGACGAGGACCTTGAGCTCCGGGTCGTGATTGAGGGCGGGGAGCTGGAAGAGGACGGGATGGGGGAGAAGGGAGGGGTGGATTTGGATAATGCGCAGGCGAATGCGGGCGGGGCGAGGACGAGCATCAGCAGCGGTAGCAAGGCGGAGAAGAAGGATGAGGATGCTGAGGCGTATGAGGGGGACAGTGAGGTCGATAAGACGAAGAAGGAGAAGAAAAAGAGACGGGAGAGTAAGGCGTCGAAGACTGGAGGGGACAAGAGCGAAGCGGAGACCGACAAGAACAAAAAGGAAAGCCGTAACGACAAGACGGGCGGCAACGACGACGACGACGACAAATACAAGACCGATGACGGGCGGGCGTCCTACCCTGTGATTGTCCAAAAGGGCAAGGGTGAGGACGAGTATGAGACTGCTGTCGAGACGATGCTGGATTAGGAGGGTCATTATTTTGGAAATGGGGGAAATATGGATTCCCATGTTTCTTCTATCTGCTTTATTCCTTCTCCTTTTGATGAACGATGAACCAGCATTCGGATACCCTACAACTAATGCATCTAGAATGCGCGAGACATATATACATAGAGGAGTTGGCGAGCGTTTTTTTTGGTCGGAGTTTTGGTCGGGTAAGACCAGTGGGTTTCTATCTCTTTCCTCTTTGGATCCCGCTCAGCCCCGGCCTCTTGTTTTGGGAGGTCTGTATACGAAGCACATGCCGCTCGATTATTTTAGACGCACACGAATCTCTGCTTCACTCCTGCTCAATAATACTACATCTGTTCAAATTGATCGATTTCGCGTCTGACCACCTGTTATCTGCATCCTTGGTATTGGTACCAAGTGACTTTCCTCGGCGGCTGTTAACGTGGCCCTAAATAGACCAAGGTACATGGTACATAGGTATTACATAAAAGTAGTGTCACTAAACCGAGGTAACCCCTGATCTAATAGACAAACTCCCAGTCTCCGTCTGCAGTCTACCCACTGAATCATCCTTAAACCAAAAATTAGTTCCTCCACTTAAGCGCCCAATATAATTATCGCTCCCTCTCCGCGGTTTGATGCGTATTAATTAATTGGTCTTCTTCCCGGCCCCGGCGCCGTTTACAACAGCCGGCTTACGGCCCTGCTGTGGCTGCTTGACGAAGCGCCCATAGGCAAGGTACGCGGCACCAAGAACGGCGATGATCGCGGCATTTCCTGTGCAAGAGACAGAACGTGTTAGTCCAAGACCAACTTTTCCTTCCATATTCCCACCCAGAAAACGGATTGGTAAAAAAAGTCGGTTCCAGGGTTGAGAAAAAGGAGAGGGGGAGACAGTTAGGGACGGACATACCAGCGACAAACTTGCCCACACCCCCGGCAACGTCAAACACGCCCTTGCCAAGATCACCAAGGAAGGCAAAGAAGCCGGTGAAGAGGCCTAGAATGCTGGCGACGAAGGAGTGGATGATGGCGTAGGCGGTGCCAAAGACGGAAGCGAGGAGCTCACGGATGGAGCTAAGAAGGTCCGAGACGGCGCTGGTGATGGCCATTTTTTTCGAGGTTTGTCGCTGTTGAGCCTTGGGTCTTGGTTCTTGGTTGCTTGTGGTGTTGTGTTGATGTTGGGTTTGGGGTTTTGATCGGCTTGAGACAAGGTTTGGTGATTACCGAAAGGGTGAAAGGGCGGGATAAGGGATTTCGTCGTGAATGAAGTTGGTGTTTACGGGAGAAGAAAGAGCGAGGGAAGAGAGAGGTGGGAATGCCCCGCGTTAGCAAGGTGTAAGTTGGGATGGTTGACGCGGGTGTTGTATGACGTCAACGGTTCAGGAGCCACCAAGAAGACCGGGCAGCACGCGAACCACAGACGGAATGGTGCATATGGGACAAAACACCCCGTGTGTATTACATCCTGCATTTTTGGACCATGTATGTGCTATTATACACGTATTGGCCAATATAAGCAGTGTTGGTGCAATTCGGTCACGTAAAGACAAGGACTCGGATTTCCAAAACGGGTATCTTCATTAACATTGACACTAGTATATCCGACGCTTTAGATCAATTACCCTTCGGTACGGTCCACCTCCTTCCCTTTTCCCTTTGGCGATGCAGGCGCAGCGGCCTCCGTCCCTTGCGGTCGTGTTTCCTCCTCGTTGGAGAGCGCAGACACCGCATCAGATGGCCGTTGCGAGTTGGCAGACGCAGTCGGCACTGGAGGCGTGATAGCGCGCGCAACCGACGTTTCGGGGACAGGCAGTTGCGGTGACGGGGGCCCTTGTGCCGGAGGAGTCGTCTCTGAAGTCTCCTGAACCGGGGGAAGGGTACCCGGGGGCGGGACTACAACGGGCGGAGCGAGGGAGCCGCTCATGGGGTGTTGCTGCTGGGTAACAACCGGGGGTACACCGGAAGAGGTCGGCGGGGTCTCCTCGTCGATCTCCTTAGCAACTCCCGTCGCGCGATTCGAACGGACGCAGAGGATGATGCCGAGGATGGCACCGGCAAGGAAGAGCACGCCAAGTGAAACACCGACGCCAATCGCAACCTTTTGCCATTGTTGAAGCGGGGAGTCGCCATATTCGTCGGAGGCCCCGTTTGAGCCCGAGCCAGATCCTGAACCAGAACCGCCCCCAGAACCGGAACCACCGTTGTTCGAGGAGCAGGAATACTGGCTGCTGGAACAAAATGTGGTGGTACCCGGGGCGTACGAACCGTAGCTGTCGAACTCCACGATGTTGGGCTGCGGAGCATTCCCGCTCGAGGCAAACTTGACTGGGGCCACGGCGATTTCCGAGTTGACAAGGTCAAAAACCAGGTAGCTGCGGCGCAGCAATGAGCCGCCTAGGATATGTTGGTCGTAAGAGCTGGAGCTTCCCGAGTTGTCGTCGTACCTTTGAATCCCAAATGCACACTGATCCGACGACGAGAGGAAGCGGCTGTAGGCCCCACCGCTGTAGCCCCCGGAGCTCTCGATAACGGAACGTGGGACGACGAGGTCGGCGATCTCCACGTTCAATTTTGGGCCGCCGGCGCCAGCTAGCTCGAATACGAGCTTCGACTTGTCGGTGGTCTTCCCGGCGTCGCAGGGAATGGTGTACAGGGCGATATTCTTGTTGTAGGTGGCGCCTGCTAACTTGGCCAGCGGGTCAGTCATCGTCTGCGGCAGATACGAGAAGATCTCAGATGAGCCGAGATAGACATCGAGTGGGAAGTCGTTGGTACGGATGGTCGGGAGGGGGTTTCCGTCGGCATCCGTGCCGTTGAGGCTATTGAGGGTGGTACTGAAACCATACGGCGATTGCGAGGACGATGACGAGTAGTAATACGGGTTGGCAATGCGCACCAGATCGCCCGTGTATCTCGACTTGTCGACGGCCCCGAAGAGAACGCTACCGGAGCTGCCTTGAGCGTCGTCAACCCAGAGGCTATAGGCGGCGGTCGGGATTTTGCCGGACGTCACCATCCGGTCCATGATGTTGGCGTATTCCCCTGAGGAAGTGGTATATGAGTAGGACGACGACGCATTGCGGCCCAGACCTAAGACTCCGATCCATCGAGTGGCAGCCGACGCGAGACCCATCGGGTAATCCTCGAAGGTCAGGCCGGCGAACTCGAGCTTGTCGGTCATGTTCATGCCGCTCGCGTAGTTGTTGTCAGCATAGCTCACAGAGAAGTCACTGTAGCGAGAGTTGGCGGGCAGGTAGGTCGAGGACAGAGATTTGTTGAAGCTGCCCCAATCACACATGGGGGCTAGCGTGTTGGTGAGATCGTCATAGTAGTCGTACTGGGAGATGTACCAGTCAGGAGAGCACTGCTCGGTGTTGGCATCCGGCACCCAGGTGTCACCGGAGGACGTTGAGAGCAGCAGCGTTACTTTTTGGGGCGGCGTGCCAATCGAGGCGTCGATCGCGTAGCCATATTGACTGGCCGACTTCAAGGTGCCGGTCTTGGAGTTGCGCGACACGAGTTTGTTGGTGTTGATATCGAGACGTTGGGTAAAGGGCAGCAGGATATGATCGGCGAGGGCGGAAGTGGCCGAGAGCCCGCCGATCAGCAACAGGGAGAAGAACGTGGAGCGCGTGCGGAACACCATTGTGCGACGAACGCTGACCCAATCGGAGAAGAATAAAGCAAACAAACCGACGGCAAAATAAAATAAAAGAAAAATGATCGAAAGGCCCGCAAAGTAAAACGAGTGGACGTCGATTCTTGCTACCTCGACATGGCGGCGGCGAGAATGACTTTTTGGTGCTTTTTGAACCAAGTTACGACGAAAATCGAGGCAAGTCAAGAAAAAGTTTGGCCGACGAGCGAGGAAGTCGGTCTTTTCTATTTTTGCCCCTGGTGCCTGGGGTTCACGAACGTGAGTGGCTGCCGCCAAAAATGATTGGCAGGCGAGGCGGGCCTGCCTGGCTTTCGTTCCCATCGGAGATTGGCGTCTTGGCATCTTCCCAAAGCTCAAGGCCGAGACCGAGTCGAGACCACACGAGGCAAAACATCACGAGATGTCCACAACTTTCTCCGGAACGGAGATATCTGTGATAACCATGCGAATGTGAGTATTTCGAGATGCTATGTGCATATGAACAGAATTTGGTCCGAATAGCTGCTTCAAGCCTCTTTTTTTGCTTTCTAGAATTGCGCCGTTGATCTTCTCAAAAGTCGGACGTCCCTCTGCCGAGAACTTGTGCAAAGCGCGTGCTAACCGCAACGGTCACTCGCTCCGCTGACACCGCGCACCATTCGTCAAACGAGCGTATGATGGGAACGTCAATACTCCCTTTTCTTCCATAAGGATGTTTGTAACATTCGTCTGTCGCTAGGGCAAAATCGACAGTAAATTATTAGAGTCCAAGGTGGAAACAAGTATCTTGGAAGGTACGGAGTACTGTGAATTGATTTGTTTCTGGCCCCTCCCAGATCTTCGTGGACTGATATTTTATCCCGCCCGACCGCCGGATATCGTCGCCTTTGCTAATTTGTCCCAGTACCGCTTCGACGCCCTTCTATTTCGTGTGCCGTCGGCATTCTATACATACCTAACTATTCATCCATCTACACAGTTCCATGCTTATTGTCCATGCAGTCCCTCGAGGTGCAGAACTGCGCTTTGACGGATTGATCAATGCCCCGCCTGCTTGATGCGGAAGGTGGGTCAGGGACACCCGTCGGGCTGCGGGGCGCTGCCGGACGGCCCAAGCTCGGCTTTGACGTCGTCTCCTCCGCTGCTCTCTTTCGATCTGACTCCTTCTTGTCATTGCCGTCCTAAGCCCTTTCCAGAACTCAGCAGAAAGAAACAAGATGCAGTCTGGAATCTCAGGTGCGTAAACCAAATAATCTCAGCACCTATTTTCCCGCGCAACCCCGCGCTTTGCTGACACTTTGTTCGCGACCACAGCATCGCGGGAGCTGGTCTCCCAGTTCAATGACCTGCTGGCATCCGAGGACCAGTTCGGGCTTCTTATCAGGATCAAATCCGAGCAACTGCAGCCGGTGCAGCTTCTGAAATCGTCGCCCGGGTCCTCATTCGAAAGCAACGTCGACTCCCTGTTAAAGCCGCACATTAAGCCGAACGAAGCCCTGTATATCATCCTGCGTCGATATGCCTCGACGCCCGCGCTCGTGGCCGTTACCTACGTCCCGGACCCCGCCCCCGTGCGCGAGAAGATGCTGTTTGCTTCCACGCGTCTCACCCTTGTGCGAGATTTGGGGAGCGAGCATTTCCGCGACTCCTTGTTTGCCACGACCGCCGAGGAGCTGAGCCCGGCCGGGTTTAAGAAACACGATGCTCATATCGCCCTCGAGGCGCCGTTGACCGAAGAGGAGCGAAGTTTGGGCGATGTGCGGCGGGCGGAACAGGAAGCGGGCAGAGGCACTGGGACACGGGAGATTCACCTGAGCAAGAATCTGGCAACCCCAATTGCCCAGGATGCGCTGGAAGCGCTGAAGGATCTGGGTGCTGGGAATGGCCGGTCGTTGGTCATGCTGGTGAGGTCCCTCGTTTTCTGGAACACCCACCTTTCTATTCTAGTCTACGCTTTATGCTTGCTGTTGTCAGTCACTAATGATGGCATAACTTAGAAAATTAACCCCGACTCCGAGTCTGTCGAGCTAGTTCCTGACAATTCCACGCCCGGATCGATTCCCGAACTCGTTCGAACGATTTCTCCGACCGAGCCACGGTTCACGTTCTACCGTTTTGCGCATACGCAGAACGGTGTGGAATCCAGTCCCCTGCTATTCTTCTACACCTGCCCTAGCAACTTCAGCACCAAGGCCATCAAGTTCCGCATGATGTATCCTCTGATGAAGCGGGCGGTCCTCACCATTGCTGAGAAGGAGGCCGGGTTGCAACCTGAGAAGAAATTCGAGGTGGAGGACGCAAGTGAGATCACGGAGCAGGGCGTTTTGGAGGAACTACACCCCAAGGTTGAGGTGAAGAAGACGTTCAACCGTCCCAAGCGCCCGGGCCGGTGAGAAGTTGAACTTTGATGCTTCTGACATGCAGGTGCTTGTGAGACAAGCACGGACAAGATCATTCTGGAACTTGAGACCGTTCACGATGCAGCAGCTCGAGTCATCTGGAAGCTCGAGGATGCAATATGTAGTATGTCGAGTTTCCGGAATCGCCTAGAACAAGTTGAGAATATCTGTGCGATGCTTCCAAGATTGCAGTATAAATACTCGGTGTCCCCCCGATTCTTGTCCCAGTTCTCCTTTCGATCTTCGTCCAGTTCCAACGCGTCTAGCCGTGGTCTATTGTTGTCTCAAACCAAAAAATAACCTCTCTTCTCTCAAACACACACAAACTACCAAACACACACAAACATCTTCTCTCTCTCTGTGTTTAAAAAAAAAACAACTCAAACACACATCAATAGTCCAAACTAAGGCTATTCCCGATGGCGTGACAAACATCAAAATGTCTCGCCAGCACCAAGACGCCCCTCTCCGCGCCTCTCGCGCGGTGAGCCAAAAAAACGGAACCCAAGACAACAAGTTCCAAAAAAACAAAAACAAAAAAAACAACGCCAACACCGGCACCACCACCAGCACCGGCACCAGCACCAGCACCAGCACCAACAAGCGTCACATCTCAGATGTGTCGTTCGGGCAGCTCTTCTGCGACGAGGCGGATCAATGCCTCACGATCCTCCCCCTGGGCCGTGGACACTCGGCCCAAACGCAGCTGGTGCACAGCACTCGCCTCGGCGAGAGCTGTGTTCGAAAGACGCTGTACTACAGCGCCCGGGAGCCGTCGATGCCCCGCGAAAAATACGGCCGGTTCAAAACGATCCTCGCCGACGAGTTCGACCGCGACGCCAAGTTCGCCCACGAGCTCCACGCTGCCGCCGCGGGGATGGGCTACCCGCTCCGTGTACCTCGCGTACTCGGTGCGGGCACCAAATCGACGGCCGACGGAGGCAAGGTCTCCTACTGGGAGCCTTGCAACGGCGGCACGCTCTGGGGCTTCCTGGACCGTTGCCGCCGCGAAGGGTTCGTGATCCCGCAAGGGTTCGCTCTGCACATTCTGCTGCAGATTCTGGAGACGCTGGACTTCTTCTACACCGGCCTCCAGAAGGAAAGTCTTCCCCCTCCCTCCCGCTCCCTTCCCCTTCCTGCAAGCTTCGGCTGAGAGCAAAGATTCGCTAACACCCCCTCACAGCCCCTTTTCCACCAAGACCTGCACGCCAACAACATCATGTTGCACTTCACTCCGGGTCAGTTTGTCCCGGAGGTCCGCATCATCGATTTTGGCCAGGCCACACACTTCCCTGTTGGACCCGGCGACCCGACCAACAGCCTCAAACGACATGGGGTTGTCCACTGGGACATCCCCAACATCGTGAAGCTCTTGGAAGCACACCTGATTCCTCAGACCCTGCTGCGACCCGCGTACCATAGGGTGCAGGTGATCGCGTCTCAGCAGCGCCTCACCCTCGGATGCCTGGTACGCAGCATCATCCTCACGAATGCAGTCAAGAAAATGAACAAGCTCGACGAAATGAAAAACGCCGACAACAACAACAACAACGACGTCGACGGGCAAGACCCAGTCGTCGTCGACCAACAAAACAATCAACGAGAAAACGGTCGGGGCCGCAACCGCCCCGACCTCTTCAAACAATACTATGCCGGCATCAAACGCCATTACCGGCATCCAACCTTTCCCGGCCAAAACCAAGTCCCGGACGAGAAACTGGACCCGGACCTACAGGCATGGCATCAGCGCCGTGCCTGCCCGGACCCTCTCCACGTTGCCTTCCACATGCTCAACGATCTGCACCAGCAGTTCACCGATCGCATGACAGAAGCCATCCTGGAGGCCACACAACCCCCCAACGCCAAAGGGCTCATCGACGCCTTCCCCGTCCCGTCTTTGCGACCCATCATCAACTTCCTCCGGTCCGTCACGCCGGCGCAACTGCGGCCGGTCGTGACGGGTCGGGTCCGCACCGATGTTGGGGAGCTGAGTCGATTCCGCGAGCTCATGCTCGGGCCGCACGGGGCCAAGGCCCTGGAGCGGTTCGGGACTACACGCAGACCTATCTTCCCAACCCTGCGCGAGCTCGCGGAATGGCTGGACGAGAATAATCTAGCCGCCGGGGTAGGCTTGGGGGGAGTCAGCAACCCTCCCCCCGATGCGACAAAATCTTGGGGGGTGGCGATGATTGTGAGGAGAAGGATACCCGGTGATTGGGTGCAGTTGGAGATTGGGAGGGTGCTGAAAGCGAGGGTTTGCATGGATATCTTAAAGGAGCTTTATCCCAATCGGAACTGGGATGATGATGGGGATGATGATGATGACGAAGAAACAGAATCAGAAGAAGAAGGAGATGATGATGAAGAAGAGTACGATGATGGCGAGGAGTGTGACGATGAAGAGGAGTTTGATGATGAAGCTGATATGATGGACATTGACAAACCCGGGGACAGCGGGTATGCAGCAGTTGCTAAGAGTGATGACTCAATCCTGTAATTTAGAAGAGACCAAGCGATTCGTCACAGCGTTTGGTTTCTAGACATTCCTGTATTACTGTTCGCCTGTATTTTTTTTTTTTGACTGAACGAATCAACATAGCGTTTGGTTTCAAGAATGTTTCGCTGTTTGCTGTGCATAAAAGTGAGCCAACTCCTGCGGAAACCCCAAAGTCAAAAGCGTGTGTTCCGTTCGAAATGACAGAGCATTCGCGTCCCGTGTTGTTGTATTGAGCTTCCGTCTTCTGCCTGTCACAACACAACTACATATCCTTCGCGTTGTGATCCCCCAACATCTTCAGTGCTGCTACCCGATTCTCCGCCAGCATGTACAACAGTCCCGCCACCACCTTGCTGCCCTTCCGGGCACTAAGCAGCTGAGCGCTCTTGATCAGGTTTTTGATCTCACGCCCGTTCAATGCCAACTCCGAGAGCCGGTCGAGTTCTTCCCCTGTAATCTCAAACTTGTTCCGGCCAAAATGGTCAAAGAAGTTGTTCCACACTTGCTTGCGGGCGTTGGCGTCGAGGTCCCGGTAAGGAAGGAAGAGATCCACGCGCGACTGGAAAGCATGGTCAATACTTGAGAAACGGTTCGTCGTCAAGAAGAGGATTCCCTGGTAGTATTCGAGTTTTGTGAGGAATACTAATAAGTTCATGCTGGTCAGTGGTAATTATAGCAAACGGGTTGATAACGTTGTGGGCCTACTCACTGGCCACGAGCTCATTTTTCGCGAGTGTGTTGCCCTGCCTGGCTCCTAGAAAGACGTCGGCCTCGTCAAGTAACAACATGGCATTCCACAGCCGGCAGAGCTCGAGAACCCTTGTCAAAATGGACTCGACGGTTTCGGGACTGGCTCCTAGCATTCCGGCGCTCATTACGTACAACGGGACGCGAGCTTTCTCGGCCACGGCTTCTGCGGTGTATGTCTTGCCCACGCCAGGCGGGCCAAACATGAGGATGATAATGCCTCGTCCTGGTTAAAAAGGGTCAATTAGCACAACCATAACCCGCCGACAGCCCGCATAATATCACGGATTCCACCAACCTTTGCCGGGCACAAAGTCATCCACACCCTCGTCCGATTTAGCCTTGCTCTCGACAAAGTCCCAGGCGAGCTCTTTCTCGCCCCCAGGCAGGACGAGGGTGTCAAACGCCTTGTCGTTCCATTCAATGTCGCTAAGGCTGTCAATTTGGAAGCGACCTGGCCTGTGTTATTAATGTGATGTACTTCGTAACGTATCATAAAACGGCCGTAGGGGATTACACAGTAATTAAGCACGAGACTCCTTTACTCACCCCACTTCTTCTGCGTGAGATCAAACCCAATCATCCACGGTGAGACAAGAAGGCAGTGCTCCTTAGAGAGCTCGATCAATTCCTGAGAACGATGACGAGCGCGGCTTGGGTAGCCAGGGCGAGCCGCGACCGCCGGCTCTGGCTCGGCATCCGAACTTGTCGCCAGTGTTTCCGGGCAGGACGCGTCGTCGTTTGACTCTGAATCGCTGGTCTCCGGGCTGCTGGAGTCGGTGTGCCCCAGATCCTTCAAGTTTGGCTTGACCATCTTGTTGACTTGGTAGTAGGCATATGCGTCTACCATTACCCGGCCTGACACCTGAGCTAGCAGTTAACAACAAGACTGGTGGAAATCTTGCCATGACCAACATGGTTGACACAGTGCAGCCGAAAAGCTTACCGTCGTCTCTTCATGGTTGCCGGTGATTGGGATCATGATACCCTCGTAATTCATGTACCGGCAGCCCCTCAGCTGCTGAAACCTCAACCCCCGAGCCATGGCCTCCTTCTTTTTCAGATTGGAGTCCGGCCGGAACGATAAGGGGTATACAGGGAGCGAATCAATCGACCGATGACCCTTGTACTTCAGGATAGCGACATTCTCTATCGCAATCCCACACTTGCTCCCGTTCCACTCCACAAACTCGACCCTCACGCGCCAATGCGGCGGTACAGGTCCCGGATTAGACTCCTTATGGCATGCCAACACGCGACAGATAGCCTGCACGCCTCCCAGCGTCGTCCACACAAGTTCATTCGGAGGGAAGATCTGCCAGAGCATGTCCCACGCCACATTACCGGTCATCTTGACTTCGAAGACGTCGTGGACCAGAGGCGTAATCCGGGGTTGTAGAAACCGGAACAGATTGTTGACCGCTTCCTTCTTCGCCAGTTCCACCTCCTCGTCTCCCGAGTCTTGCATCTCTTGGTGCATCCGCTGGATATTCTTCCACCGATGCACGAGAGGCTTGAACGGAATATCAAAAGTCCAGAATGCCAGGGCGGGGTTCAAGTCCTGGTAGTTTTCCAGGGACTTGCCAAGGAAGTCTCTCATCAGCGGGCAGTTGACGGAGAACGAGGACATCTGCCAGCCTGTCGCGCGATCGTGGGTGAAGCGTTGGACGATGGATTTGAGGCTCATCTCGGCGCCTAGCTCGGCCTGTTCCGGGGCGTCGCTGGCATGCTTGGACCAGCGGGCTGGGCACATATTGGTGGGGCATTTGTGTTCAAAGAGGGAGTGGACGGCGGAATCCTGGGAAGCGGCGGCTTGGTGAGCGGGAGTTCTGTTAGCTGGACTGCTACGGACTATCTTCAACAGTAATTAGGTCGCTCATAATTCTTACTGCCACTTGTATTTGCTTTGTCCTTGCCATCGCCGCCCCAAGGTGTTTCGTTGACGTAGGTGTCCCGTCGGACTCCGATCGGCACCTTGGTCTCAGACGAGGGCCGGGTACCGAACCCGCGGAAACCGGGCGGCGAGCCGTTCATGGCCGGGGGTCGAGTTGATGGGTGGCGGATGGATTTTGTTGCCGAGTGATGTGTGTTGATGAAGGCGAAATATGTGAAAGGTTTCAAAGGTTGTTAAATAAACAATGGGACTTGGGTCATGATAATTAGCTAAACCTTGGAGATTTGCAACAATATGAATGAAGGTCAGTCACACTTTGGGCACCAAGACCAAGTCGAACCAGAAAAAAGAGACATCCCAATTCTTGGGCGCCCGCCAATGTCGTGGTCAGCTGCCAACGCAGCTGGCCAACCATAAAGGGCTTGTGAACCCAACTGCAGATGGTGAATGTCGGGGATGGGCACAGAGCGTGAGCGGATGTGGTTGGGTGGAACATCAGCTGGCAACAACAGCAGTACTGAGGATTCAGGAATTCGGAACACAAGAGGTAGAAAAAAGAAGTCAAGGGTAAATAAAACAAAGTGAAAACGACAGTGAATATTTGAAAAACGCCCAAAAAGGTACTCTCCCGCCGGGAATTGAACCCGGGTCTCGAGCGGAGTCGATCATGACAAGCTCACATACTGACCACTATACTACGGAAGACTCGCAGGTGTTGACACCTGCTGTAGCACGATTGCATGGGATCGGCGTCCAGACCACGGCATTATCAATGCACAGCGATATGGTTATGGTCGACCAACACGCCTCGGGTTGGAGAAAGGCTCCAGTGTGTTTGATTAAGCCTCTCTGGGAAAACCATTTAATTACCCCATTTTGAAGTTATGTGCAAGGCTATAAATAGCTCGAAACATGATCACTTTGATCGCAGTGCGTTGAATGATTCTAAACCAAACCACCCCCCATGCATCCGACCTAAATAAGACACAGTCCGCCGCCCTCCATCGAGTCACTGTGTCACACAATATTGCCCGACCACACTTAACTGGCCGCCATCAAAGCGATGTGCTTGAGTTCGCTAGAAGTAACGTTAGTACCAGGAGCGCCATATTGAAAACAATAGAGCATGTGCCATCAACTCACCTCTGGACCTGCTCCCCAACCTTCATCGGCGGGTATTGCACCTCCTCGCCCTCATCCTTACCCAAGTTTAACTGCTGCAGTCTCACATTCTTCGCCTTCTCTTCTAACGCCGGGATCGGCGCTAGGTCATAGTCCGACGACAAATGCCAAAAGAAGGTTGACGAGATGCGCACCAGCGGCCGGTCGGGGAAGCGGGCCCGGCGGTCCTCGATGACTTCCAGGGTACGTTCGTTGACGACAACTTCGTGGTAGCCTGCCTTGACCAGTCCGCCTGTGGCGTGCTCCAGTTGCTTGCCAGCTTGCACTAACAAGTAGTTACCGCCTGCCGGGATCTTGACGGGGATGCGCTTGCCCGTGTTCCGCGCCCAGATGTGCAGGCCAGGGTAGCGTGAGCGGCCGTGGATGGTGAGGAAGTTAAGGTCGGTGTGGAAGCCGGCGAGGATAGTGTCTTTTTGGCCGTACTTTTGCAGGTCTGAGGCGGTTGGCGCGAGGAGGTGGGGGCTAGAGTGATGAGGTGAGTCTCTCGGTTAACTGTACGTCGAGTTGACCCCGACGGGGAATTATGAATAAAAGCTTACCCGTATCGGCCTGCATCCTTGAAAGTGTCCGCCTCCAGCCCTAGACCGACCGCAGTCATCTGAGTAAGGCCCTCAACACTGCTGCGAGTTAGCACCCCAAACTACGCCCACTTGATTCTTTTCAACCGCCAAGGTAAACCCGCTTACGCATTCTTCATCGATGCCCCCCACTGATTCATCACCGGGCCCCACCGCTCCTTGATATGCGGCGCATCTGGCGTGATGTTGGCCGCGTTCAGGCCGGGGAACTGCGTCTCATACGGCGGCGGTTCAACCATACGCCAAAAGAAGCGACACTTGGGGTCGGGCGAATGGGCAGAGATGTCGAGCGGGCGTTCAGCCGGGGCCAGGCGCTGGATCACGTTCAGACACGGCTCGTCGACGGCGCACTTGGGCTTTTCGGTATTCTCGAGCGTCACGCCGATCTGATACGCCAGTTCCGGCCGCTCGTCCTTCCGGAGGTCGGCCTCGGGCTGCGCAAAATAGTCCTCCAGGAGGTCCAGGAAGGTGTCGTTGTCATCGTCGGCTACGCGCGAGTCATGCAGGACTAGTGCGCCGTATGTGATGAGCGCGTTGGCGGCCTTGGTACATTCGGCCTGCACTTCGGGTGAGTCGCGGGGTTGGCGCAGGAAGACGTCGAGGTCAATGATAGGCAGGTCCATGGATGGTTCTTGCACCGACATCTTGGCGACGGTTCTCGAGGTGATAATTACGGACGCACTGACAACTTGGGTTCTACTTTTCGAGGTGGTGTTATCAATCTGGGCTGCAAAGACCAGCTGGTGTCGGTACTAATAGAGAGCCTTCGGGGGTTCAAGATGAAATTGTTTGCGCTTTGAAAGGTGTGTGAACTGCGATATGAGGCCTCGGCCTACCGATAACCCGCTTTTCGGGCCTAAAAATTACTTGGCGGCCCCATTTTGCCCTCGAATTCGCCCAAACAGGAAGGTTGTCTCCGCATCTTTAGTGGATGGATGTCAGGCGCCGCGGTCACCCAACAAGAAGGTCTCAGAGCCATGTGGCGGTTTCCGCGTGTCAAAGTCTTCCATCTGTGTTGTTCACAAGGCGCCAGTCGGCGAAGGCCGATATCTCAACTGGATTACCTTTTTCGACCTCTCAATGGCTGGATGTTCGAAGCGTTTCGTCGAGAGACGGGCCTTATGGCAGTAAAATGTGAAGAAAGTCGAGGCCACACACATCATCGAAACGAAACCTGGCAAAAAAACGGCCCAGATCAAAAAGCGACTCTCCCGCCGGGAATTGAACCCGGGTCTCGAGCGAAGTCGACGATGACAAGCTCACATACTGACCACTATACTACGGAAGATTTGCTGGTGTGGGCACCGGCTGTAGCGAATCGCGTTGCAGTGATTGGCGGTTGGCTACCCTATAAGGAGGCACGTCCGGGGTCAATCAGTGCAATCGTTGGCGAGAGTTGTACACGACATGGACACCAAAATTTTGATATTCGATGTGATGTTCCGTGAGAATCAGCCCTCTCCATCCACAAAGGATGCTCACAGTATGCATTGGGCTGATGATGCGTGAAGCGGTTGGCAAATCACTTCTTGAGCGTCTTCGTGCCAGTGGTCTTGGCGGGAACCCCGTCACAGATCACAGATCGTCAGGTCCCGAAGTGATAGATCGACAAGGAAAGGGGAGCTGAAAAGCTCCAAAGGGAGAGACACCACTCCTTTGGGCGTGGACTGGCTGATCATCAGATCAATTACTTTTTTTTTTCTTTTTTGGTAAGTTCCCTTACGGCCGCGGGAAGAACCGAAGAGGAGAGAATCAAATATGAATCAGGTCCGTTGCCTAGGGAATATAAAAGAGGAGAAATTCTTTTGCTTCCTGCTTCTCCCAGCTCTCTTCTCCAGACGCAATCGCCAACTCATCGCCCCCCAATCAGTTCGAATTCGTTTGTGGTTCCTCAACCGTATTTTTAGTCCAACCCCGATCCCAGAACGAACCCGTAAACATGATCTCCCTGCGTTCCCTTATCGCCGGCGCTGCGGTGTTGGCCGCTCCCGTCATGGCCGCCCTTTCGGCCACGCAGGTGACAGACGGTCTCAACAAGGTGACCCAGAAGTCACTCGAGCTCCAGCCGGTGGCCGACAGCATCACTGTGGTCAACGCGCCGCTTTTTGTTATCGGCCAAGGTCCCTTCCCGGTATGGCAGACCTCTTCTTTCATTCTCCCGATGGTTATGATCGGGTACAAGGACGGTTCCCTTCGATGATGCGAAGAGGAGACGACTGACTTGAATCGAATTCTGGTTAGGACCTTATCGCAGGATTCACTGATATTATTACCACGGCCGATACACTCGTGCACGGCGCGACGACGCGGTCTATCGATACCCAGGGTCTGAGCGCGGATCAAATCACCCAAATCAACAACGGTTATAAAAAGGTAAGACTGTGCGGACATATATCTGGATGCTCGCACGAGGGCTTGAGGTTTCGTGATACTGGTTACTAACAATTGTGGTTCACTCGATAGTTTGCAAATGCCCAGTCTAATCTGCTCAAAACCTTGGGGAACAAGGCTCCTCTGGTGGCCTCGGTTCCCGCGGTTGGGGCCCCTGTGGCTGCTGTGCTGCGGAGCCTTGAAGGTGTCGTTGATGTGAGTAACCTCCATGGCGTTGAGTGAAATTCTGTTCTATATCGAGGAACGTCAATCCCTAACCAAAGTGCCACGCTGGCGTACAGACGATTGCTTTCACCATCATTGGCCTGACCGGGGAGCCAGTGTCGCCCGGAAGGCTGGGTGAGAACGTGCACAACACTATGGCCCAGTTCGACAAGATTGGTAGCGCCCAGAAGCGCGCCAACGTATTTGTGGCCTAGTCGGTACCTCGATTGGGTAGGCTGGTGAGATGGATGGTGGCTACGGTGGCCCTCTTCTGTCCAGCCAGGAATGAAAGTGGACAGGCAGGCAAAGAGATGGTCGCCTCGGGGAGACAGGGTTGCGGAGGACTTGGCTATGAATAGCTGGTCACTGCCAGTTAATTGTTATTCTGTTAATGTTAATGTTAATCAACCAAAGCATGTGAGCAAACAACTAGATGCTGAAATTCTCAACCATTTTAACTGGGAATGAAGTCGGTCCCAAGATGCATAGGTAGGGACTTTGCTCGGCGAGGTGAGGGATGTCAGGGACGGCATCAATCCATTCCCAACGTGTCCAACGTAATTCGGTACTTACCTTACCCATTTGCGGGATTTCACGGATTGATTCATTACACGACTTGTCAAGACGGCCCGTGAACCATCCCACATTCAGTCGTCGGTCGAGCTGGGGTTGTTGACAAATTTCCCGGCTAGCCGCTCACTCCTTGAAGATATTATCAGGACCAAATTGGTTGGCGCCCAACGTTTCGCCATGAAAATCAACCGGCCAAACCTCCCAAGCAGGGCAATTGACGCCGAAAAGCTTGACGGGCAAGGGCATATCACCCCGGTAGAATGTTATCATCACAATCAACCTCCGGAAAAGTGAGCATCTAGTGCAACTTAGGTACAGATACGGGGGTAGCAAATACTAATGCGTCGGGTTTGTTTCGGTATACTGGTCATATTTTTCTGCAACCAATGAACCAAACTAAAATTCTTTCAGGGCCATTCTTCCGTTCGACCGGTCTGTCGAGGTCCTCTCAACATCCGAAGTTCCTTGCTCCAAGGGGATCGGCTGGTGGCAATGGACAGTTCCAGAGAAAAGAGACCGAAACGATGGAGAGGATGCAGGCATTCGAAAAGGGGTTGTTGTTGACTCGTTGAGCGTGGACGATTCGGTGGGCCCACTTCGTTTCTTTTGGTTGGGCCAAGAAAACCTGGGACCTGGTAGAAGATCGACGGTGATTGACATGACAGCGGCGCGCACCGCCAAGGAGGGAAAAGCGACCAGCAAGTTCCAGCAAGCGCACATTGGAGGAAAGCGGTGACTCGGGGGCTCACGGTCACCCGTCACAACTCACAAGACGCCGTGGCATATCGCTGCGCGCGGGGTGCAACCCTGGGGTTGTGACATGCCGAATTTAAAGTTGCGGCCAAGCATTGGACCCTCACTGCCCTCAGTGGCTCAGTGGGGATGACATTTCCCGACGGGCGTTGAGCGGCCGGGCCACCCTTGTAAACCCAGCCGTTGATGCGCCCGTGCTGCAAGCAGGCTTGGCGGGTCCCCTGAAACGTGGAGAGGGACAACCCTGTGAGAGGCCCAAGAAAGCCCACCATGCAAGGAACCAACATCAGACGTTGATTGTTGCTTGGACAGGTCAAAAGCCGGGGTTTGGGAACCGATCGACAGGAGACGGCGCGGATAAGATGAACTCAGGAGCAAGCCACTGCCGTCACACCAACCCCGCCGTCGTCGGTGCCCGGGGTCATGCCAGCTTTTGACCGGCAACTTCCAGAGTGCGGTGGATATTTCGCATGACAGGACCATCAGAACGCTGGGAACGGGCAAGATATCGGTTACTTGGAGAGCAAGATGGGCATTCTTTCATCTCTTGTCTGCGGGAGAATGGTGCACTGACTGTGCTCCCCCAAGCAAACCACCGTCCCTGGCCTGAACGATGTCACTCGAGCCCCGGCGATCAACGTCACCGAAGCCAGCATGCCATGTTGAGGGTATCGGTGCCTCCGGCTGTTCGGCGTCTCTCGTGGAGAAGCCGGGATTGCCAGCCATTCCTTCACGACTCAGGAGGCCTCAAGGGAGCGATCGGTTTGATCTGGAGGGTTAGCAAGAGCATGAGCCAAACGAAGATAAAAGGCGGCCTCCTCGACCGTCCTGTCTAGTCTTGAATGTTTTCTCTCCAGCTCACCACAATCAACTCAAGAAGCCAGCAGCCCATTTCCCCAACCATCTAACAGAACCCACCCCGTTCAACCCACACACACCCGCCAAAATGGTCTCCTTCCGCACCCTCACTGCTGCCGCTGCCTTCCTGGCTCCCGCTCTTGCCGTCGGCCTCACCCCCGCCGAGCTCGTCTCGAGCATCCAGGCCCTCACCCAGAAGGCGGGCAGCATCAAGACCGTCAATGCCGAGGGCGTGACCAAGACCGTGACCGACACCGCCGGCACCCTCCTCGGCAGCGTCACCCACTTCAACGGCGACATCACCGACCTGACCCACAAGGTCACCGCGATGGCCCCCATCCCGGCCGGTGTCGACGCTGACAACGTGTTTGACGCCTACGAGGAGTTCTTGGGCGCGGCGGGCCCGGTCGTCACCCTCGTCCAGAGCACCCTCGGGGAGCTTCTCGGCGGTGTCCTCGGCCTCCGTGAGGTCGGCGATGTCGTTGACACTGCCTCCAACACCATCGGCCCTCTGCTCACGCCTGCCCTCCGGGTCACCCATATCAACATCAATGTGAGTTCCTCATTCCATGGCCATGGCGGTCAACTCGATCATTATTGGGGTCTCCGTTTCTAACATCTGTGTTAATTACAGGGCCTGGGCGCTGCCATCGTCACTGTTGTGAACTCGCACGCCACGGATATCCATACTGAGACCAACAACCTCCTGACCACCATTGACGGGGTGCTTAAGACCGTCGAGGGTGCCGCCGGTGCCAACTAAAGCTCGTTGTCCAATTCACCAGGAGTTGAGGTTTGGGGTTGTCGTTGCGGGAAAGGGAAAAAAGGGCGGTGTTTTTATTCGGTTCTCGGGGGCATTGGATCTTGGTTGATTTAGATTGCCGCCCAGTTTTGTCGTGGGTACGAGCATTTTTGTGATTACTTAGCGGACCACGTCAGTAATGTAAATAATGTAATGCCCTGGAGGCTTTGGCCTTGACAGCATCTATCATATCTTCTCACCTTGCTGGTCACAGTACGGAATACGCGGTGACTTATTTGAGCAGTGTTTCTCCGACTTTCTAGAGCTTTCGTGATTCTCCAAGCAGATCCTTCAGCCATTTTCTGGCGGGTTTCTCTTCCCGCGATGGTTGTTGCTTTGTTGGGACGTGTACCCTGGCCGCCAGGTGGACAAACGCGTGTCGTTTTGGGGGCTTGATCGACAGGAGAGAGGTGATGTTCGGGTGCCGAACCCCAATGATGTTCAGGCGGCCCGTGTCTGTCTGGGCTGGGGCATCCAGTGCGGATACTGTGGCTAACTCGTTACTCAGGCTGGCTTCATAAAGATACACACGGTGCAGGTGGTGGTCCAAAGAGACGGTGAAGCTGAGCGTGATCAACAACATCAGTCTTTCTGGTGCCACAAACAACCAAAATAACCATGAGGGTTTTCGGCGAGGCCGGGGTGGTGGACACCGCTCGAAAGACCAGGGTGCGTTGACGAATTCCAAAAGGCAGCTGTGAAAATAGTTTAAATGAGAGACGAGTCCGCCTCTGAACCAAGTTGCGACTTTCCAACAGCAAACGAACAATCTCCTTCTCAGCATCACACCTCGACGTGCAATCCTCGCCACCTCGCAGTCTCATCAATACCGACAACATGGTTTCCGTTCGTGCTCTCGTGGCCGCCGCCGCCTTCCTCGCTCCCGCTCTCGCTGCCGGCCTCACGACTCAGCAAATCGTCACCGGCCTCAACGGTCTCAATGAGAAGGCCAAGGAGATCAAGAGCACTGCGACGCCCACGGACGGCACCACGCCCAAGATTGCCGTAGGTTTTCTTCTCCTCCCCCCCTCCTGCTTTTTCCTTCCCTCTCTCTTTGCCCGCCGTGCAAACAACCCGGTGTTCGGCTAGATCATTTGCTAACTCGGACAGGCTCTCGTGCTTACCGTCACCAGCTTCAACGCGGCGGTCATCAAGTTCACCCAAAGTGCCGCCGAGTCCGCTCCCATCCAGGACCAGGCCGCGGCCAACCAGGTGGCCGACGCCTACCACCAGGTGAGCATTGTCCATCTACACCTTTCACTGCCCACCCGTCCTCCCTTCGCGGTTTACTAACTATCTCCTAGTTGACCGGTGGCGACTACTTCACCACTATCGGTCTCATCCTTTACGACACCCGCGCCGTGGCGGCCCGCGACGACACTCCGTCTCCCGAGGCTGCGCTACCTAACTCACTCCAGGTTACTCGCAGCAGCGTGGGCGTGAGTACACCCTGTCCCATCCCTCCCTTCATTCCTCTATCCACCCACCACCCACTCACTCACGCACTCAACCCTTTACCCCTTTACGCTGAGGGCAGAGAACCAAGTTTCAAATGCTGACATACCAATGTTATTAATAGCACCTGGGCCAAACGCTCGCTGGCGTCACCCCGCCCTCGGCGGACAAGATCAACGCCGACACCCAGCACTTTCAGCAGACTGTCGACCAGGCCACTCACACTGGGAAGGCCCCCAACCCCAGCGTTTAAGGTTGTGCGGTGATTAGTAGTTGTTTTGGAGTGCAGACCGCCAAACGCGTTGCTACAGCAGGAAGTCCTAAGAGTAGGAGGAAGATGAGGCACGACGGGCAGAGGAGAGAAATGGTGGGGATGTGTGTGTGTGTGTGTGTGTGTGTGTGTGTGTGTGTGTGTGTGTGTGTATGAGACAAAAAAGGTTGTTTAGCAAAGGATGGAGGTGATAGAGGTAATAATTGATAGAAAACAGTAATGATAATCAAACCGCAGATTAATAGCTGTAGGCAACACCCGAGCCATTGGCGCCATTGCGGCCTTGTTTACCTACCTAATTATACCAGCAAGTCGTTAATCCAGCACAGGTCATATCCTCTCGTCGTGACCAGTCCACCAACTATCGTGTTCAGCTCTGGCCGGGCAATGAGTCGTCACATTTCATTGTCCGTGTTCGGTAAGATTCTCTGTGATGCCCCGGAAAGTACAGCAGCCGGTCGCGAGCTGCATCACTACTGGCCTCATTGGGACTGGTTTGTTCTGGACCCAAGCTCAATCAAGATCCGAGGCTGGTCACTGAGGTCATTCGGAAGTTTTCTTTAGTTGCTGTTGTGTAGAGTGGGGAGTCTCAGATCATGATGATGTCTCGCCGATGGAGTCTGTTCAGCTCACCCAGCCACGGGCCGAGATTGACACCTGCAAACCTTCACGCCGGCACACCAGCACGCCGGCACACCGCAGGGCCATGCAAGAGACTTGGGAGACGACGGTGATGGCCCGCGGCTAGTTCAGCGGGGCCCGGGAAGGCGAGAACCAAAACTTTACAAGTCCTTTCCAGCTTGGTGCTGGTTCTGATTCAGTTTGAGTCTGCGCTTGCCCAAGGCTTGGCCCGATGGGCATGTGATGAGTCGTTCATGAGACCCCCCATCCCCAACCACCCACCGCCCTTCACCTGGATGTGTCATGATGAACTTGTGATATAAAGGGCCTTTCATTTCCCATGAATCTCTAGACATCACACTTCCCATCCGTCCATCTGCCACACATCTCACACAGCCTCTGCTCGACGCTCCAATTCTCGACAAAATGGTTTCCTTTCGCCTCCTCTTTGTCGCCACCGCTATGTTAGCGGCCCCCGTCATGGCGGCCCCAGGCATCGCCTCCGCCGGGGACTCGGGCCAACTCGTCAACAACGTCGACGGTGTAAGCGAGCAGGTCAAGACGCCGCAAGATCTGGCCGAGACCACTGATTTCTCCCAACTCTTATCAAGGGGCGAGGAGAATGATATCGAGGTGAATGGTTGATTTCTGGGACATCTACGGGTACCTAATGCTTGCTGACATCGCAGACGTCACAGAACACGCCTCGATCGGTTGGGAGACCGAAGCGCAGCTGCGACTCCGAGCTGGACCTGTTGATGCTCACTGTGGACTTTAAGACCCACAAGGTATAATAAAGCCACAATTCTCTCCGTCAAACGCCCACTCCCCGGGCACGCGTTCCCCGAATTATCCACCACAGCGTGTTTTGTTCAAGGCCTGTTTTGAAGCTCTGTTCTCCTGCTGACGAAAGTCTCGTTTTGATTCGTTTCACATAGCTGGGAGCTGCGGTCCGAAAGGTGGCCGAAGAAATTGCCCAAACGTTCATTAAGGGGGAGGCGGTCTCCTGGTTGGCGGACTACATCGAGCACGAGTTGCGACATGTACCACGGGCGTTGAAGGTAAGGCTCGGTCATTATGGGACTCCCTCCTCGTCCCGGGCCCTACGATTATGGATCGTGATTTATGCGTGCCAACCAATCTTGTTAAAAAAAACATCGAACCGATATAGTTGATTGCCGTCTCACACGATGTGGAGAACAAGAGATTCATTCAATATATCCTCAGGCTTCTATTCATTGTACTGCGCACACTAACGCTCTCGGGCGAAAAGTTAGACAATTGTCATGAGGCAGACTTTCAACAACTCAGTTGCAGGGAAAGCGAACACCGACAAGTTAAAAACCCCAGACCCTAAGAACAAAATTGGGGCAAGGGAGGACGAACTGCTCGTGGTCAAACACAACGCAAAAAAACATATAAAAGCGCCTAACTACCCGGATGTCGTAGCACCACACATGTTTCTGTCCACTGTAACGAACACTTTAGAGCCCTATTACCATCAATGCCCGCCCACCGTCACCATGTTCCTGACTCCTATTCAATACGCATGAATCAACCGCAACACATGCCTCACCCCACCCCACGCCTCCTCCGCCGCCATCCGGATCTCTTTCTCAGGCAACGCAAACCCCGCCGCCGACCCGCCAGATCTCCTCTTCCCACCCCGACCGCCTTTCCCCTTCCCAATCCCAGGCCGCAGTTCCACAGTGTACGCATACTCCACCCTCAACACGTCAAAGGCGTAGTCAGCGCTGTCGCCCGACGTCGGATACAGCAACTCACATGCTGAGCCGGCGCCGTACTCGGCGCCGTGGACAGCACGCATGGAAGAAGCGAGCTCGGATGCGACCCAACGCGTTGGGGAGTGTGGGCTTGGTTGTTGAGAGGGAGCGCAAGTATGACCGCGGGCTGTGTAGGAGGAGGCGCTCTTGCGTGTTAGTAATCCGTAATAGACTGGAGGGGGGGAGGGGCGAAACGGGGCAAGTTAGCGGCGGAGAGACGCACGATGCATAACCAACTGCCCAAACGCATGCCAGTCGATAAACAGCCGGATTCCTTGCTCTTCCCGAATCGCTTCTAATTCGACCGCCAGCGCCCTGGTTTCGGGTGCGTCGAGAGGCCGGAACCCGCGGAATGTCGGCCGGCATGGCTTGTCTGATGCACCACCGGATTTGCCCCAGGCCGAGGCCCAGTTGCGGTTGAGGTCGCGGCCCACACAGGAGGCGCCTCGGCCTTTGTCGGCGTTGACTTGCCGGTTCTTGCGCCATAGGCGGTCTTTGGTTTGCGTGAAGACGAAACCTGGGGCGGGGGGTATTAGCTTGACCGTTTATTACACTAGATAATTTAGGTGAGAATTATCAAGAGGACATACCATCAGGGTTGACAATAGGGAAAATGTAAAAGTCAAAACTGTCCAGAGCATGCTCGATATCTCGGTCTGTGTCGTAGCCCTCGAGCAGGCTGTAGGCAATGTACTCGGTGACCATAGTAGAGACCCACTCCCTGGCGTGCATGGTTCCGAAGAAGACGACGGCTGGGTTTATGCCGGGGCCATCCCTCCCGAACAAATGAATCCCCTAGATCTCTCGCTTCTTAAACGACTTTCCGGCCGTGAAAATCCTTGACAACGAGGGATGTTTTGCCGAAAGCGCGTGGATGTACTCGACATGGCTTTGGTAGTCATGGTAACCGTCAAACCAAGCCGGGGACACGAGAGCTGTTCAGATTAACTTGACGCCTGGACTCAATTTGGGATAAGTGAACGGGCGGAGACTGGTTCATGCATACATTTGTCCACAGGTCTCCGGAACCCGTTTGGAAGTTTGGCAGCTTGACTGGCAGTATTGAATAGAATTACCACACCCAATACAGTATTTAATAATACAGAGAGAAGATTCATATTGTCGATGAGATGTGGTATGCATACATCAACACGGTTGTATGTGGTCTTGAGGCGAAGCTGAGGTAATCGGTCGCGCCTGAAGCTTTCCTAATACGCAACGACAAGTCCAGGGAAGGAGCATCGGTCGCTCAAGGTAGTGCCATTAATATGTCCTGAATTGAAACAAAAGGAGAGAAAGATAAATCGAAGGAGAGTATATTAAAATGTTGTTGAGAGTTGCCAAAGCTCTCTCGTACATCGTTGAATTGCCCTTTGTACAGTGTCTCCTTGTGAAATGCGGCCCGAATAAAATGAATGTGGCAGCCGCCATTGCCCCCCTTAAAAGTAGAACTGCTGCTGCGGTGGCTGTCCCGGTGGTGGATGGGCGAGAAAATCAAAGTTCATCGAGTCCAGCCCGGTGTTGAAGGGGTCGGGTGATTCTGAAAATGTCAGCAACAGGAACCCTCGCATGGAACTGACTGTATTGAAGGTTCAATTACCCCAGAAGATGGAGTCGTAGAGGTCCATCGGTGACATGTAGCTGGCTGGGTCATACCCGGCAATGTCAAGAAGCGGCGGTGCTCCTGATGTGGCCGGCAGTTGCGCGAAGGGGATGCTGGGACCGGTTAGACAATCTGTGACATCGTTGCCAATGGGAAAGCCCTTACCCAGCGGAAAAGTCGGCTACCGAACCGCCGCTCTGCTGTTGTAGCTCCGTCATAGCGAGTGCTGCATTTTGGTGTGGGTCTAAATGCCCCGGTCCCGGGCGCAGATCTTGGACCGGCACACCGTTGGCCGAAAGACTAGCGAGCTGCGCAGGCCCCAGTGGTGTGCGCGTACCCGAGCCCGTTCCAGCGTTGCTCATTTCCCTCTTTAGCTGCCTTCCAACGACGGTGCCGTGGTCGTAGATGTTGCGCAGTGCGTCCAGAGCCCGAGATAGCGGGCCAGAGAGTTCAATGTCGAGGTCTGTTTTCCGGATGTGCGGCCGGGGTGATGTAAGGTCCTTTGCAGCAGTGGCTGAGAGGGCCGAGATGAGGTCGCCTTGCAGCTGCCGGACTTCAGGATCTGCTTTTGTCTCACCCAAGATCCCCAAAAGGACGGCGGACGACAGCCCGTGGTAGGTGAATGCCCATGACCGTGTGGGGATGACTGACAACTGGTGCATGGCCAGAAACATGCGGACTGTCTCGGTCAAGTTTGCTTTGCATCGGTCCGCAAGGAACTTCTTCTGCTCCGCGTCGAGGAGATTGCTGTCTCGTCGCAACAAGGCAGGACGGCAGCACACGGAGATGATGAAGGATGTATGCAGCCGAATGGCGAAGTGCTGGAGCCGGTCCACGGCGGACTTGCACATTTCTTTACTCCGCAACCGGACCTTTAACTTGTCGCGGATATTTTCCACTGCTGCACAGTTGTCAAGGATCTCAGCATATGTGGCTGATGCGATGGCGTCTGGGTTCAACCTTTCCGATATGATTTGGTTCAGGTGGAACATGGCTTCGAGGTATGCCCACCCTTCGGTCTCAGCGGTGGGTGACATTGGCAGTGGGCAGCATGGGATGTTTGTCATTGGAGAGCTAGCGCATGATGTTAAAATCCAACTTGGTCATTGCGTGGTGAGACTGGGAAAGGGAAATTAGAAAACCTACCGGTCGAATGACAAGGATGTAAGTGTGTCATGCCAGAGACATGTCCACCTGAAAGGTCAGCGTTCATCTTAACCATGGCGCAAGGGGGCAAGCGGCCATACCATAGCTTCCGCCTCGCCATCTCTTTCTTTGCGGCATCTGGAGTTTGTCGCTCATCAAGTGGCTGGGCCCGGTGGACACCAAGGGACTGTGCGAGGCGGCAAGTGAGGCCGAGCAAGGCCCATGAAGCCTCGGCTTTCATGTCGTTGAGCAGCACAAAGCTGGTCATCAGAAGGGCCTGGATGGAGTCTAGGTTGGGCCTGCACAGCCGATTAACAAGAGCCCTGGCCACTCCTTGGGGCCGTACATACCTCAACAAAAAGTTCCCGATGCGCAGAAAATGGAACGAGATCTGAATGTATTTTTGAGAATCTCTCGTCCGGATATGGTAGGGCGAATCGTGGTATTGCGAGCCGACAGCCAGGACGGCAAAAAGAATGGATAACCATGAGGCCGAGACTGGTTTGGGGGTCTTGGTGGAAGCCCTAGCATTCTTGGCGCGGTCTTCAAGATACACCATGAGCCGTGACTCGAGGCCGTCAATGTCAATAACAAAACCCCAAAACTGCTGTGGGATTTCCTTGTAAGTGCGGAATAACCTAGGGGGTTGTGAGTAACTTCATCTCGTCATTTGTCACACTAGCTGCGCTACGTACTTCATCACCTCACGATCAGACGGTAGCTCGTGAGAAATGTCGTATGTTAACTTGTCCAGATGGCGCGAGGACATCAACGGAAAGGGGGCTGAGTTATCTAGGCCGAGAAGAGAGCGCATATCTTGGCGGATGCCGTTGCCCTCTTGGGGCTCGGAAGTTTGTTCTCGAAGTAGGGCGGGGATGCTGTTTTGGCCCACATACCGGGTCGTCTCGGTGTTGTCCGGTTCTGTTCAGCGGTATGAGACGTTGGACAGGAGAGCAAAAAGCCATTCATGAAATTCACACGCAAAGAATGAACCCACCATAGGTGCTTATGGTATCTTGGGCCTCATTGCTCTGGCTCCGCGACCCTTGTTCATCGGGCGACCGAGCTCTCTTCCTGCTTGGAGTGGAATTCTCCGGGACAACCGAATTACTCTTGCTGGCGGCGGCCCTGTTCGGTTTATAGGAACACAGCTGTGGGTGTTCCCGTTTGACGCAGTTCTCGCACGGGCTTTTGTTGTCACATTTGACTTTTCTCTGGCGGCACGGCCAGCATGCGGTACCTAACTCCCGGCGTTGATGTCAGTCCGGTGTCCTTGTTCAATCCCTAATATTCAGCCAATTCCTTATTTCGCCCTTCAATCGCCACAAGTATCAAGTAGCCATGTAGTCCTTGATCAAAGGTGAACTGATGCCAACAACGATCCGAAATTATCTGATACACAACGTCGATTAACCAGCAGACCGGTTTGCCAGATTATATCCTGTTGGTGTAGTACCGCCTAAGCATGTCCGGAGTGGCCCTAATGGAATGGCGGGGCTGCGCGGCATTCGGGAACAATGGGAAGAGATCCACTTACCGTAGCGCACTTTGCGGTGCGAATGAATAATGCGACTGGCCTCTTCCGGAGTCAAATCCCCAGCGGGGCTCCCTTGGGTGTCAGACATCGCTTAGGAGAAGCAGACTAAGGCGTGTGGCCGAAAACGGTGTTGTTTGTGGATAGTTGACGGCGAGTACAATGGCGTGGATACGCGCCGAGAATTGGAGGGAAATCCGAATGACGCCCGAGGGACCTGCGGCGTCGAACCTCTCAGCAAGCAGCGCCAGACTTCCGCCGGGGAAGTGGAGCCGCACCGTCGCAAAACGTCGCGCGAGGAATCGGAGATGGGGCCGATGGAACGGTCAATTGAAAGAGATTAGTGCAAGGGTGATTGGAGTCGTGGACGGTGAAGGAGCGTCGAGTTGAACGGGAATGGCGTTGCGCAAAAAGGAGCAGCAGCTGCGGAATACCGATGCAAATCCGAGAATTGCTTGGGAGGCGGCGGAAAAGCCGAAAAATCTTGAGGGGCCAAGTTTGAGAGTGGGGAAACTCGGGATTGGGGATCGCCGACGGGTGGAACCGGCCAGTCGCACGCAGGAAGCACCAAACAATGGAGCCACTGACTGACGGGAATCGGGAATGCCCAGTATTTCGAATGCCTGTGGTTTATCTGGCAAGAACCGAAAGACAACTCAAAACACTGGAAGAGGCGACGGATGCAAGATAGGTCTACAGGTATAGTTTACACAGGGAGTTATCATCGATACCTTGATCTCTTTGTGGGTAGAACATTTCATTATTTGGGTCACAGTACCCGGTGGCGCTCTGAGTTGAGCCAGTCACGCCAGTCTACGAGAGGCTAGCCGATGGCGGTGAGTGATTCGCAGCCCCGAGGGTGAAAATAGGGTGCGGGGCCGCCCGTCACGGAGGCGGGGGTAAATATGGGGCCGTGAGGGGTGGGGCCGGGAGGGCCCGCACTTGGCCCGGCCCTCCGGCATGGGGGAGCCGTGGAAGGGTTAGGGTTCACTAAGGTTAAGGTCTCCAAATGGTCAGAACTGATGAACAACGGGTTTATTCACAACACAATTACAATCAAGGGGCTTTGTGAGGAAGGCAAACAATACATAAATACAGTTCAGGGGTCAAAGGAGAGCCAACCCAACTTTTCATGACTCTGGTGCTCAATTCTCAGCTCTATGGAATTGAAGCTAGAAATGAAACGGCGGTGTCATTCAGAGATATACCTACCTCGACCCAAAGCACACGGTTACAGAGTCGTGAGCCAGACTCAGGCTTGTGATATATCAGATGACCTGGTAAATACATGAGAACAAACCCGGTGATCAAGATTATGCGTGTTGCTCAACACTGGCCTTCGGATAAGCAAGTCACCGATGTAAAGGTCGGTCTCTCTCACTCATCAGTGGGCGTGTAGCGAATCATATTTATTAAAATTCGTCCAGTGATGAGGATTGAAGCAAAGAACTTAATCAACACCATAGACTGAAAGCTAGGAACTTCAACCGCGGTATCCTTCACGGAGAGCGTTGTGCATAATGAAATTACTCCGAGAACCGGGGATTAGCTACGCCGATTAATTATCGCAAAGTATTAATTACAGGCACAGCTGTGGGTCTAAAATACAGTATGGTCAGGCGTAACAAGCTCAAGGTTGGACGAAGTGGGAATTAACGGGTTAATAGGCTTGATAAGGAGACAAACAGTGTTAGTCACCAGGTAAACAATGCCAAGAGGGACTGTAGAGCCTTATGGCTCAACATTGGACAGGCGGATTGCTTCCAGGGCAGAAAATATGGGGAAGTAGAAAGTTAGCTGTAGACGTTCACTAGAATGCCAGCTTATAACAACATTGGGAAACGCCTCCAAGACATGGGAGACCGCTGGACGATAAAATTACGGATTCAGGAGTTGACCTAAAAAGCCCACCAGACGTCCCTTTTGGGACTAATCGATTCGACTTGAGTAAAAAAATTCCAGGACAGTGAACCGGGTACTGAACACCGATCTTTCCCTGTAATTAACGGTGGGAGTCAGAGAGAGCTCAATATCGGAAAAGTTTCGAGTTCGGAGAGCCCAGCATTGTCACTGCACACTTATATCGTCGGTTGAAGGGCTATCTTCCACAGGCCGGCATCAGTACTGGACATGGTCACTCAACAAGGTGGCAGTAGACTTGGGAACAGGAAAGCGGGTTTAAAACTGGGAAGGAGTTGAAAACACCGGAAGCACCTCGACACAAGGTCGAAAAGACGATTAGCGTAGAGGTTGGCCCCTACGGTCGCAGCATGCTCCATCATGCTGTGTTGCCTCCTCGGGGCCTTGGGTGAGGAACCAGAGACTGCCACGAGAGCTGAGGAGGGCATTCGAGTAGTTGGGGTTCTGAAAAGAACGTTGTTAGACAGTAGCAACTAGAAAACCTTTAACACCGGTGGACTGAAATAACCTCAGCACCGGGCGATCGTATCATGGGTTCAGGGGTTGGTCTGCACGGGCTTGCTGAGGCGTACCAAAACTGACTGGGGAGGGACATCAGAAGCGAGGGCGTTGAACAACAAGTCGGCTCCATGGTAGAAACTAAAGAACATAGCACGGGTTTAACATCAATAGCGGACGATCACATCACAGGTTCATGAATTGGTCTGTGTGCGCCGCCTAAAGCTGACTGGGGCTTGAGAATACTTTGACCGAGGACCGTGCTCAGGAGTAAGAAGGAGTTGAAAAGGCTTCAATACCTCGGAAAGGAAGAACCCCGATACCGGAAGAACCTCAAGTCCTCAACACCAGATGATCGGAATATCCTTGTATTACAGGCTGAGGGCTTGGTCCATGTGCATACACCGCCTAAGAATACTTTGAACAGTAAGGTAACGTTGTTTAAGAGGAGGAAGAAAGATGCAAGGGAACTTAAATCGCAACAGGAAGGACACCCATACAGAAAGCACCCCAAGTAATTACTCAACACCAGACGGTCGTAATATGATTGGATCGCGGCCTCAAAGTTTGGTCCGTGTGTACACGCTGCCCGAGTTCCACCACGGCCTGAGAATACTTTGAACAGCAATGTGATTTGAGAGGGCAGGAAAGATGTAAGAGAGCTTGAATGGCAAAAGGAACTTATGGAAGGACAGCCATACCGGATAAACCTCAACACCGGACGATCAGATCATCAGATCAGGGGTTTCAGGGGTTAGTCGGCCCAAGCCCTGCCGAGATTGGGACTATTTTAAACAGCAATTGTTCAGGAGCAGGAAGTACGTAAAACAACTTGGAAAGAAAGAATGTCCATACAGCAGCAGACTGGAAGAAGTTAAGAAGTTAAGAACTTCAACACCGGACGACCGGGTCACGGGTTTACGGGTTAATTAGTCCGTGTGTACACACTGCCCAAGCTCCACAAAGGTTGACAATAACTTTGAACTTTTGAACAATAGCGTTTCCTAAGAGCAGGAAGGAGCTTTAAACAAGAACGCCCATATTCGGAGAATCGGAGCAGTACCTACCTATCAACTTCAACACCGGACGGCCACATCACAGGTTCAGGGGTTGGTCCGTGCACGCTGCCATGAGGCCCACCAGGGCTGAAAAGGGCTGGGCAGGAAACAACTAGTTATAAAAGAAACCTTCCACACCCCAGGAAACTTGCCATTTTCAACTTTCCAACACATCGATCCATTCTTCAATTCCCATTGAACTTCCCAATCCCACTACCGATCCTCGACTTCCCTTAGGTATCCCCAGCTTCAAGACTTCAAGATCCCATATCGAGATCCTATATCGCTTTGAAGATTCGAGTTTAACCTTGATTACTCTTTTGCAAATCGGCGCTCGTAAGTTATTCCTCAAATTCCAGCTCGCCATCTAAATTTGACCGAGTATCGATACTGATCCTTTGGCCAGCGACCTGCTGGGCGTCTTTCAACCCCAGCTGGCTCTTCCTTCACGGACACCGATAGCATCATCGGCACTGGTAAGCCATCTTCCAAGTCCTAACGCGCGATTAAACTTCTCAAGTTCTGCTGCTACCGATACTGATGTTTGGCCATCGCCTTGCAGCTTTCGCCAGCCTCGTTCCACCCTCTCTTCACGGACGCCCGACAGGAATATCGGCGTTCTTCGTCTTCTAGTTCAACCGATTCATCTCGACGCCGGTTATCGGGTTCGGACCGTCTCCGAGCCCCCCTCAACGTCACATCTCAAATCTCTCAGTTAATCAGGAGGTACATTGAATTATCGGCACTCTTAATCTCCAGAGCCAAGGATTTCTGAGATCAACCGGTTCGTTCAACAGTCAACGCATACATGCCGTCCCCTGGCTCCCTAAATCTTCTCACTTTTGACAGCCTCGCTAACATTCGCCTTTCTTTCAGTTCACAGCGGGCTCATTGGGCCTTTTGGCAGTCTTATTTTTCCGAGACTCGATATTCAACCCGCACATGCCGTCCCTGAAACCTCTTACGGTATCGACTTTGGTCTTTGTCTCGTTGAGACGTTGACAAGTGACCATTTCGAACTATCGGCGTTACTATTATCCGAGTACCATCCCATCCACGTTTGAATCATCTCAACACCAAAGTCTCCGGGCGATCTTCAGCTTTTACATCTCGATTCACAAGCGGCGATCAGATTATCGCCCTTCGCAGCCAGCACTTTGGGTTATCGGCGTTACCATTATCCTATACCGGACCAACTCATTCGGCATTCTCGCGCTGTCTGTGAATCTACTCGCGGCACCTCACCTTATTTCAAGATTGACTTTAGAAAGTCTGCCGACCATCTTCAGCTTCTCCAGTTCAATTAATCGGTGGGTGTCCAGATTTCAGTCCTACTATTATCCGATACTCCGTTCATGCCGTCCCTGAATCTGCTCACGGAGTCACGGCATCTTTTATTCTTTGAGCATCGGCCTGTAAGGTCACCTCCCAAATCTTTTTTCTAACTTCTTCACTTCCCATTACTGGTAGCCAACTGGTTGTCGGCACTTTCGCCATCTGACTTCGCCATCTGTCAACTTTTTCCCTTTCAACTCCCATTAATGACTTTGTCTCTTCGCTAACTGCTATCATCAGACATCAACCTTACTTTGATCACTTCCTTCTCCTAAATTTCTTCCAAGGGTCACCGATTCATTATCGGCACTTCTGTCTTTGGGATCACGATCGTCAGGCGCGTGCAATCTCGCAAGCCCTTCTCATTTTCCTACCAGTCATTGGTGGGTTATCGCTGTTATCGGTGTTCTCGTAAGTCTCGTCTTTCAATTCCCTCCCTCTCACTGAAGTACTTGGTTATTTCTCATTGTCAGCTTCACGCGACCCGATTAGCATCCTTCAGCCTCTAACCCATTTTTTTTTCAGGGGACCGAACCGATACTCGCGTCTTCCAACTTTATCCGGGATCGAATATTTCCACTTTTTCATTCTCATCATCAGCTTCAACGGGCCTCCAGGAGTCCCATTTCCTTCAACCTTTATCACGGCCACCACACTTTCAATCACGGCGACGACATGGTAGCGATAGCAAAATAATCATATCAATCGCGCCCGACAGGTAAGTCAAGAACAGAATACCTCCCTCACAACACAAAGCTAACGTATTTGGTACACAGCCCTTCGTTTAAACACCTGAACAAGGTTATAACAAGGCCATAGCAAGTGCACGTGGTCGCAGCAAGTCACAGGCGGACGTTGTAACCAACCGTTCGTAATCGACCGATCAGATCGATCAAATCGATCCGATAGATCAGATGGATCGCCCGGCGGCCCCGGCGGGCTCGACAGCCCCCAAAACACCGAGCAAGAGCGGGGCCGGGACAGAAGACATTGAAGACGTCATCAAGACTCTGAACAAATCATATGGTCTTGGTATAGACCTCATAAACATTGGTCATACACCACAACACCGAAGAGCGCTGGGCCTTAAAGACGAAGACATCGCACGATGGAATAATATCCGGGCCGGTGTCAAGTACCTTTTGAACCAAGACGAGATACAGCTCGACCTGGCGCTCATGGCGTTCAACCGGCAGTCCAAAGAAGCGAGCCAGCATTGGGTGCCCAAACCGCGCGGTGAAAGTGACACCGTGCCCAGCACCTTCAGGCCGCCTAAGGCAGAGACGGGCGAGCAGCGACGACAACTGCAGGAAATTCTGATTAGGGTATTTGACAGAGCTAGGAAAGAAGTCATTACCGCAAGCAATTCACGCCGCACAAAGACACCTGGCACAACATCTGCAGCTAAGGCCAAATCATCAGCCAAGGTTAGAGCAGAGGCTGAGTCTGGGTCTGGGTCTGGGTCTGGGTCTGACCAGGCAGGCGGTGTTGCCAAGCGGTTGTTCGATAGAGTCGACAGCCACGAGGTGAAACGCCAAAAGGGTGTGGTGTCTTTAGGTCTGGAAGAGTCACGCCCAGCTCCGGGGCAGTTCTCAAGCACAGCGAACTTTCGCACCCACCAACTTGACAATGTGCCAACTCGGCAACGGCCCACCTTGCCGGCAGCACCGAGGGTACCTCTTCAACAACCAACTCGGCACACTGCGGTTGACAGCAATCACGGCGGGGGTGTAATTACCACGACGGATGGTTGTGACGAGTCTGGTACGGACAGTGCAGCCGCTGGTCGTGAAAAGATGCCAAGGGGCGGGCTTCCTGTGGTGCCTCAGCCAGCAGTGGGGCAATTTTCTGCCAAGGGGGCGGTGGTTCGGCCGCCTAATATGGCGGGCGTGCAACCTTCCCAGCGTGCCGAACCGGCGGGCCGGCCGGCCCTCTCGGTGCCGGTCCCTCTCCAGGATAGGCTGGGGAGCGTCTTTCCGGTCTTCCCTGGGTGGCTCCACCCAGCGCCGCTGGCCATCGCCTGGGAGGTAACCCGGATCTGCCTCCATTGTGGGGTGGATCTGGAGGACCCTTCCCTCCGGTACCAGCGGGAATGGGCCAAGTCCGACTTGGTCGGAATCTGGAGGAGCCTCCAGGAACTCGACGTCTTCCGAGGCAAGACGTTCCCGGAGCGCCCTTCGCCGGAGGCCTTCGCTGCCGCGCTGTCCGGCAACTTTGAGTGCCGCGGGAACACCGTGGCCATGACCGCAAGCTTGGATTTCAATCCAGCATCGTCCGGCCCTCTTCTACTGCTGGACATGAAGCCTCTCCGCCTCGACGAGGGATGCCGGCTGACCCGGCGATTCGGCGCCGACCGCTTCCTGGAGATAGTGATGCCATCTCCAACGGGAAGCGCTGTCCCCGACGCAATCAAGAAGATGGACGGCGCGGAGGAACAGATCTTCCAGTGGATTTCGGGGCGCCGACACAACCTCGTCGGCCGAGAATGGCAGGTGTTCTTCTCCAAGGACGCCGGATACCGCAAGCCGGCCAAGGACGTCCGCCTCGGCCCGGACTCTAAGTCGACGTACAAGGAGCGCGTCCACCTCTTCGCGGAGAACGGTCCCAAGTTTAGGCGGGTCACCATCCGATCCAGGGCCGAAATTCCCGTCGACGCACCGCAGCAATGGTCACAGATGAGGGCCGGTCATGTGCTAGACTGGTTGCTGCAGCTGGAGCAGAACGGCCAACAGCCGTACCTCAAGCTGTTTTCGCGTATCCAGCTTGGCCTCAGCAAGACGTTCCCGGCGCTGACGTTGGAAATCGGCCAGGTGATCCACCACAGCGAGGATATCCTCTCTCCCATTGACAAGGTCATGAACGACGGCATTGGCCGCATGTCGCGCACCGTGGCCAGGAAGATCCGCGACGCAATGGGGCTCATGGACATTCCGTCAGCGATCCAGGGCAGGTTGGGCTCCGCCAAGGGCATGTGGCTACTAGACGTGGCGGACATGGGCGACGAGGACTGGATCGAGACATACCCTTCACAGCGAAAGTGGATATGTGACGATTCAGAGGCCGCCCACCGCACACTCGAGATACGCAGCATTGCGTTGGAGTTGAGTCCCGCGAGACTCAACCTGCAGATCCTCCCCGTGCTGGAAGACCGTGCCTTGGACCCGATCCTGATGCGAGAAGCCATCGGCGGGCGGCTCACGGGAGACCTACAGCGGCAATTTGAGGTGCAGAAGACGGTCATGAACCACCCCGCGCAGCTCCGACAGTGGGTCAACGAGAGCTCCAATACCCGCGGCGACCGCGTCAAACACGGCCGGGTTCCTTTCCTCGCCGGCCTCCCCGACAACAAGGCCGAAGTGCAGAGTTTGCTGCTAAACAGCGGCTTCGACCCCCGGGCGCAAAAGTACCTCCAGGAACTGACCTGGGACCTCCAGAAGCAGAAGTGCGACACACTGCGGAGCAAGCTCAACGTTCGCATCGGGCGCTCGACCTATGCTTACATGGTGGTCGACTTTTGGGGCGTGCTGGAGGAAAATGAGGTCCACCTGGGCTTCTCCTCTCGGTTCCGCGACGACACGGGCAGCAGCGACTTCTCGGATACCATGGTGGCCAACTGCGACGTGCTTGTTGCCCGATCCCCCGCTCACTTTATCAGCGATGTCCAGAAAGTGCGCGCTGTGTTCAAGCCCGAGTTGCATGCGCTCAAGGATGTGATTGTCTTCTCGGCTAAGGGAAACGTCCCCCTGGCTGACAAGTTGTCGGGCGGTGATTACGACGGCGACATGGCTTGGGTGTGCTGGGATCCCGCGGTTGTCGACAATTTCATGAACGCCGATGTTCCAGAGGAACCAGATCTGTCCGAGTACCTGGGCAAGAACAAGGAGACCTTCCAGGACCTTGTTGATGCGCAGCCGACCAAAGTCCGCGCCGACAACCGCTACCAGGCCCACTGCGACGCGGCGCTCGACATGATCAAGCGCAGCATCCCGTTCCAGATGGCGCCCAACTTCCTGGGCATCTGCACCAACTTCAAGGAACGGGCCTGCTACTGGGCCAACAACGTGTCGGACTCCCGCGCCGTGCTCCTCAGCTCTCTTGTCGGCAAGCTGGTCGACCAGAGCAAGCAGGGCATCCTCTTCAACGGTGATGACTGGGACCGCCTCCGCCGCGACCACTTTGCCGGTCGCGTGCCTCGCGACGAGCCAGCCTATAAGGGCAATCAGTGGACGGTCCGGGGCAAAAAACCGCGGCACATCATCGACTACCTCAAGTTCACCGTCGCCAAGCCCGCGATTGACCACGAGCTGGATACCTTCCACAAGACGCTGAGCCCGGCGGACGAGGCCCTGCGCGCCCACCACTGGGACCCGCAGCTGGCCGTGTACCACAACGCCTTCAGGGCGGCGGTTGAAAAATCCGCCTCGCTCAAGGAGTTGCTCGCCGCGTTGACCAACGCCATTGCGGCGGTAGAGAAAGAGTGGCGCAGGCTCGTTTCCAACCGCGAGAACCACATGCCCTACCCGGACAAGGTCAAGCTCGTCCACGCCCAATGGCAGGCCATCGACCTGGCCTCGCTGGCAACAACCACCCCGACCATCGCAGCTGCTGTGACTGGTGTGGCTCCCGCTGCAGTCCCTGCTCCCGCTGCCGCTACCACTGCTGCCACCGTCGCAGGCCCAACCCCGGCCATCAAGCTCGATGCTCAGCTCACGATGCTTCTCGGCCAGGGGTTCCTCGACGAGCACGGCGGCTGCGCGGCCTCTGCCACAGGGTTCTGGTCGCTCCTCAAGGCCAGCACGGCCTTCAACGCCTACTACCGAAGCAACCCGCGTTTCGTGTGGCAGATGGCCGGCGCCCAGCTGGCGTTTATGAAGGCCCAGTTTTGCGCGGGCGGGAACCCTCCGCCGGTGGATTCCAGGACGGGCGCGGGCAACGCCGCGGGGACTGGCACGGCCGATGCCATGGCGTTGTTGGTGACGCCGGGGATGTATGCGGGCTTGGTGCCGGATGGCAAGTTTACCAAGCAGTATATGGCTCGGTTGGAGGGGGCTGAGGAGGGGGAGGACACTGGGGAGGACACTGGAGAGGACTCGGAGGTGCAGGAGCGGGCCGGGCAGTGGGATCGCGGGGAGGACTTTGAGTAGGTAGGGGAGGCCAGGGGGTTTTTGTTCGCGGAGGGTTCTGGCCTTGGGCATTGCTTGCGACGCGTTCTTTGCGATGGACCGATGGTTTTTTTCCCCAATTATTTATTTGCTTTTCATTGCGTTTCATGTGTTTTCTTGCGTTTCCTAGCGTTTTTTCAATGATGCGATGGATTGCTCAATGATGCCGTGCGGTTCGCTGTTTTCTGCGTTGCGTTTGCATTTATTTAACATGGTATTAATATCACAAGCATGCCCCAAGGTTCATTATAAGCAAGCGTCGGTTTTAGACAAGCCAATAAAATACAACACTGAGTGACAGTGATACTATTCCCACCAAACCCCTAATATCTAGTGTGGTTTTATCTCAAGTTAAATGTTCCCTTTGAAGATGATCAGACTGGTGCTTAATATCCCCTCAAGTTACAATCGACAATGCTGAGACGTCCGACGGGTTGGCTCCGCTTCCCGGCTCCGTTCCCCACTCTCAACTGCCGGGCGAGGAAGAGAAGTTCGGGGGACTTCTCACCAACTCATTGCCTGTCATTGGCATGTCCCTGCCAAAATTGCCGACTTTTTATCGCCCTAACCAACAGCCACAATATAATCCGATCTTGGCATTTCAACATTCCGGTCAGTTCTCCAAATCAGTCCTCCAAGTCAAATACCACAAGTGGAAGCCAAGACAACGTGCTGAAGTCACTGTCCTATCCGGGTCTGGTTATTTGGACCCTGCCTAATATGGCCCCCAAAAAATTGACAAACCGGTGGAACCAGGGATGACAAAAGTTCCAGACTTCATGATCATGCATATACCCTTGCTGGTCTGGCCGTCCCCGGAGGATAAGGTTAATAAGTTCGTCTCAAATAAAGGAAACACTATAAAAAGGGTACGTTGAGCTTGTTCTAGACCAACTGCATGATGGGATGTCATTGAGTAAATACTAATATCAGCGTTTACCTCAATGGTTGTTGTTACCTACTCAGGGCTTCCTCCTCGGAACCAATCGGCAGAACTCCGACCGCACTGCCGCACTTGGTCGGGGTAAAGTGCATCCCCTCTTGTGCCCAGCGATCCGGCGACGGCAGCCGGGCTTGGCAGACAAATACGGCCAGTGGTAAATCCTACTGTTACTCAACCTGGTCAACGTTCGACGAGCAGTCCGCGGGGTACTGTCCAGTTGCCGAGCTGGAGTTGCATTCGCCAAGAGAACGACCCTGGATGAGATCATGCATTTGGTCTTGTACTGGGGGACACAAAGAGGATGCGGTCCCCGATTCACCGTTATCCATTCGACTGTCTTCTTGTCGGTAAGCCGGTGAGGCACCTTCAAGACCAAGACCGCACTGCACTCAGTCACGATGAAGCTCTTCAGTCCCACGCGCAGAAGCGCAGCTAGCGCACTCCTTTCTCTCACCCTCTTCAACACTGTCTCCGCCCAAACCATCCCGGCCAATGGCACCGTGTACGATTACATCGTCGTCGGCAGCGGCCCCGGCGGTGGTATCGTGGCCTCCAACCTCGGTAAGGCCGGCTACTCGGTACTCCTGCTCGAAGCCGGCGATGAGTCGCCGGGAAGCGGCTTCGGCAAGTACACCCCGACGGTGACCTGGGACTTTTACGTCAAGCACTATCCGGAGGGCGACCCACGCGATAACCAGTTCAGTCATCTGACGTGGTTGACGCCCGAAGGCCGGTACTGGGTGGGCAACACGGGTGCGCCGGAGGGGTCGGAGCTGTTGGGGGTGTATTATCCGCGGGGTGCGACGCTGGGCGGGTCGTCGATGATCAATGCTATGTCTACGTGGTTGCCCAGTGATAATGATTGGGATTACCACGCCGAGGTTACCGGTGATGATAGTTGGAGGTGGGTTTTGTCTTACCCCTTTGCATATCTGATCCGACCATAAATAGCAGGACTAACGTGTAGCGCAGAGCCGAGAACATGCACAAGATCTTCACCAAGATCGAAAAGAACAACTACATGCCGGCCGACACCCCCAACCACGGCTTCAACGGCTACTTTCAAACCCAAATGGACGTGCGCCAACAGGGGACCCCGCAGGAAGGCAACGCCGTCATGGCAGCCTACGCAGCCGCCTGGAACCTCACGCTTCCCATGTCCGACCTCCTGATCCGCGACCCCAACGAGATCGGCCCCGACCGCGACGCCACCAACAGTATCTACGGCATTGTCCACCACGAGTACGCCAACGGCGACCGCTACAGTTCGCGCAACTATGTCCAGGACTCCGTGGCGGCCGGCGCCAACTTGACCGTCTCGCTCACCTCCCTAGCCACGCGCGTATTATTTGACACTTCATCAGCGTGTCAACCGGCCAACGACACCGCGGGTGCTCCCCTTCCGCGAGCAACAGGCGTAGAATTCCTCTTCGGAAAATCCCTCTATCAAGCCGATACCCGCCGGGATCCCAACACCCCAGGTACGAAGCTCACAGCGCTGGCCCGACGCGAAGTCATCATCTCGGGTGGCACCTTCAACTCCCCGCAAATCCTCCTCCTCAGCGGCGTGGGCAACGCCACAGAGCTCACGGCCCTCGACATCCCCGTCATCGCTGACCTACCCGGCGTCGGCCGGCACCTGATGGACAACCAGGAGATGCCTATCGTGGGCACAGGCAGTGGCGGGTCGGGGACCGCGGGCATAGCGATGTACGAGACTGCGCATTCCCCGCGTGAAGGGGAGCGGGATATGTTCCTGATGGGCGCGCAGGGGTTTTTGTTTAGGGGGTTCTGGCCGGATGATCCGGTGCATGTGCCCGAGGAGGCGGCGGCGCAGCCGTATGGGGTGAGTATCGTGAAAGGGGCGAGCATGAATGATGGCGGGTGGGTGAAGTTGCGGAGTGCGGACCCGACGGAACGGCCGGAGATTAATTTTAATCATTTTGCGGAGGGCGCCGAGTATGATTTGGAGGCGATGAAGGATACGGTGGCGTGGATTCGGACGGTGTATCAGGGCGTGGGGATTACGCCGTTGGAACCGCCGTGTGGGTTGGACGAGGACGGGGGAGAAGCGGTACCTGATGAGAATGGGTCGTGTGGAGAGGCGGATGCGGCGTGGATTCAGAAGCAGACATTTGGGCATCACCCGACATCGACGAACAAGATTGGGGCGGATGATGATCCGATGGCGGTGTTGGATGGCAAGTTTCGGGTTCGGGGGGTGAGTGGACTGCGGGTGGTTGATGCTAGTGCGTTTGCGCGGATCCCGGGGATTTTCCCGGCTGTGTCAACGTTTATGATCTCACAGAAGGCGAGCGACGATATGTTGGCTGAGCTGGAGGCTGGGACGGCGCTGCAGGAGTGTCAATTGGTTTAACAGTGGGTTGTAACTGGGAGAGTACCTAGGTAGGTAAGTATTAATACAACAAAATAGGGGCGAGGGGCTCAGGGGCTCGTCAAGACAAGCACCTTCTTTCAGCACAGTTGACCACATTCCCTCCTCCAAAATTATCCGACAACACCTTGATTAGGGCATAAATAGGCCAGAAGAATTAAATTCGAAAATACACCCCACGCTAGCATCGCTCAAACACTCAGCACTTCTCTTCATCCTTGAGCGTCCCGTCTTTGGGCGTTCCATCAATCACTCGGACTTCAACCCCACGGTCTCCGTTACTAAACAGACGGTAAAGCACCTTCCAAGCCAGAATTACCACAGCTCCAGCAATGGTACAACCTGCAGCGATGAGCAGACCGCGTGTGTAGCGAGGTGCATCTGTATTCGAGTCAGGTTCACTCCCAACCCACGGGTCATACTGGTTTGAGAACCGCAGGACGTACCTTCATCGCGGAATAGCTGGTTTCCAGGAAACCCAGCCAGCTGAATGGAGATAACATATGCCGCCAGCGCAATAGGCCGCTTGTAGTCCTCCATCTTGGACGCTAGCCATGCAGCGTTGATAGCCTGGGCGCTGCCCATACCCATCTGGGTCATCACGACGCCGCCTTATCAACAAGTTAGCTTCACGTTCAGCAATAGTGTGAGTAACTAGAGCTGTAAGAAAAGGTCTTACCGTAAAGCACCCATTTTGAAGAGCCATCAGGTGCAAGGGCAAGCCACAGCAGCCCTGCAGCGCCCCAGAGAAAACCAACCGTGATATGCACACCGCGCTCCTGGAAACGGTCGCTGCTGTAGGCGAGAAGGATGGATAGGATAAGCGCACCCACGCTCCCGACTGAGTTCATGCCGTTGGCTTGCAGGCCCGTGAACCCAAGGGACTTGATCATCGATGGCGCGTATGTGTTCACCGGTTGAATCATGACCCTGTATCTCAACATTAGACAAGGTGCTTGATAACGGAAGCGGATGACGAGGGCCAAAGAGGAGATCATACATGGTCAAGAACGCGGAAAGGATATGCCCGTAGAGCTTCCAGTCAGTAAAGGTGTTGATGATGTGAGACGGGAGGACAGGCTTTCCGTAGCGGAGAGCCTTGCTCGGGTCGTTGCGGAGGACACGCGTGACGATTATGGTGCCTTGGCGGTGGCTGAAGAGCTTCACCGGGAAGCCGAAAAAGACCTTGGGCGACGCAGCGTTATGCGGTAGGTAGAGATAGGCCACCACGCCCAGGAAGCAGGTAAGGATGCCCTCTGCGCTGGACGTTAGCTATTCCCATTCGCTTATTTCTTAGTAGTCAACCCTCCGGCATGAACTCACCCACGAGAAACAACCACCGCCACCCGGCAAGCCCATGTCTACCCCCCAAAGACAATAACCCAACCGCCATCGGTCCCGACAACGCGCCAGCGACAGAATTCGATGCCCAGAAAATGGCGTATCTAAGCCCCAGTTCTTGATTGGTGTAGAACTTGGAGATGTACAACGCCATGCCGGGAATGTACCCGCCCTCGAGCGCTCCGAGAAAGAAGCGGCACGCGTACAAGCCAGACGGGTTATGAACGAAGACCTGGCACCACGTCACAATCCCCCACAAGCACATCGTCACGGGCAGAAAACGCTCCGGGCCGACAGCCTTGGAGATCATGTTAAACGGGATTTCCGTGAGGATGAAGCCGACGATGAAGAGCGTCTGCGCGAGATTGATGTGGTAGTTGTCGACGTGCGCATCCTTGCGGAGCGTGTCGGTCAGCGCGTTGGAGACATTGGTGCGGTCGAACTGGAGGAAGACAAAGAAGAGCACGATGAAGGGCATGATCAGCGTGTCGACGCGCCGTTTGGCCGCGCGCTCTTCGGTGTCCGTCCATGTCTCATTTGGCGAGTAGCCAGGAATCTCGAAAGCGGCTTCTGTCGCCGCGACAGACCCATCTTCTTTCTCCGTGGTGGTGTGCGTGGACGAGGCCACTGGGGCTTTGATGTTATTGTTGGCCGTCATCTGGCCGGTCGGCTGCCGATTGGCAAGGGTAACGCGGTTGTCAGTCGCTCAGTCGCAAGGCAAGTCGGGGGAAGTGGGGGAGACGGCTGCAAATGCTGGGGTGACGGTTATCCTTGCGAAGAACCGCGTCCGGGGGACGTTTATAAGAAACCAATGCCATGATGTCGCCTGGTTGTCGATATCTTTGGCGATAACAACATCGAACCTAGAATTGCGTGCTTTCGCAATCCAGTATCAAGACGTGGGATGCACTACATCGATGTCGTAGAGATCCTAACAAGGAGATTTGGCCAACGCGTGGAGTGTGGGACTTGGTTTGCTGGGGTTATCGTACCCAGCGGCTTGCCGTCGGCATGCCGGTGGGAAGCCGATGGCACGCCCCGGTGGGAAGCCGTACATCCCGCGGCCGGCGACCGGCGAGACCCACGACCACGACAGGAAAGGGAAAAGATCACGAGATAATTCACGATGACGAACGTTAAAAGGGTATCTGCGTCAGCAGCTTTATCATCTTGGATAACACAGTATCTAGGTACTCATCAGCTCTTGCCACTCACTCAATCAGTTAAGCGAACCGGTCTTTCACTGAGCTTGCACTGAGTTTACATACTTCAATTCACCAAGATTCTATCAGTCTATCTGGCTTCATCAAGATCCTGAAAATGGAGCAAAACACTCTCAAACGTCGTGGTGTTGGCCTCATTGGCGTTGACAAGTCCCGCTCCTTCGGCGGCTACACCCTCTTCTGCCCCCTGACCTCCGACGTTGCACACCTCATCGACATCGACGGGAACGAGGTTCACCAGTGGAAGCTGCCGGGCCGGATCGGGCGCCATGCGCGGATCCTCCCGAACGGAAACCTCGCCGTCAACACCATCGACGCAAACCGCAAAGACATCTTCCCCTTCTTCAACAAGTATGGCGGCGGCATCATGAGCGAGCTCGACCCGGACGGAAAAGTGGTGCGGCAGTTCCAGGACGAGTTCGGCCATCACGACCAGTACCACTTCGGCGATGGCCGGCTTTTGTACGCCAGCCTCGAGGCCCTGTCCAAGGAGGACTCTGCCAAGGTCGTGGGCGGCGTGCCCGGGTCCGAAATCGACGGCATCACCTACGCCGACACCATCAAGGAAGTAGACGCCAACGGGAAACTAGTCTGGGAATGGAAAGTCTCGGAGCGGCTGCCGCGGGATGAGTACCCGCTCCAAGCGCACTACACACGCGAGCACTACCCCCTCATCAATGCCGTCTTCCCCCTCAAAGACGGCAACATCCTGGCATCCATGCGCTCCGTCTCCGCGGTGGTCATCATCTCGAAGGCGACAGGCGACATCATCTGGAGCCTCAAGTCAGACGTGCTCGCCCAGCAGCACTGCGCCAACGAGCTGCCCAACGGGAATATCCTCATCTTCGACAACGGCGCCTTCCGCGCCGGTGAGTCCATCATGTACAGCCGCGCCATCGAGGTGGACCGCAAGACGAAGGAGATCGTGTGGGAGTACCGGGACAAGTCGCAGATGATTGCTTTTTACACGCCTTTCATGGGCAGCGCGCAGCGGTTGGAAAACGGGAACACGCTGCTCTGCGAGAGTGGATTTGGGAGGCTATTTGAGGTCACTAAGGAAGGGTATGTTTGCTGGGAGTATGTCAACCCGCACTTCCAGGCGTATGAGGATAAGCGGACAGCTGGGTTGTTTCCGGGTGAGTCGAACGCGTTGTTCCGGGCGTACCGGTATTCGGCCGAGGAGATCCCTTGGTTAAAGGAGAAGCTGCCCGAGAGCAGTTGAGTAGCGGCCTAAATTAGTATTCATGTAATTAAATATCTGCCGCGTTCTTTTTTCTCTCAATGATCCGCGATTGCAATGTCACCAACATTCTCCAGACCGCGTTTCGCAGCAACTGAGAACCGAACCCTGAGGATCCATTGCAGACGCACGGGGATTGCCGTCTGTCGTCGTCGCCGTGTGTACTTCGGTTTGTACCAAGTACTAAGCAGGCTAGGTACGAAGCAGTCTTGACTGTATAGAGTGCCTTAGTCGTTAGTCAAAGTTAGGTACCGTACGGATACTGCGATGGTCTGGGACTCTGGGAACGTGAAGAACGGGATTGTCGCGAAAATTACTTGGTTGGAGAAGCGAAGCTGCTGAGTCATCATTTCATGGGTGCACAACCCTCCAATTAACTTTACGGATGCGTACGATAACAGTTATCTTATGTGACGACATGCACGCCGATAAGCACGCGATAGGTCCTCTCATGTCACCCCAAGTTCTGCACCCGTTGTCGCTCATCTGGGCCCTTCCATTAATACCCACACGATTCACTCCACGCAGTTCCAAACTAGTAAATTCACTTTGTCAGGTCCAACATGAAGCATGCCTCCGCTTCGGACGGACCGTGCATCCAAGGCGTGCACCACCTGTCGGCGGCAGAAGACGCGATGCTACCGATCGGAAAGTGGGCCCGGCACATGTCTTCGTTGCCAGACCCTCAAGCAGCCGTGTTCTCTTGAGCTGCAGGATGAAGATGCCGTGACCATTCAGGGGCCGGCCTCCGGCCACGATCCGGCCCACGATCCGGCCATCTACCAAAGGTAACTACATTTTTCTTCCGCCTTCTAAATCTAGTAATTGAATTAAGCGATTGGTTACCCGAATATGGTGCTGACCACGGGGCCGCGCCCAGGCTGGACCGGTTGGAGCTTGCTCTAGGCAAGCTAGTAGAGCGGATTGATACACGCCTCGACATTGTGGCGCCCATATCTAAACCCATTTTAATGGATGGCTCGCTATCATCTCTATCAAGAGCTGCAGATGAGGAAAGATCCTCGGAGGAGCCCGACGAACCACCTGTCATGGTAATCCGTGATGCTGCCACCGAGATCGGCATTCACTCACCAAACGACACATATGCTTCACCGGCGAATCAGTCTCACATTCTCTCCAAGGGGTTCCTCTTGTACGAGGAAGCATGTCAGCTTCTATCCATGTAAGCGGCGCGGTCCACAATCCCAACTTGTCGGACTAGCACTTATTAAACCAATCTTAGCTTTCAAGAACATTATGGACGCTGGGTTAGGTTCGACGAGTCGATGCCAATCCATGACTTGCTCTCCCTCGTGACCAGGTCGCCGTTGCTCTTATGCAGTGCCTGCCTAATTGCTGTCCGTCACACGACGGATGACCTAGCGGCCCGGCTCGCCCCGCCTCTTTTCGATGAAGCGCAGACATTGGTCTCCAGGTCGCTATTAACCACTAATAATTCCACAAGTTTTTTCGAATCGGTTTTGGTTCTCAGTTTATGGTCAACTACAGTGGGACAAGTCCCGCTTAGTATCGACGGCTGGCTTCTCACCAGTTATGCTATCCAGCAGGCCCTGGCGAATCCTAATTTCGCATTCCTCACGGAACAAACCTCGATGCCAGTTGACAGAGATGTTTTGGATACGTGGTGTGTTTGGAACCATCTCTGTCTTGCACACCTACAGTTAGTCCACTATCCACTCTACTCTTCACACAAGAGTTAATACTAATTGACTTGGCTAGATACTGTATCGGAACACGACGGAAGGCGGTGCTCCACCAGAATGATATTGACGCCTGCAAGCGTCTCGTCGACCGAGTAGACCAACATCGCTTGTCCAACTTTGAGATGCGCATGGTGGCTGAGGTCAAATTATACTGGATCATTTACACCTATTCCACTGATTCTCACGTTGATGTTGGGGCCGCCGACGTAGCGTTGCGGTCGTGGCGTACGGAATGGGAGTTCTTATTTGGTAAGCTCTCCCCCCACACCATTCGATGAAACCCTCCGTACTCATCAGCTCCTTAGAACAACCGCGATCGCAATTTTTGCAAATGGGGTTCGACTTCGCTCAGTTACTCACCTTGAGGCGAGCAGTCAAAGCCAATCACAGCCGGATGGGTAACTCCCGGCTCGCAAAGCTCATCCAACTCACCACCTCCATCATCAATCTCGCGATGGAGACAGCCGATGAGCGCACACAGCACCTCACCGATCACATATACCACATCGTCATCTTTTCCGCCATCACGCTCTGTCAGCTTCTCCGCAAGTACGAAGACCAGCTTCAACACACCCAGGACGTTCCCGCGTTAGACTCGCTAGTCGCCAGGCTGGTCGTGTGGTTGCGATCTATCGGGCTGCGCTGCCACGTCGCGCGTATGCTCGGCGACTTGCTCTCCGCCCAGCATAGGAGGCTGCGGCCGGGGGGCAGTACTCCGTCCGGGAACTCGGTGTTGGTGGGTGTGCCGACGACGAATGCCATGTTCCCGCACATTGTTACGACCGAGATGTTGAACGGGGTTGATACCAATTTGTTGCTCGATTTATGGCCGCCGTGGGATTGAATTTTTAGATAACATCCCGGTTGTCACAGGCTCACATTAAAGGAGGGCTTTTGCGTATCAGAAGGGACTAATTACAGGAACAGACTAGCAAGTCAGAAACACCAACGACGAATGGTAGGAAATAGGGAGAGTGAAGGATAAACTTTACTAGCATGGCGTTAGCGGAGCAATTATACCCACCCCAATTAAATATCACCGGTTTTCGATGGATTTTACTCTCAGATTTAAGACCCGAAGTACAAACTGGAAAGTAAAACCCAACGGGGGACGCTACCTCTAGGGGGCGAATCAAGCGCTAAGTTTTCGAGTCGACGTCCAGAACGAATTTCACCAAAGAGTTTCAAGCGGAGTCAAAGTTCCCCCTTCTGAGCAGTCGCGGGAATTTCAAGGGCCTATCATGGCTTTGTTCTCGTTGGTTGGCTTTGTTGCGTTGGGAGAGCTGAAAGACGTTCACTCGCTCACTCACCTGTGCCGTCCGTCATGACGACCGAACCGGACCGCCCGTTTTCAACAAGGCCGTGTGGTGTAGTGGTAGCATACTTGCTTTGGGTTCCCAAACTTGCAAGTGGTCCCAGGTTCAAGCCCTGGCTCGGCCCCGTTTTTTATTCTCACCTTGTTGTCAGCACTTGTTCAATCACGGGAATGAAAGCAATTAGACTGTTCTATGTCACATATTCTATTAGATGTTTCCGGGACACAGTCTTGTTTTGTCGAACTTTTTGCTGCGCTCTAATCAACTAGTTACCGAACATCTCCCCTAAGCATCCAGGATGGCCTTGGCTGCCTGGGTGATGGCCCCCAGTGCAGCCAAATACAGCTGCGGCCCAACGCTGACTCGCGCGGCCCCCAGTCTCGCAATGTCGGCGCTAGTCAACGCCTTCTTCTGCACAGACGTCTCCTTGCGCGCCTGAATATTGACCCGCCCCCCAAACGCATCCACCAGCTTCTTCACATCTTCCTCCGGCGTCTCCCTCGACCCGCCCCAAAACACAAACACCGTCGTCGCGCCCGCCTCCAGGTACTTCTTCCCGCGCCGAATCGACTCCTCCAAATCCTGATGCGCCGGCCAGCTATCAGCGCGCGCATTCACCACAAAATCCGGCACGCCCACCTCCGCGGCGACCTTGACCGCGCGGCGCACCCGGTCCACCGCCTCCTCCTCCCCAATCACCTTAAATGTCGCCCGGTCCGAGTCCTCCAAGTTAACCCCGACCGCCCCCAACTCCGTAATCACCCGCCGAATGACCTCCTCCAGCCGGTCGCCGTAACCGTCCTGGATGTCCACCGTCAGCGGCAGGCCCAGTTCGTGCGCGACGGCGGCGATGGGGGCGAGCTGCGTCAAGTTTTGCTCGAGGGTTAGTTGCCCGTCGTCGACGCCGACGGTCTGGGCTACGGCCCAGCTGGCGGAGGCGAGAGCGCGGACGTTGGGGAGCGTGCCGACGATGCGGGCCGAGATGGGGTCATAGACGTTGGCTAGGAGGAGGGGTTTGCCGGGAACGTGGAGGGCTTTGAAGTCTGTGGCTCGGGCGGCCAGGGTGGTGATGGATGGGGTCGCCATTGGGTTGTGTGGTGATAGTGTGGGGTTCGGAGCTGCGAGGGTCTTGAACACAGTAAGTTGAAGAAGAGGTAAGACTGTGAGTATCCGCAGTGCGATGATTTCTTCAATTCGACCCTTGAGCCCTCGACAGATGAATCTTTATACGGAACAATCGCCTAGAGTTAGTTTCGACCGACTCGTGCTCGGCTCCTAGGAGGAGCCGACGTCTTCCGCGCTTCTCCGCTGCCTGCTGACGGAGCACTGCGCGCTCTTGGCGTGACGCACATGTCATGTTGCGCAAAGGGCGGACGCCATGTCGTTCGCCCGCAAAGTGATGTTGACTAATAGGTAACTTGCCTACACAATGGTAAACTTTTGGGCGATCGTTGTTACACAACAGACCCTTAATGGGAAAATGAGCCTAGGGTTTACCGGAATAGACTTTTTCCAAAAGACATGATTATCTGTTTTGTGATCTACCCGGCCTCTACGTAAGATCGGGATGATGAACAATTCCCCTTACAACGTCAAGGCATAATCGTCAATTAGATTAGATTGAATCTACATGATCAAAAAAGCAACAGAGGACAGAATGTTTCGCCACAGGGGTATATTTCCTAATGCAACATCCAAAATCGTAATAATGGACCCAAAAGTAGATAAAATTTGCTCGTGACTTCGTAACAAGGTAAAGAAAAAAGATATCTAAACAGCTGACAGAAAAAAGTGAAACATACAAAAGAAAGTAACAAACTGCAGCGCTCGCTCCCAAAATGACCAGAATAATAGCACAGACGGGGTATCATCAACAACCATCCTCCATTTGCAAGCGAGCTCAAATGGCCTCAGCCACGAGCACACAACTTGCTTCCACCGTAGCTCCCCTTGAAAAGCGACGTCATCCGCTGGTGTGCCAGACCACAAGAAGAGGGCCAGTCCGATCGCAGCGCGCAGCTGCATAGGCGGCCCAGACCCAAGGGCAGTCGGGGGTCTGTTATAAAAGGCGGACCTGCTACGAGCCGTCAGGGCCCAGCACAACCCAGGGATCAACGTCGCTTTCCGCCTCCGTCCCTGCATCCGTCATCATTACATCCTCCGCCATGTCGTAGTCTGATAAAGAAATCCTCCCAGAAGAAAGTGAAACCAAATCAAGTGAATTGTCCTCCGATGCCGCGGGGATGGTGCGTGTCTCGTGGTAGTCGTCGTCCTCCAGCTCGTAAATGACCGTCACCAGCTGCCCGTCGTGTTGCGTAGTCGTCCGTTGCTGGGACTGGGGCTGGGACGGCATGGATGTCGTTTGGGAGAAAGAAGAAGTACCCGATAACAGCCAACCCGCCACCCGTTCATCTTCCCCAAACGCTGAAACCGCCAAATCCACCGCTGATAGCCCAGAGGGCTCATGATACCAATCATCCCCCTCCCTTCCACCCCATTCCTCTCTCTCCTCTTCTTTCTGCTCCTCCGCCTTTACGCGATCCGCTGCCACCCTCCGCGCACCGGCCCTGCGCCGCGACCGCTGGGGTCGCACCCGCAAGGAGTACGTCGGTTCCACATGGTCAATCTGTGCCAGAGAGAACCCTGAGCCGCGCTCATGGACGTCGTCGTAGAGCACACCGAGGCGGTACAGCTCGGCAATGTCTTCGTCGTTGTCGCTACTGTTGTGGTTGTTGTTGTTGTCGTCATCATAGTGGTTGCGAGGAATAACGCGTGGGGTCGCCCAAGATTGCGGAGGCTTCTTGGCCGTCTTTTCGTCGCGAAAGGCGTCTTGTCGTTCTAGTGATGGTGGACGTCTTTTCTCTCCTTCCCCGTCTTGACTACCACCACTACCACCGCCACTGCGCCTTCGACTTCGCCTCGACTGCGTTGATGACTGGCTTGACTGGCTGGACTGACTTGACGGGGATATCTCATCTTCACTAGATCCTCGGGGCGCAGAACCCCATTCCGGCGTTAGATCTTCACCTGGCAGCGCAAGTGTCGAGCGCGCAAGGACACATCCCTCGTCCGCGTCTGCAGACCATGGACTGCGTCGCTTGGTGTAATGCGGCTCAGAGGAAGAACTTGGGGTTGGGACAGGGCTTGCGTCGTGGGATGATGATGGACTTGGCTCAGGGGAATTCCGAGCGAGTTGAGCACGCCGCCGGAGCTTATCGTGATGCTTGTTGTTGCTGTTGGGTTTGAAATTGGACCTAGACCTACTGCACCGGTCGAGCGTGGTGCGGTAGCTGTCCGGGTCTAACCCGCAGGCGTCACCAAGGCATCCGCGGCGTGGATGGGAGATGCGGAGAGAATGGGTGTGGCGAGACCCGGAAATTGGTTGCCCGGAGGCGATGATGCTGAGGCCGAAACCCGAGCCGGAATCGGTGCCGGACTCGGAGATGTCGTTGGACCCACCCGGACCCGGAGGCCCGGGTATGGGTATGGGAAGACTTGCGTTTCGTAAGGGTAGGCCCATGATGGGGTTTTAATATGGATGGGCTTTTCAAAAAGTAGTTGTTCAGTTGTTCCTAGTTTTTTGTTTTGTTTTCTGCGTTCTTCGTTCCTTTTCCAACTGTCAGTTTGCTCGGATTCGACAAGGGCGCGTCGGATGTGGTGTGCCTAGCAGGTACGCTTGGACGTTGAGGACACGCCGGTGATGCGAGAAAAAGTACAAAACTGGACTGACCGAAACGAGGGGAAGTGGCTCGAACGAGGACGAAGACGTCGATGTCTTTTTGAACAGGGGCGGATCATGACCAGTGTGGTCGCTTATTGGCCCTTTGTTCATGACGGCGTCAGAGTCATGGTGAAGTTTGGGGCGACCCGGTTCATTGGGCCTGGCGGTCCTGGCCCCGTTGGGGGCGAGTTGGCGGGTGGGAAAGCGCTGGGATTGGTGGGGCTCCAGCCCTGTGACTCACAGCCCTACCCGTCTGGGGCCGCCAGTGTGGCAGCGCTAGGCACTTCAGGCAGGGTAGCCATTAGCGTCGCAGCAGTCCCTCCCCCCTGTCACCACTCAAGGCAGACAGACTGGCAGAGTGAGACAGACTGCTCATGTGCTCCTGAATTTCAAGCCCCCACCATTTCGGCACCATCAACATCCCGCCGTGTCCCTTCTTGATGAGTTCGGATAGAAGTCAGAACGGAAACAAGAGATGCGGGTCGACTAGTCGGTCTACGTGGACAATAAGGTGCGTTTGATTATTGATATCACGATGGGAAGATGACTCGATGAGTTTTCGGAATTTCTAGATTGGAAGAGGAAGGTAATATTACATGTGCTAATGCCACATCCGTCGAGAAGTTGCTCTGTACAAAGGAACGGCACCTCTCAGGCTGTCCCGCAATTAGTCCTCGTCATCAGAAAAGCTCTCTCGGGGATCCCAGCCCGCGCAGCCGGGGCAGCCCCCCGCCCAATACATGTGGACCAGGGCGCCCGAGGCCCTCAACCGCGGACCGTCCCACATAACAAATCCCCAGCGACGGAATGCTTCATGCACATACGGGCCAAAGAAATTGCTCGCTTTGCCGTACCAAAAGGTTACCCAGGCGAGCGGAGGTTGGTCTGGCGTGTCTTTGACGAAGGGTGTCTTCTCTTTCCTTTTTTCCGGGCCATCATACTGCTCCGAGTACCACTGCTCCCGTCGATGATGCTGGTGTATGTCCTGGACCGCCTCGTCCATCCAGGTGGAATACATGCCGGCACCATGAAACTCAACCGATAAGATACTGTCTCGGACGAGTTCGACGAGTCCGTCATGGTCATCCAATTTTTTGAAGGCGAAGGCTAAAACGGGAAGACCATGGCGCAGCATAGCTTCTCGAGACTCTCGGTTGATATCTGATTGTAAGGTTGGTAAGGATGAAATTTCACTGGACCACGGCAATGGACTTTACCATAGCTTGGTGGACCCGAAAACAGCAACAAACTCTCTCGCACAAACTTGAGGTTCAGGTCTTTATATCCAGGGTTCCGTTCCTCGTTCAAATCCCAGGCGACGCGGTCGAAAATACCACCGTACGTGTCCTTACCGAACTCCTGAATACAGAGTATCTCCTCGATCTGCCAGGCTGGGAACAGACTAAGAACACGGAGACGCTCCAGGGGCTCTTGGAGAGATTGTGGCGAGCTGCGCCCTTCTCCCCGCGAGCCACAAAGATTGCAAAAGATTTGGAAGCGGTAGAGCGCCCGCTGAATTCGCACCTTCTCCGTCCAGCTGAGTGGACAGTCCTGTGGGGCCGAGGACAAGGCGGCCAGCGCCCAGATTGAGTACCGCTCCGTCAGAGGCTCGACGATAGCATGATGGAAGCGGACCAGCTGGACCAGATCATCTAAAGCTAGCGGCTCAGTCAGCTTGGACTGCGGAGTATTTGTCCCGTTCCGTTTATTCTCAAAGTCGTGAACGAAATCCCAAATCATTGGCTCGTCGCGTGTGAGTTGGAACTCGTCAGTTCCAGAGCGGTAGGCAGCGTAGGCGTCAAGAAAAATGCCCTCAAGGGACTGTTCCACAAAGGCCCGGAGGATGTGCAGTCGGTCCTGTGCGTAGACGCTGTGCAGCCGGGGGGACGCGTGGACAAGGGCGCGCAGCGTGTCAAGCATCGGCGCCTGCGACAGGATGAGTCGCTGGATTTCGAAGGGCAGGCTCTCCAACGGCCCGGTAACGTGATGATGAAAACTTGAAAGGGGGCGGCATTATAGGTACCGGGAAAATGCGGTTGACGCGTTGCACTTGCCAGGCCGGGAAGATTCGAGAGATTGAAGCTTTGCCGGAAGGGATAGCCAACAGTCAATTACGGTGACTCAAACCACAAGAGTTCATGAACAGCCTGTGCCGGGGCAATGACAGCTGCAGACCAACCGGCGGACACCCGTACACGATTGGCCCCATTTAAGGACCGCCCCACCTTTTCAACGGACCTCGGGGGCCAACCACGGGCACACGCCACAGCAAGACCACTCGAGAAAGCCTGCAGGCCAGGGGCCAAAGGAAGGAGGTACTAGATCATGTTTATTAGCAAACTCCGAGTGTGAGAGCATTGTTCCATGGGGGTCTGCGGTCTCCGGGTTTGAGACTCAAACATGTCCAACTAACACCAACAGCATGCGATAAGGGGTCGGGCGGGGCATAGCAGCCGGTCGGCCTCAGTGAGCCCAGCGAATCCCAGTGCACCAACAGCACGCTGCACTTGGCGTTGATGGTGTCCCTTCGATGTCGAGACGACTACTTGCAGTCGAGCCGGGTTTCAGGCCGACGATTGTCACCATCAACCCCGGGCCACTGCCAGTGAGCCCGAGCAACTAGCGAGAGAGATGGTGCAGAGAGGCGGTGATGGTACACACGACATGGCTGGCAGTCCCGTAGTCCATTCGGTGTATAAAACTAGGATGTTCACGTCCATTGGTGTCCCCGGTTCCTATCTTCCCATATTGTTTGACACACTGAGGACTAACGCCGGCGTTCGACCTCTTTTATACTTTCTCGCGTCTACCTACCGTCAGCCCCTTGGATTCTTTGGTTTTGAATCTCACATTATATTTCTCCCCTTTTCTGTTTCTCATTCACAATTGAAGATGGCCCCCGGCGTTAAAAAACTGTGGGAACTGTGGCCTGACAGCGAAAGGCTGCAGATATCGTCGCTGTAGCCGTTGTCGCAAGCGGGTTGAGAATGCGAGTGTCCTGGCCGGCGTGAGGATGTGCCCCTTGCACTGAGGGTAGGTGATCTAGGACTATTCGGCAGGGGGTAGACACCCACGATCACGTTTGTTGCTAATACTGTGATAGCCTTCTCAGCGAAGTAACGGAAGTGGCAGCCAAGGTCCACCTGTTGCTTCTCTTCCCCCCCATATTCGACCAAGACAGTCAACACCTGGAGAGAATACCGCCCCTACTCCTCCCCATCCCATTCCTCTGGTGTATCCCACTCCCCACCCTACTCCGGCTCGCCATCCCGTTGACCTTACACCTCATTCAGTCCCGACCGCTCCGCATCCGTCCGCGCGCCGCCCGGCTTCGACACACTCGGACTACAAGAACATTACATATGCGGACCGAGGCGACGCGCTACCCCCCAACATGGGCCCCCCTTATGATCCTTCGATACCAATCACGATTCCTGCGGACCACCAGCGGGTAATCGCGGGTTTGTGCGGTCTCAACTTTGGCAGCTATGCTGATCGCTTTGCTGCGCAGTCCGCCAACAATGAGCGGGTCCAGGCCAGACACTCGGATGACCCGCCGTACGGCAATGTCAATCTCTTTCGGACCGCCTCGGACATCGCTCAGCATGACAAGTACAAAGATGCGCAGACGATGGTGAATTCTGCCACCACAGCCGTCAAAGTGGCCATGAAAGATGCATCTAAGAATGGGACGGCGACGGATCCCGATGTGTTTTTCGAGGTAGCGGACGCACAGAGAAAACATCAGGGTGCCCATCTTAGGTGAGTTCTGCAGACCACGTCTATGTAGCTACCAGTACTTTGTTAAGCTGATTTCTGACGTTGTACTCCCTGCTTCACACTCACAGCGAGGCCGATGGCCGATTGCAGTGCTTAGAACTACGCCCTGACGGATACAGCGGGCCACAGGACTTGAAAACACATCTCGTGCCGATCCGTAACTCTCTGAACACAGCGGTCACCGCGGATGCTAAGGCGAGACGTTATGAAGAGTGTAAGCATTTGCTGCCCCGATCTGCCCCCGATTCATTGTGTAGTTCAGAAACACCCAAATTTTCTCCGACCGACCGGCTAATCGCTGTTCTTCAAAATGGCCAGTGGCGATCCGCAACCAGTTGCAGCAGCAATCCCGTACATACGCCGAAAACCCGCAGCTCGGCGTGGGTTATGTTGATCGACCTCCCAGTTCCTCCACGCTGCACTCTTCCCAGACTTCCCTGGTTTCGAGCCACGCGTCTGGAGCAACCCCGCCTCCTTTTGCGGAAGGTTCCAGTATCAAGCGCCGATGCCAGTATAAGAGCTCGCAACACGGGAAGCAGTGCCCCCAGTACACTAAGGAGGTGTTCTGCCGGAACCATCGTTCCCAGGGTTGATGGGTAGGATCATTGAACGCGGTACACCGTCGGGGTTGCGCATTGGACACGCGTCAGGGCTTTCCTACTTGATCATTTTGGGTATTATGCGGAATGTGTGGTTGCGGTGGGCGGGCCCAAGCCGCCGAACACTTGTTAGGAAGGATGCACCGGATCCAGGATCATGGGCATTCTTTATGTATCAATATTGTCAGTGCATTTTTGTACTCAGGCCGTTGACCGGCTTTAAACCTTGCCTTTCAACCTGTGTCGAACCCTACGGTATCTATCTTCGTGGTGTAGGTAGGTAAGTGCTAATTATGATGAACGTCGTCGACAACGAAACCCAGGCTCTCCTCATGTAGTCCAATGGGTAGGCAGCGACAGAAAAACCAGGAATTTTTTCCGTTATTATATATAAGTCTTCTTCGCCATTCTCATATATTCTCGTCGGACTTCGGCTGTGGTTGAAAACTAGGTACCTTACCTACCTGAGGTACCTAAGTGGTGGCCGTCCTTGCTACGGTCAAAAAAAGCGGCAGACCAAGTCCTTCGATACGGGAACTTAGGTCTAAATTAGGTACCTTTCTCCACAACTGAAAAAAGACCAAAAAGAAAAAATCGAAAGAGAGAAACAAGACTAAAAAGAATAAATCGAAAAAGGGATAGAAGTTTAAAAAGAATAAATCAAGAAAGTAAAAAGAAGACAAAAAAGACAAAAAGAGAGTAAATTAATCCAAGTCTGTTAAGATATGATCGAATGTTAATGGATTGGACTTAAGATAGGTAACTTAGGTAGGTAGGTAAGGTAGTTACCTTAATTATCGGTTTTAGTCTGCCCCGTTTTTTTGGCTACAGCGAGCCGTTCTTCCTCGATCTGAATGTAACCCTAACCCTAAGGAGCTCCGATTGGGACTGCACTTGGCAACTCACCGATAGCTCGGAATCGTGCGGCAAATCTCGGCAAATTCATTATCTCGACGGACTTCCACAACAGACGTCTTGGGTCTGTCATTCTCTGTCAGTGCTGAATAAACCGCTGCCAAACTGCAGCAAAAATAACGTGCTTTGCACTTGTCACTTTGTGACCTTGGTTGCAGTTCGCAAGGTGGGTTGGAAAGCAGCTTACAAATGCCGGGGTGAACACGCTAGCGCCAGTGGCTGATTGGGCCGGTGAATTCGAGACGAGTGAACGTGGCTCGGAATTACGACCACGGTAACGTTATGACAGACAACGTGCTTTCTTACAGGAACCTTTGTCATCTAGAAGCTTTGTCATCCAACTTGATATCGACGCCTCAACACCAAGTAATGTGAATGCAGATGGTTGACGATGAGGACGGAAAGGTATAAAGAGGGCGACGGCCCTCCCGTTCAACGTCCCAGCTCAACATCATCCTCACACACTTCATTAGCAACTCAACTGCAACCCACTATTCAAACTCACTCTTGAAAACCCACTCTACTCTTACCTTAACTAAACTTCAAAACCACTTCACAAAACACTCACAATGGCCCAACAAACCCCCAACACCGCTGCCTTCGTCCCGTCCGCCGGCGCGGCCCTCGTCCTCGGCGAACGCCCCATCCCCACCCCGGGCCCCAACGAGCTGCTCATCCGCACCCACGCGATCGGCATCAACCCCATCGACTGGAAGCGCCAAGCTTTCGGCATCGCCATCCCATCCTACCCCACCATCCTCGGCGCCGACGTCGCGGGTGTCGTGGTCGCCGTCGGTTCCGACGTAGCATCTTCCGGCCTGTTCCGTCCAGGCGACCGCGTCCTTGGCTCAGCCGACGCCATGGGATCGGGAAACTTCGACCACGCCGGTTTCCAGACTTACACCATCCTCTCGGCATCCGCCACGGCCCCGCTACCGAAGTTCCTCTCCTTTACGGACGCCGCGACCCTCCCGACCGCGACCAGCACCCCAGCCATCGCGCTGTACGAGACCCTCGGCCTGCCGGCCCCGGGCGTCCCCCTTCCGGCCCACAGCCGGAAGACGGGCATCCTGATCTGGGGCGGTGCGTCGCAGGTCGGAGCGGGCACGATCCAGATCGCTGCGCGTCAGGCCGGGTTGACGGTGTTTGCGGCTGCTAGCCCCGCACACCACGCGCGGCTGCGGGAGTTGGGCGCGACGGGGGTCGTGGACTACCGCTCGCCGACAGTTGTGGAGGACCTCCTGGCCGCGGCGGAACAGGCTGGGGTGGAGATCACGCTGGGGGTGGATGCGGTGTCTTCGGAGCAGACGTTGAAGACGACTGCGGAGGTGTTGAGCCGGTTTACTACTACGGAGAAGAAGGGACGATTGGCGACTGTGGCCCCGTGGCCGCAGGGGCTGACGGTGCCTGGGGATGGGAGTTTGGAGGTGGGGTGGGTACAGGGAGGCAAGATTTGGAGTGACAGGAAGGATTTGGGTGAACTGCTGTTCAACCAGCTGTTGGCTGGATGGTTGGAACGGGGCGAGTTTGTGCCTGGTAAGGCAAAGGTTTTGGAGGGGGGCTTGGGAGCACTGCAGAAGGGTTTGGAGGAGTTGAAGAAGGGGGTCAGCGGGGAGAAGTTGGTCGTAGAGGTGTGAGGTTGAGTTCGAGTTTGGTCAGTTATTCTGGGGAAGGCCCAAAACAGAAATTGAGGGTTTAATTTAGTTAGATCTTTGAGAGGGATTGTGGTTTACCAATTGAGCTTTTTTACCGAATAACTTTGGAAAGCAAATTAAAAGTGCAGAAACATGTTACATCCGCGACGGCCGACCTTAATTTCCTCATCGCATTCCCATTTCGAGCGTTGGACGTCGGGCTGATCTGATGGGAGATTGCGAACATGAATAAAGGACGCGTGAATGCGGCGTTGCAGATGAGCCCAGACCAGTAACGCTGCTGCGGGAACCCTGGCTTGGCTGGATCGTCCCATCGTCCACGCCCTGCGGCTCCAGCAAGCGTTACATCGGTCCCGTCTGATATCAGTTCGAAGGTGATCTGATGTAAGCGCCAAGCCGTAGGATTATCCGACCACCACCTTATTTTCATCCATCCTTCTTTTAGTTAGGTTCCCCAAATTCCCAATGGGCCCAATCTTCTTCGTTAATCGCCGGCGCCTGCCTGTGATCAAGCTCAGGCACACGTGCATCGCAAAATCATGTTCTTGGGGGGAACTCACACAGTACGGCCTGCGCGGAGCCGGAAGGAAGGATTCGAGGCTTTCCTCCGTCCGACCGTTCTTCAAGAGGTCGCCCGTCGCGTGTCGCATGGAGGTTCCTGGTTGGCGCATGCAACCTACCGAGCCAACCTTATTAGGTCCGAGGCGACCCGGCTGCAACGCCGCTGCAACGCTCAGCCGTGCTGCGGCTTCCCGCGCGTTTTATTATTATCTTTTGACCCTTGGCTTGGCGTAGGCAACCCAAATGCAAACAAGCGACCCCTGGAAGCGTTTGGCTGTGGTGGGCTGGAGCCGAAAATGTCCCTCACGACCCTTTTTAACGGTCTGTTCGGAAACCGAGTGATACAAAATGGACACAAGCCCGCGTCCCCACGTTCTTGTCGTGACTACGTGAGACGCTGTTCTCAAAAACACTGTCTGAGACACTCTCAACCACGTTGTACATTATACTACCCCAGTCTAGCACCCTGCCGAATCTGTAACGACCTGCAAAACCCCCTCCCTGAAGCCGTCGTGCCCTCCCACCAACCGCCCACGATGCCCAAAATCCTGCTGGTCACCAATTCCGAGCACGGGCAAGCCAACGTGTTCCTCGCCGTCGGTCATGGCCTTCAAGCCCTCGACCCAACCACGGAGGTCCGCTTTGCCTCGTTCGCCCCCATCGCCGACGCCGTCGCCTCGGCCTCGGCCTACTCGGTGCAGACAAATCCCGGTGCGGCCCCATGGAAGTTCGAGCAGCTCGACGGGGTCGACTTTATGAACGCAACCAATAACAAGGAGGATCAAAACCGGATCGGCGATAGCATCGAGAAGCGGCCGTCTTTCTCGTCGGTAAAGGAGATCCTGCGCAAGCTGAGCGTCTTGTTGCTGCCATGGAGCGGGCCCGAATTTGTTGTGGTGTACAAGAGCCTGGTGCGGATCTATGAGGAGACCCGGCCGGACCTTGTGGTGATCGATTCGCTCTTTGCTCCCGCGTTGACGGCGGCCCGTCACCTGGGTTGGAACCACCTTGTGTTTTCGCCAAATACACTCAAAGACTTTGCTGCGGCGCACCAGCCAAAGGCCGCCGTGCTCTGGAAATTCCCAATGTAATAACCACCCTCCTTTTCTCTCACTGTCGCGATGGTCAGCTAATATCTCTCTCCTCCCCAGGATGGGCTCCGCTTTTGAGTTCCCCGTACCCCTGAAACAGATCCCCCTCAACATCTTCTATGTCTTCTACCAAATCTACCACTCCATAACCGACCGCACCATCAAGACCGCCGCCACCCACATCAAGGCTGAAACCGGCGCCAGGCTCATCACGTTCACCGACCTCCTACTAAAGCCCCGACCTGACGATAAGGTCCTCGTCAGCAACCGGCCCGAGATCGAATTCCCCCTCGCCGTGATCCCCAAACACCTCTTCCCCTGCGGGCCCGTCATCCGGCCGGTGCCCCCCGTCAAGGACGTGGACCCGGAACTCGATGTCTGGCTTGCCCGGGGACCCACCGTGTTCATCAGCCTCGGCACCCACCGTTTCATGAAAGAGGACGAGGCGCTCGAGATGGCCGGCGCGATCAAGCAGTTGCTGGACGCCGGTGATGCGCACAAGGGGGATATCGTGGAGGGGGTATCGGGCAAGCTGCAGGTCCTCTGGAAGCTGAAGCGGCACCGGCCGAGTGAGCCGAAGCTGTATGAGGTCGGGCCTGGGTCAAAGGTGTACGAGGTGCTGCGGCCGGCGATCGAGGCGGATAGGCTGCGCATCGTCGACTGGGTTAAGCCCGAGCCATCAGCCGTGTTGATGGCCAAGACGGTCGTGTGCTCGATTAACCATGGCGGCGCCAATTCGTTCCATGATGCTCTGACGTGAGTTTTCTTCTCTTTTTTCCTGATCCACTCCGTACGTGCTTCCTAGCGCTCAACTTAACTAACTTGTTTTCTTGCCACAGCTCCGGCGTCCCCCAGGTTGTCATCCCCCCTTGGCTTGACTGCTATGACTTTGCCACCCGCGCAGAATTCCTCGGGATCGGCCGCTGGGGCAGCAAGCAGGCCATGCCGCGCTGCACGACCGCCGAGCTAGGCCCCATTCTGGTTGATGTGGTTCTGGGACCGAATGCGAAGGCCATGCGCACCAAAGTCCAAGAACTGGCTGCGCTGTGCGGCCAAACGCCGGGCGTGGAGGTCGCTGCGGCACAACTGCTGGAGGCGGCGAGCGGGAAGAAGGTCGATTGGAGCTCGAGTGAGTAATGAGAGAGGAGAGCGTAGGTGTTGTGGTGGATTAATTGATACCAAGATGAGAGGAAGACATGGTGGGTTGTAAGAGATGTTCCTATGATAGACATCATGGACATGTAGTGCCGAGATAATTATACCCATAGATCATTTTCTAAGATTTACTCCTCGTTATCATACCCTGTCCAATCTATACGCACTAGGCTTCCCATTGCTAAGATTACCATAGTGGGAAAATGCGAGGCGGGCTCACCCCCGGCGGCTAAGTGGGATCTTGAGGGCCGTAAAGAAGTCGCGGTCCGCCTGGTGATGGTAAAGAGAGGGCGGCGAAAGGCGAAAGGCTCAGGGTGAGGATGACGTGGAGGTCGAAACGTAACAAGAAGAGTGAGGCTTCATTTGAAGAACCTTCGCAAGGTGGTACCTCCGATGGTTGTATTTCTGTCGTGGTTTCGTTTCGGTCCTCGTTTATCATATGTTTCCCATCCCAATATTTTATATACCTGTGCAAAGCAACGAATCCCAGAACTTTTTATGCTCTTCATCGCGTTCCCTTTCCCTCTACTCCTCCCCCGTTACTCCCACTGTCGCCTCAACATCATACTCCACCTCCGTCCTAATGACATACTTTGCCCCCTTCCTGACGCCCGTCCCTTCATGCAACAGCGCCCCCCTCGCATCCCCATGCGGGAAAACCGCCACCCCGCCCATGACCGGCCGCACCGGATACGCATTCATCACCCCCTCCCTCGCGCTCGGCAAGAAAAAAGTCGTCTCCCCGCCCTCAAACTCATCATTCAGATAGATCAAAAACGTAAACAAACTACTCTGCTTCCCACCCTCCGGCGACGCATCATACACATAGGTATCATCCGGTAAGATACCACTCGGAGGCCAAGCCCCGTCGATATGCGCACGGTACTCCGCGCCGGGAACATACCGATAGACGCGAAACCGACGGTTTAGGCCGCGTACTATCCGGCCGTCGACCGTACGGGGTACGAACGGGGATATGCGTGACCAGAGGGTGTCGTGGAAGGGCTGGTCGACAACCCAGTAGAAGTTGTGAGCGAGAATGGAGACGTCACCATCCTCGCGGAGGGGCGCGTCGGGAAGGAAATTGGCGGTTTCGCCGGCGGCGATGATGGATTGGCATTCGGCGGGGGATAAAACGCCCATGGCGAGGGAGAGGTTGGGGACGACGGGGTGGTGGTGGTAAGTTATGGGTGGCGGTACAGATGACAAGGGAACACCGCCTGGCTTGGTGGTGTAGAGGATGGCGTCGTGGTGGTTGGGGGGCTTGCGCAGGGGCCCGGGGGTGGTTTCAATGACACGAAGAGATTCGCGGAGGTTAGGCGGCGCAGAGAGGAAGATGGAGCCGTCAAGGACGGAGGCATGGGTTTGGAGGGTCGGGGCAGAGGACAGGGAGTGGAGGTCCCAGATTTGTTGGACGCAGATGGGTGTGGAAGGGTCGAAGTCGGCGGCGGGGTTGGCGTCAATGACACCGCAGACCCGGAGGACGCCGTCGAGGACGCCGATGAGTTCCTTGTCGCGGGCGGTGCGCTCCGTGGGGGTTTCGTCTCCGAGCGTGGAGATGCCGCTGATGACATCCAGGTCGCGCACCCAGCGGCAAAGAGCGCCGAGCTTGGGCGATTCGCCGCGGATTCTCATCTCGGCGAGGAGGACCTTGGCGTCGGTGAATTTTCCATCGGCGAGAGCGCCGGTGATGCGGCCGGTCAAGTTAGAACTGGCTCCAGTGCTGTTGAGGCCGGTCGGACATGCTTGGCGGAAATCCCATACGGCGACGCGGAGGTCTTTGCAGGCTCGGGATTTGAGCAGGGCGGGATGTTTTGCGAGCTCGGTGAGGGTCTCAACCGCGATTTCCAGCTCCTCTGGTGAGACGATGGCCTGCACACTCGTGGGTTCGACACCGTTTTGTTTGACGCCGTCATCGCTGCGGTGGTCGCCTTCGAGCGGCGGCGTGAGTGGCTTGTTGGTCGTTTTGAGTTGCTTGTTCGGCAGGTTGCTGGCCGGGTCATTTTGTTTTCTCTTCTTGTTTTTGTTTTTCGACATGGTCGCGGTTGCGAGTTGTGGCTTCACTGGCTTGGTTGTCGTGAGGTTGATTGTGGGTTCTCGAATGTGGCAAGGGCGATCTGCCCGGACCCACAAATTGTTGCAAAATCGTGGAAGCTAATTGTCTTTAGATTAGCTTACTCCCGTATCAGGCAATTTCTTATTTTCACGGTGTCGACTGCCAAGACAGATCCGACCCCCTGCGACCGTGCATCGAACCCCCACCATCTCCAGTCCAATTTCGAATCTCGTCCGGCGACGAAGTCGTGTAGTTACTTGTCGGCCGTGGCCCTTCCCAGGGAAGCAGCCGATCAGGCTCGCTGGTTGAGGTCCAGGTTCAGGATCCAAGCGCGTGAGCTGATTGGCCGGCTCGGTGGATCCCACAACAAATCAGAATCCGCAGGCCTGACCACGGCAGTGACGGCACCTGTATTCGAAGCGTCAAGATTGAATCATTGGATACGCAACGCGGTAAACTGCATGAATCGCCTCATTTCACGTTACACTTGGATTGTTGGCCTCGGTCACCGTTTGTACGCCAGCAGGCAGGCAACCATCGTATGAGTCAGGACTTGTGAATGACTGCAATAATTGTTATTTTAAGTGCCGGTCCATCCCAAGGATCCCTCCCAGTAATTTGCAATGATCAATCATCTGATCTTGAAGCATCCATGTTTAAGCCCGACGCGAGCTCCGATTAAGGCTTCAAGCAACAACCCCGAGTTTTAAACCGAAACTAAATACTTTTTTAGAATATGCCTGTCAAGACTAAGGCAAAATTCTACGCCGTCAGAAAGGGGCGGATGACGGGCATCTTTCGGAGTTGGGAGTACGTGTTTACCCAGGGTTATTGTTCGCTTCCGTTTCGACTGTTAGAGCTAACATCGATTCCGGCAGAGAGACACGGCAGTATGTGGAGGGCTTCAGTGGGAACGAGCACCAATCTTTTCGCACCTTGAGAGATGCCATGGAGTACTTGGAAAAGGAAAACTCGGAAAGCGATAGTGGGTCTACAAGCGATCCACCCTCACCGACATCATCAGAATCAGACGAGCATCGTCGCGGTCCACTTTGGTAATAGGCCTGCGGTCAACCAACAGAGACTTGCTTTCACGCTTCCAATAGGCACTCATCAACCTTTACCAAGAACGCCATTCGCGCATTTCGGAGCGCAACGACACAATTGAACTTTCAAGTTGATCTAGGAGTTGAAGCCAGTCAGTGTACTTAATTATGTTGTCACGGAACGGAGAAGCTAAGTCAAATATATGATACCCCTTCCACCTCTTATTTAGCTAATTTATCGTCGCTGGACATCCCCTTGCAAATACAGAATTAGCTGAAACTTGGAATTAATAACTATTATAACCTTCGACATTATGCCGACAGGCTAAGTTGTTTCCCAGGAACAACGGTAGCACCGATGTTACAGTTTGGCGCAATGAGTTAAGCGACCTAAGTTCTTAGCTAACCACAACACACTCAAAAGATTGCCCCTCTCCGGGCGTGTAGGTTCGCCGATGAGTTGGAAAAACGGAATCCCGATTGTGTAGTCATGCAATATATTGTCCACGTTGTTAAAGTTGTCTTTTTGATCATGGTGCTAATTTGACCGTACTTGCAAAGTGAATCTTACCTAGGTTTTTTTCCGAATTTGACCGTCTTTAAAATTGTCATTGGCAATTTTAAAGACGAGTTTCTCACAGCGTCTGCACCAAGGGTTCAAGTAAACCGAACAGAGACACCTCCCGGGGGTGCCTTGAAGGTTTTATGGCGTGCGACACGTAAAACTTGACAACCCTTGTTGTTCTCCGTTGGGGGCTTCGGGCCGTTCAATGCTGAAGCCACAATGTTGGTGGGGAATGCCCGGACTCTCCCAGGGGATCTGCCCCACCACCCCACGTACCCCCGCTATGATTGGCACGTGGGCATGGGGCGATGGACTTGCGCAGTGGGCTGTTTAGCGACCAAGGAAAGAAAAAATATGGTTCCCGTTTTTCTCCAACCTCAACTCGACACTCTGCGATGCAAACGGTTTGCCGGCTCATACCATGGCAACCAATGAAACTGCCGGCACTCCGGCCGATGGGCAATTGGGGGGCTCCAATTCGGCACCTGCTCCCCATCCCTCGTCTAAGAACAACGGCCACTTTGACGGCCGCAACAAATCCCGAGGAAATCGCGGCGGCCGAGATCGAGGCAACGACAAGCAGAAGCGCAAGCATTCCGGCTTTGGAAGCGCAAAGTATGTAACCACCTACTTCATAACGAAGCAATCGCATCATGTTCGTCCACCAATGCCGACACTAATTCAGTTCTTAACAGAGGGGAGGTTCCGAATAAGCGCGAGCAAGTCCGTAACAATCGCGATGCGAAGCGACGGAAGGTCATTGAGGAGGACAACAAGGGGAACAGCTTCATGAGCATCGCCTTTACGCCGGAGGAGATTGCCGCCGAGGAACGCCGCCCCAAGCGCAAGGTTGCTGTGCTAATTGGCTATGCGGGCACGGGATACCACGGTATCCAGATCAACCACAAGGAGAAGACGATTGAGGGCGACATTTTTGCTGCGTTTGTCGCTGCCGGGGCCATCTCGAAGGCCAATGCCGACGACCCGAAGAAGTCTAGTCTCGTGCGATGTGCCAGAACCGACAAGGGCGTTCATGCTGCTGGAAATGTGCTGTCGCTCAAGTTGATCGTGGAGGACGAGGACGTGGTCGATAAGATTAACGAGCACTTGCCGGAGCAAATAAGGATATGGGGCATCCAGCGGGCCAGCAACAGCTTCAGTTGTTACCAAGCATGCGATTCGCGCTGGTATGAGTACTTAATGCCTAGCTACGCTCTGCTTCCGCCGCAGCCTCATAGCTTCCTAGGGAAGAAGGTTGCCGAGTCGGCGAAAGAGAATCGGGTCTACGATGAATATGTTGAGCGCCTGGACGATGTGAAGGGATTCTGGGAGGAAGTGGAGAAGAACGATATCGAACCGATCCTCGAGCAGTTTGATCCCGAGGTCAGGGCGGAAGTTCTCCGGAAGCTGCACGACACACAGGATCAAGATCTTACTGAGGACGGGGTGCCCACGAAGCTGGAGCCCGAGGTAGTCGGTAAGGATGCTCAGACAACGGATGGCAACGGAGACGCCGAAATGACGGATGTACAACGACCATCTGAGACGGCCACCGGAAACGACGCCCCCGTTTCCGACGACGCCACACCGAAAGGCCCCAAACCCGACAAGGACCTCACCCCTACCGAGCTCGCCCTTCGCCGAATCAAGGCCGCCTACGTCGCCGCAAAACGCCGCTACCGCGTGACCCCCGCGCGCATCGACAAACTCCAAGATGCCCTCAACCTCTATCTCGGAACCCACAACTACCACAACTACACCATCCTCAAGTCCCACAAAGACCCTTCCGCCAAGCGCCACATCAAGTCCTTCACCGTCAACCGTACGCCCATCACCATCGGCGACACCCAATGGCTCTCTCTCAAAGTGCACGGCCAGTCCTTCATGATGCACCAGATCCGCAAGATGGTAGCCATGGCAGTGATGGTGGCGCGTTGCGGTGCGCCGCTGTCGACGATCGAGGAAAGCTACGGGTCAAGACGGATTAGTATCCCCAAGGCGCCCGGACTGGGGCTGATGCTGGAGCGGCCGATGTTTACCGAGTATAACAAGAAGGCTGCGGGGATGGGCAAAGACGCGATCGACTTTGCGCAGTGGGAGGGGAGGATTGAGAAGTTCAAGGATGAGCACATTTATCGGCGGATGTTTGAGTTGGAGGAGAAGGAGAATTCGTATGTCCCCCCTCTTGCGCCTCTACCCTTCCACTTCCCGAACAAGCCAAGGCTTTACTAACAGGACCTAGTTTCCATCTATTCTTCAACCAGGTCGATAATTTCCGCACCGATTACTTCCTTTGGGTCACTGCTGGTGGTGCTGAAGCATCACGCGAGCGTTCGGACCGCACCGAGAAGGTGCCTAAGGCGCTGGAGGCTGAGCTGGGCGATGAGGCGGATGGTGTGGTTGAGGAGGGTACGTAACCATAGGTATTGGCTTACCTAGAATGCATACAACTTGCGATTGCGAGTGCATTGGAGACGACTATCCCACGCTCATTGAAGGAAATAGAACAAAAATGACTTCTGATTGTGGAACCTATCTCTATTCGCTACCGTGACCCGTTGACCCCCTGATTTGTGCGCTTCTTCTTCTTCAATCCCTTTCCAGCCATAGGTTACCACTTCCTCTTCAATCCGTTTCCAACCGTAGGCTGCTGGCAGTGGCTGCTGACCTGATCCCCCCACTGACCTCCCGTCTAGTTCCTCCACGGTGGACTCTGCTGTCCAGTTTGTCCCGGGTCCCGATGCTGCCTATCTTGGTCACGTCTTGACCCTGATTCTGTGCTTCCGTCTCCAGAATCTGCAGTCCCCTATTCTGGCGGCATTACAGCCCGCGGAAAAGGCGGAGGAGCAAACTGGCCAGCAACCTGACTGTCGAATCCCCGCACTCCCGGGCGGGCTGGCCGCAGCGGTGGCAACTGCTATTGCCGCGGCCGCGGCTTCGGTTGGGCTGGCCGCAGAGATGGCAACTGATATTGCCGCGGCTGCGGATGTTGGCCCGGCTGATGTGGAACGGCCGTCCCGGACCGTTCGTTGGCCGTCTGTACATGCGAGTTACGTCCGTTGGGAAGGGGGACTCTGGTTTCGGTTCGCGGTTGGACTGGGTCATGGAGCCGGGCCATAGGAGGCAGACGAGGATTCTCGCTGCCAGAGGACGGGAATTGTGATGGGATCGGTAATGGCGGGGGAAGGGGATTGTGGGTTTGGGACCGGAAGCTTAAGGGGCTGTGAATCCGGGGCGAGGGGAGGCCGCGCGGACAGAAACGACCGTGTGGTTGGGAGCAAACCACTATCGTTTCTTCGGACGCTGGAGCGACATTGTGGCCATGGCTCCGTGGTGGGGACGGTCGTGGCGGGGGTGGCATGAGCCGTTGCTCGTCTAATGAGATCTTGTTGTGGTATTGTTCCGGGCCTGATTCATGCGATTCGGGGTCGTCGTCCCCGGAAACCATGGTTTGCCGCGGTGGTGGAATTGGATTCTGTCGTCTGTTATTATCGATAATGGGGGTGGAGCGAGAAGTCGCCGTTCTTAGTCGTGGGGGTGATAAGGGTGATGGTGGTGAAAAGCCGCGTTGGTTGCTCTCTCCGGATCGAGAAGGAGCGGTTCTGCCCGTCGGTGACTTGGGGACCGGTTTCTCTTCGGACAAAGCTAAATCATCGAGTTGTGGCAATAGCAACCTACAACATTGCGCAGCCCGGGTCTTGGATGGGTATCAGGCACTTCGGCCGCCGGGGTAAGATTCCGTGGCGTTTCTCGCCCCAACGTGACACTAGAGGTATCAGACGGGGCTTCGCTGTGGCCACGGGTCGATGTTTCTGCGAACACATCGGAGACCATGCTCCCTGGTGAGCAGCCTCTCTAACGTTGCTGGCCAGGCGTGGCGGCGGCTGACTGCTGCCCTTGAGGGCCAGTGGCTCCTCTGGCTGGTTGAGGTGGTGGTTGAGTTTGCGCACCAGGCCCATCAACTTCACCATTCTCGTACGTGAACCCGCCGCCCGAGGCCTCGGCCTCTTGCAACATCGACTGTCGCTCTCTCCCCCTCAGAGCGTTCAGAATGGAGAAAATCTGGGCGGCGTCCTGGTTCATTTCCTGGTCGGCCTGAGCGTCCTGCGTGCTTGGGGCCTTGAGAGCACCAATGACCCAGAGCTCCCGGATTTTGCGGGTCAGGGTGAGGAGATCCTCCGTGGATTTTATCTGGGGCGCGGTACCATTAATCCCTGATGGAATGAAGAAGCATGAATCTGTATACCTACAATTCCGCTCATCTTTGTGTTAATGGCCAAGCTGTTGTAAGCTGTTTGGCCGGTAGAAGCTGTGTTATCCACCGGGGCAGTGGCATGGGTGATAATGTCCCGAAACGACGTCACAAGGTCGGCAATTAGAATATTCTTCCTCTCTGCATGCTGTTAGAACATGGTGTATTTGATGTATCCAGCGAGCTATGATGGTGTATGTAGAATAGTACCGGGCCCAATCAGGAGTCCAGGACCTAGCAGCTCTAAGCTTACCTTGGAGGTTGTCGGTCGAATTCGCGTCTCGATCCATGGTGCCAATTCCGGGCTTTATTGAGTTTCGTCAATAATTGTAGTGTTGCCCTTTTGATGACGATGTGTTTTAACTATGTGTTGCGGATGAATTGCCGACGTAGTGGGCGGAATGCGCAACTTCAAGGGAGTTAGCGTTTGGTGTAAGTATTGAGTTTTGGATCCGCCTTGTGAGACGCTGGCGCTCATCATGGCATTGCGCCACAGGGTGGCTCATTGATACAGGGCCCGTGCACAGGTGGATGTGGGTCCCCTAATGTGAAAAGTGACCCAGGGCCTTGTTCAGACTTCAGGAACGCTCAACGCCCTATGCGGCGGCATGACCCCGACCCATAGTATGCACTGGAAACAGGCATGTCTGGCATATGGGCTACATGACAATGTTTCGATGGTTCTGACCATTACCATCCCCGTCCGCCGCCTGCGCGTCTGCGCGTCTGCCGTCCGGACAGGGTCTCCACGATCAAAACACAGTAGCTTCGCTGCAGTTTTCCGGACTTGGGGAACTAGTCAGTGTGCTACCCGCGACAGAACCTGTAGTGTTGAGGTGAGAGAGGATTCCGTAAAAGGGGTGGCCCGGGGCGCAGGGTTAATAAGGGTACCGTACTTCTAGACCTTTGGAATCTTGGATTACATTTTCCCAATCCGGTTGGAAATCCAAAATGCGCAAAGCGGCGCGTCAAGCTTAAACAAATGCTAGGTAAAACTTCAGTCTAACGAGTACTAGTCATATGAATTCTTCGCGTGTTACTCTTGGGCCGACATCCAGGTCTCGGTCTCTGTTGACTCCTGACTTTCAAGCTCATACACAAAACCAATACCCAACACACAGCAACAACCAATTACCACGTATATTGCCTCCATCTCCCCGGCCGCTTCCCGACTTGAATAGACTCCAGCCTTAGACCCTCGCCACCCTGGCCATCCGGGCGTTGGGGTTCTGCATAATAGTCTCCGAGATCATACGTCGACATCCTTGTCGGAGCACACGAGTCCGGCCCGTAATTCTCATATGCGCAAAGGGAGGAGACAATCTCGTCCCGGTATAACCCAATGATCTTTCCCAGCCCTACCGTGCCGTCTGCCTCGTCCGCCAGCGCAGCCTGCCAGTTCTTCGTATACTCCGTCTGCTCGAGCCAGGTCTGGAAGACGGGGAGCAATGGCACGACAGATTCTTCGGCCACGACCACTTCAAAGATGTCTGGGGATTGCCAGCGCGAGCAGCGGAGACAGCATTTGATCCTCTTGAAAGCGGCCAGGGACTCGGGGTCCGGGTCTTGATCGTGCAGCCACTGAGAGATGGCGGAGAATTTGGGCTCAAGCGGGGTGGGTGTGTTCAGGGACTTGGCCACACGGTGTTTGAGTGTCGCCAACCGACGGGCGGTCTGGACCTTGCCGCGCCATATGTTGAGTTGTACTTTCAAGGGTGGGTGTTCTTGACTACCGATGGCTGTTCTAATAGTCCTGCTTTTGCCCTCCGGACTGTCTAGCCATTTTTCACACTCGATCGAGAACTAGCACCAGGTTAGCAGACATCATTCCTCTCGCAAGTTTCTCGGATAGCAAAATTACCATCTCGTCCCCGACCCTCCGCATGTACATTTCCTCCCTCAGCAACTCATCCATCGCCCCCTTCCAATCAAATACAATATCCCCATTCTCCAGCACCTCCAACCCCGGCAGCGCCGTATCATTCATAAGGTACGCCCCGCGACAACCTCCTTTCATCGTTCCTTCGCCCAATCGAACCACCACCTTGCTTCCCTTCCAAGACCCCGTGTCACGCCACGCCTTAACCAACAACTCGCGCGCATGACGCCCCAGCTCAAGCGTCTGAAACACCCCCATCATCGGCCAGTGAACCAGATTGTCAACAGTCAGCAACACCCTGTCCCCCTGTATTTCTTGGCTTTCCCCCCTCCCACCCGCGCGTAGCGGCAGCATCCCCCCAAAGTGATACTCAAACCGGTCCTTCGACCCCGTGTAAACCGTTACCCCTAACTGTGGCACCCATACCTCCCCAAACACCCGCTCAATCACCCGCTTCTGGTGTGCTGACAACTGACGGAGCTTTGTCCAGGTATACGCCGGGTCGGTGTACAAGTGCTGGTTGACTAGTACCGAGAAGATGTTCTCGGCGAGATCGTGTGGGAGGGCGCGCCAAATAGGGGAGAGTGGGAGAATTGGGATAGTTGAGGTATCAGGTTGAGGGCTCATCGTTTCGGTGGTCGACGGCGGAGTAATCGGGGGTGTCCTCGTCATGGTGTTTGCGTTGTTGGTGTGAACCTTAGCAGGAAAGGGGTCGGTGGCTAGCGTAGGCGGAGTAGGGAGGCGGCTGGGGGTAAACATGGTTGTTGGAGGTTGGTTTTGTGTGATTCTCGGTGCATTGATGTCATGTGGTGATTTGTGAGCATGAAGCTGCGTGTCTTTGTCCGCAAAAGTTGACTGCTCAGTGGTATGTTGCGAAGCAGATACGCTCTCCAAGACTGGGTTCATGGCGCATTTAAAAACAAAGCATATAACCGGTGCAAGCCTTGAAAGGCACCTTGCTGGTCAGCCGTCCGAAGTCAAAAGCACGTGTGACTAGTCACCCTCCATAGCGCCTGCCCCTTTGTTCATTCAACATGAGATGGATTAGCCTTTCTCAACGCCCTACTGGCTGGGAGAATCCAATGCGGAAGGGGCCAGGCACATGTCCACTTTCTTAGGCTATGTGTCATCGGGGTTCTTGTCAATGGCGTGAATCATTAGACGATGACACCTCTTGATTTCTATAGGCTAGGGTAAACAAAGGAAACTAGGAAGCGTGATGCAAAGAAAACAATCACGCATGCAATTTCCCCTGTGGCTGTGGTCACGGCTTACACTCAAGTCAAGTTAGCGGGGAGATGAAATGATCAATTCAAGGACAATGACAACTCCCGGCTAGAACCAAGTGCGCTTGGGATACCATGTATTCGTAATTATGATGTACATTCCAGGTTTCTATTCCTTAATCTAAACATTATTCCGGAAACTCATAACGGCATGTTCCCTGTTGTTTGGTATGGTCGTACAGCATCGAGTCCTGCACACTAATTTCCTTGCCTTTTAAGCTCCCATCAACTCCAGTTTGTTCCATGATTGCCCCTACAGCTGCAGACCCATCTTCCGTAGCCGCTTACCGTATCTAACAAGTAGCAACGGCACCGGAATCATGATCACACAGATAAACCCCAACAGGGAGTTGCCCCAGCCCAGCCCCAGATTCTGGTACATGGCCGGCCCTGCCAGCGGCAACAGCATGCCCACCAGACTCCGGAATACCGTGTTAGCGGCCATGGCTGATGCCGCATACATCGGGTAGCAGTCCACCAGGTACGTCATCAGCGGCAAGAACAGGCCAATGATGCCAAACGAGAAGGGGAATAGGCCGATGACGGGGACAATCCAGTGCGTGTGGTAGTAGGTTGACCACCCGTACCAAAAGAACGTCGGCGGCAACATAAAGCTAAAGAAGATGCTCAGCGGCAGACGCATCTCGGGCTCAAACACGCCGTTGTTGGCCTTCGTAGCCTTCACCACGCCCTTGTCCGAGGTCGCCGTGATAACAGCCCAACCGGACAGGTTTCCGAGGCCCAGGCAGATGTACACCAGCCCCGTAATACCGACGCCCCATCCGTAGGTCTGCATGAACACGATAGGAATGGTGGTAAAGAGCAAGTATAGCGTGCCGTAGGCGAAGGCGAGGTACAGCGAGATGAAGAAGACGGTAGGCGACAAGAAAAGCATCTTGGTTGGGCGTACCAGACCGTTAAGCAGGACGCGCGTGGGGCTCTGCTTTTCAACGCCGGGGCTGTCGTAGCAGCTGCGCAAATCGGTCCGGTTGAGCTCGGTTTGGAGGCGCTTGACTTTGCGCTGGATAAGAATGCGCGGGTTGGTCTCGGTGGTGAAGATCTCGAAGAGGCCAGTCACGATGACAGAGACGATCAAGACGATCCAGAAGTCCCAGCGCCAGCCGATTGTCTGTGAGAGCCAACTGCCTACAACGGGGCCAATGGTCGGACCTAACCTCGAGTGTCAGCCTTCAACTTTTCCTCTAACAGGCACCGTTGAGACGGGGCAACCCACCGATGAGCGGCCCCAGTGTGTACATGCCAATAGCCGAGCCTCTCTGCTCAACCCGGAACACATCCGCAATGACACCAGCTCCCAATGTCTAGACCCAAGTTAGTCAGCAACAAGACTCAAACCGGGGATCCAAACAATCAAACGTACCAAACACCCCGAACCTCCGATGCCACTGAAGAATCGAAACACGATCAATGACTCAATTGACGGCGCCAGGGCGCACCCAATCAACCACAGACAGAAAAACGTATTCGCCGCAGTCAACACTGGCCTCCGCCCATAAAGTTCACTCAACGGCGCCAGGAACAACGGCCCAATCACGTAACCCAGCAAATACACGCTGACCGTCATCGTACCAATCACATCATTCTCATTGCCAAACTCTTTGTTCACAGTCCCAATGCCTGGAGCCAAGATTGACGACGCGAAGGGCGTCAAAACGGTAATGCCCGATAACAGACTGACAATCAACCATTTCTTGGACGATGGGAAGTTGAGTGGCATACTGGGGTCGTCTTGTCCATCCCAACCGACGATGCCCTCATCCAGGTTGGACTCGGGGATTGGTGCATGCGGGATACCTTCCTTCTTAGAGGCCTTGGAGTCCTTTGTGCGGTGCCGGGAGACCAGACGGGAGATGCGCGAGCGTGTGGAGTTCCGGGTGCTGATACGGCTCAGTTCTGCGTCGTCGTGGGGCTGTGTGGGTGTGTTAGTCCGTGGGGCCTTTTCATGTGCTGGTTCCTGGCATCCGCCGGTGGTAGCAGCTGTAGCGAAGGGTGGTGAGAGACTCACCTGCTGCGCGAGCTCGACATCCAGGTCGTGGCCCGGGACGGCGCCCTCGGCCTCCTTATGGCCCACATCGGGGGTCCCGAACGCACCGTCGGTCTTAGTAGCGTCGTGACCGGCGGCTGTTGAGCTCGAGTCAGAAAGGGTGTGGTCGTGTTTTTCGTCGGTGCCCTCCATGGTGGCTGTAGGTGTTGTAGTCATCAACGTCTGATTTGAGCGCGATGCAATCCGGGATTTACTCCCTCCTAAACGGTAGCTTGTCCGGCGGGAAGGTGTCTTTCCCTTCCACTCTTCGTCTCAACTTGTTTTGCTTTCTTGAAGGTTGTTTGCCTTCAAAAAGGCAAACAACGACGCAATTCCGTAATTAAGATGTGGGCGCGAGCAAACAAGCTTTTGCCACAGCTCCAAATCAAAGTTCAAGATGCAGGCGGGAGACGGTTAGTCGAGAGGCCAAGCAGCAGGCTAAGAGCGGGAGGCTGGAGGGTTTTCTCGGCCGAGCTTAGCTGGAACATTGGGAACTTCCAAAAAGAAAAAACAAATAGCGGGAGGCCCGCTGCCGCAGCGGGGGGCGTTGGAGCGGGATGCTTGGGCACCTCAGCGTTGCATTTGGGGGCATTCCGCCCGGACTGCAGCGCAAAGCGCGAATGCCGACATTGCCGGCCCGGAGATAGACTGGTAATTCCAGAAGCGGGCTGGGCGCGCGGAGCGAAGCGTCGTTTTCGGTTGGGGTGCGTGTTGTGCATCATCCCGCGTACAAGGGCTCTGTGTCAATGGGCCATTGACGTCTCTGCATCTGTCCTTCTCAAAACTTCACCCACCATAGGCTAACCCGAATGCGAAAGCCCGCATCCTTCCGGCCCCAATCCCCGGAATGTGGGAGGATGGAGGGTCACAGGTCGGTCACAGCTTGGGGTTTGTGGAAGGTGAAGCTGACCTCCACCTGCAGCACGAGCACTGTCAGCCCGTGTTATTGCCAAAAGAGAACAGGCGGATGGAGACCATTGGAAGTGCCACAGACATCTTTTCGCACGTGTGCAGTGGAAGAAATGGAATCATTTCCCCTCCGCTTGGAAGGTTTGGAAGGTGAATCCTTCCAAAGCCCTGTTCGAAGTGATCCAATTGGGCAGCTGCAGCTCTGTCCTCACTTCCTCAGTGGAGTATCCACACTCCTCCCAGGTCTAATTTCTCCCCAAACTCACCAGAGGCTCTTACACGGAGATAGGTACTGTAACCTCGTGTAGCAGCACAGATACCTGAAGTATGCCGCCCTTCCAACTCCCGAAATGAAAACATCCGTCCTGCTTTGCCACTCCTGTAACCTCACTCGCTAAACTCCGATTGGGAACTTACTCAGCCCTCCTTGAACCAGTAAACCATTTCAACAATCGCCGATGGATCGGTGGCCCTCAGGAGCTCGGGTCGCAATGTCTTTAAGGGATCACACAAGGGTTGCAGCTCCGGCAGACTTACATCTCGCATGGTGTCAACCAACACCTCGGTGACCAATCAAGAACCTGCCCGCCCGGGGACAATGGCACAATGGGAAGGGCAACTGAAAAAGGCTGCATCGACCCAGTTGTTTTCCGTTCCACCATGTCCGCATCATGCTGGCCGTGGCGATCAGTGAAACATCCATCCCCCAAAGTGGCCAGCAGGTCGGTTGGGGGTTGTTTGTCTGCAGGACGTTTCAACAACCAGCCCGGCGGGTAGCTTCGCAGCACCGCAGCCATTACCCATGTTGTGGCAGCTACACAATTAGTTTGATAATGTTCTTTTTCTCACACTTGCAGAGCGTAAGGGAATTTCTCACATTTGCGAAGTTTCACAACGGTATTCATCTTTTGATGGCTGGAAGGAATTAATAGCATTTTCCTAGATACCCGACCGACAGCAAGGAACGTTTCACCGCCGGCCGTCTTCCAGAACCTGCATTCACCGCCTATCACTGATAGGAGAGACCTCCTCTCAAATGCCAAGAACGAGTTGAGAATGTCTCACACTTGGACCGGAGCGGTTAGCTTTTGATGATACCACAAACATCCAGCCAACGGGAAACCCCAACCAAATAAATCTTCGCCACCCATTGGGCTCTCTCTGTGTGTCGTGGTTTTCTAATAGCAAGTGGGCAGCAGATGCCCATGCATGCGCGCATAACTCCTCCACATTGCTCCATGCAAGGCACGGCGTGTTGGAGTCATTGCTGTCAACAAACCGTCTGTGATATGGTAAGGCTCCAGAGAGATTTCGGTTATGCGGTCGCCAACTCAAAATATTACTACACGTAGTTTATGAGCAATTCATAATGTAATTGCGATGTTCCCGATAAAACTCGTTGGTGCTGATTTAATTTCAAATAATGGATCAGTTGGAACATGATCAGAAAAAAGAGAAGAGGAAGATAATGATATACAAAGAGAGGAAAAGGAAGTGAGACAAAAATGGGTGTAAGGGAGGCAATGGGACATGAAGATGAAAAAAAATAAATTGAATGCTAAAGAGGTTAATAGAGGAGCATGAAAATAAAGGCTCTAACTAGGTAACTATTCAGACCCATGTTTTTAGAGGCAACCGCCAAGCATGTGTCATCATGTTCAGCATCCGCAACAAATCTAATCCACACTTTTACACCTGGTTTGACCAATGCAAGGAAGGAATCAGTCACGACTCACATACCATTCCCTTTGGACCATTACGCAAGAAATAGTGCTAACAAAGAAGACACATATCTTATCGCACTGACGCACCTAGTGGTGCGATACCGTTTTAATGTGCCCAACTTGATTGATGTATGGCTTGGTTGGGGCACCTGGGAGACAGAAGCAGCAACGTTCACGTTTGCAGATGGCAGTCTTTTAGAAATTGATGAGTCGCTATCTGCAACACTTGGCTTTTGTCTACCTAGTCATAGCCGACAAGCAGAAAAGATAAACGCTAGTCTCTACCGCAAGCTAGAAATTCCTGCATGGGGACACACACACAGCTCCATAGGCACTTGCCCATTGGTCCAACTTCCCCATTGCCGACAGGAGGTGGTACATTGCCCCCGTTGGCAATAACCCAGCTGGCAACGACCGTCAGTGCTCTCTTTGGTCTTCACAGCAAACCACAGCCCTTTGTTGTGGGTGTAGGGTCTAGGCTTGCTCAGACCTGCCTTCTAAGGCAACTTTGGCTCTCATCATCCGGTCGTTCTTGTCCTTGTTCGGTTTCCCGTTTTTGCTCCCGGATGGGACGGGCATGCGCTCATAGACGCTTCTGGCACTACAAGTCCTTTCCCATGAAACCCTCACTTCTTCCTCCTTGACGTGCTCGAGACAATCTTCTTCTTGACTGATTTTGGCATCTTTTCCTTCCTCTTCTCCCGCTTCGCCTCCTTGACTGCCTGCTTGTGTTGCCGCTTGTCGTCTTTATCCTCATGCTTCCTGCCTCGTGGCCGGCCCTTCTCGAACAGACTCTCATCCACCTCGCTACTATCATCATCACCCTCTGAGCCTGTGCCGTCTTCATTTGAGAGGTTGGCATCTTTGTCCTCCACGTGATCGATCGTAGCGGGAACGGGTGCCTTGGCGTCGCTGCGTGCTTGGTTGTCCACGACGTGGTCCGCCAGCATATGTTGGTAAATCTGCTTGTCCACGTGTTCGCCTGCGTCTTGTTCCAGCTCATAGACCTGGTCCAACGTCCGCGGGATGTATTGGTTGCGGAATACTTCGTTGTCAACTTCCAGCGCGGCGATGGCCTCGTCGGTCTCAGCCACTGCCGGACGGGACTTGTACAGACGCTCGATTGCTTCCGACATTTGCGGCTCCATAGTCGGGTCCTCAGTGGCGGTGATGAAGTTGAAGACCGTGCGATCCTGCAGGGTATCCACCCCTTGGCGACGGAAATAGTCCCCTACGTTCTTGATGTCCATGCGAAGGAACTCGAGCGCGCGTGGGTGGTCGTGGCCAACAGACTGCGAGACATCGATGATGTACAGCTCCTTGTCATGGTACAAGATGTTGTATTCGCTCAAATCGGCGTGAACAAGTTCACAGACCTGGTAGAGGCGACGCATGATACCGAGAAGCTTGACGTAGAGACTGTGCCATTGTTCTTCGACGTTATCGCCCACGAGCCGGGCATCGCGAAGGCGCGGGTACGCGTAGCCCCGCTTGTCGCCTAGGAATCCCATCACTAGCACATGTTTTTTGTACGTGATGGGTTCCGGGCAGGGAATCCCGTTGTCGTAGATCCGGTTCAAGTTGCGAAACTCTTTCTGCGCCCAAGCCTCAATCATCTTGCGGTTGTTACCCTTGCCAACACCCCCTTTAAAGCGGTGATCACCAGTGATGTAGCGTTCGCGGTCCTTAAACCCTAGGATAGCCGTCTTGTAGACCTTGATGGCCTTTTGGGTCGGTTCGTCTGCATTTTCGGGGTAGAGCACCGCACCGTACACATTTGCTTCTTTGCCTGTGCTGATGGCACCGTGGACTTCGCTGACGAAACCGCGGTTGATCATCTGCAGGAGGATCATGCGGGTGCGGTTGTCGAGTACTAGCTCAGCGGTGGCGCGGTCCGCCTTATCCTTTTCGCGCACCTGACTTTGCTTGACATTGTCCAAGCGGATCTTAGAAGCGTGCTTGGAGAGTTCGGCGACCTGGTCGTCGATGCGAGCGGACGTGTTCGCTGTCGGCTTCGGGGCTTTGGACAAGGACGAGCCCTCGCCCTGGGGGTTGGGAGCAGCGGGATCAAGAGAAGCTCCGCCTTCCGTATCGTGGTCGCCGATTTCAAATTCGTCGGCCGAGTCAAAAATGTCTTCTAGGTCTGTGCTGTCGTCGTGGATGGCGGGGTCGTCGGTAGCCAATGCAGTGGGTTCGACCGGCGGGGGGGAAGTCATGGAAGCCCCGGTAGGTATGGGAAGTTTTCGCCGATTTTGGCTGTGCATTTTGGCGGTGAGTTATACGAGATTATAAGAGAATGGGGAAATGAGGTCTCTTCTGGTGAAGTTTGGTCGTGGGGTAATAATACAGCGGTTTCTGTGTCGTGGGTGGGGAGCTGCTCAACTTTAAATGATAATTTATATGGCGGGGCACGGTCCGTTATCTTATCGTATCGCAAGATGTCTAGGGTTAGGGGCAACCTTACGAGCGGCTGACGCGTTAAAGAACGCGACCGAAACATGTATTGTGGAAGGGGGGCTAACGATGACCAAAAGGAAAGCGAGGGAAGGAATTGTCGGGATTCTTGAATCTTGAACCTTGCCTGCTTTGGGAACCTTACTCGGTGTACCACTGAACCTTGGTTAAGGAATGGGGAGTCCACAATGCCTGCCTCGCATCGCGTAAATTGCATCATACTGTCCATAATGCACGGGTAGGTAGCCACACTGAAGAGCGGCCTTGTCGTGTCGCGAAAGAGAGATGAAGTTAGTTTCCTATAGTGTAGGAAGGGATCGAGGGTTTGACACAAGCTGCAACTGGGACTGTCCAATAGTTTCCCACCTCCGTTTTCGAGGCCCGGCTCCCAAGGTCGCATGGTGTTTTCTCCAAGCCGCCGGGTGTTCCTTGTTTCGAAACCATTCCCCAAGTTTTAATGGGGACCCACCTGAATCATCGCTCACAGGGGCCTGGGCCCAGAAGCTCGGGCCATGGCATCCAGGATCGCGGTTCACGTCACAGGCTCCCCATGAACCATTCAATGCTGTCCTGTCTTCGGATCCAGCCTTGTCGCAAGGCAACCGCCCTCCGCCATTTGCCCACCGCATCGCCCAAACGACACATGACCTCGCAACCGCGATGTAGCGCTTACCCACCTTAACATCGCTTTTATGCCACCGCCCATCTTCTAGTGTCTTACTCGACCCCGCGTATCTCGACGTTTCCCTTTCGTCATGGCCGCATCGAGGCCAGCCTCGTCGGCCGAGCCTCGCTCTCGGCCAACTTCCTACCACGACCCGCCGTCTCCCGGATACTTGCAACCAGAAGACATCCCCGTCGAAGTTCTCGTCGGTCACCTTCTCGCCGCGAAACAATCTCTCTCCTCGATGGCGCTCGTTCTCCGAGCCAACGACTTGGCCACGCACGCCCACCAGATGCACGAGGAGTCCGTGATTCTCGATGCACAGACGAAGTTCCTACGCCGCCTGATTGATGATGAGACCCAGCTACTCCAAAAGCTCCGGCGTGGGATGGGCCGCGCCTACGACGTCGGGCGCTACGAATTCAAACAATTGATACGGACGTTGGATGCGAGCAATGAAAAGCTTGAGAAGACGTTGCGCATGATGCAAGACACGAGGGTGGAGGCGGTGTTCCGCCCTGCTGGAGAGGAACAGAAGTTTTTGGTCGATTTTATTGATGAGAATAGTGTTGAGGCAATGCGGAATACCTTGAAGGAGAGCATTGCCGAGTTGCAGGTGCGCGAGAAAGACTATCTTTTGACCAGAGCGGTTTCGTACTGACGGAATTGGGAATAGGCCGCGCAAACGTCTTTCGACGGTGACCTCCTCCGCCTGGACAATGACCTTCGTCTCATCGCCAAAACCCTAAGCCCCCCGACGTCCTCTGACTCTCCTTCCGCCTCGGCCACCTACCAACCCATCGCACATCTTTTAGCCTCGCTTGCCGAAAACTCCGAAGGCATGGCACAACACCTTACCTCCCTTACAACTCACTTTGACATGTGCGTCAAGGCGGTCCGCGCGACGGAAGGTGGTGCTGCGCTAGCTCGACGACGTGCGGCCGAAGCGACCGACGACGGAGATCCCGTCTCCATATCCGGCGTGATCACGGAACAGGAATCGCACGTCGAGGGGCTCGAGCCGATGGACCCACAAGAGTTGGCCGAGATTATACAAGTTGTTGTGGAGGACGCGCCCGAAGTGGACGAGGTCGTGGCCGAGATTCAAGCGGCACTACTGCAGATGGAGCAGGAGTTCGGTGCTCTTAAGGATCAGGCCGACCGCATCAGAGACGCATGGCTAGCGACGCTGCGCGCGTCCCAAATCCTCGAGGATATCGGCGCACGCCTTCAGAGCTACGTTGCAGCCGAGCACGAGTTTGTACAACGGTGCGAGGCCGAAAAGGACATTATCTTTGGGCGGCTCGAGGAGATGGACGGACTGAAGCGGTTCTACGAGGGCTATGCGAGCGCGTACAGCAGCTTGCTCCTCGAAGTGGAAAGACGGCGGGCCGTCGAGGACAGGATCCAACACACGCTGCGCAAGGCTCGGGATAATGTCGAGAACCTCGTAGAGGCGGACCGGAAGCAGCGCGAACACTTCCGCCAGGAGGTTGGCGAGTTCCTACCAACGGACCTGTGGGTCGGCATGAACAACCCGCTTAAGCGGTGGGAGCTGACGCCGGTTGTGGCGACGGCGGAAGGCGGCGCTTCGATATCACAGGATGAGCTAGTTACGCCGACGGCGACGCAGCCGGGGAAAGGTAAAGCGCCGGCTCGGTAGTGGACCGGCAGGTGCCTACCTACCACCGCTCGAGGGTGTGTGGTTTTTTTCCCCTAATAATTTGAGTCATGCTTACAAACAACGGTGGTCGGGACGGCGTTTGCGGGTTTGGGATACGCCTACGGGCCGGCGGCGTTCATTTTGGAAAACTTTCTGGGGCGTAAATACCCGGGGTTTGGGGGCTTGGTTTGGCGCTGGAGACTGGAAGGATGAGAATGGAATCCTAAAGTGTGACTGCCTTGCGCATTGCTTCTTGTATCGTAAAACTATGTGATCCTGTCATCTAAGTATCTCGTTTTACGAGAGTTTCTTCACACCATACGGATATTCTGGGAAATCTTCATGTGCACAACACCTCGGCTGGGTGGTGCAATCTTGGTCCGACGGCAGCAACAATTGATGCCGAACCCCTGCCCCTTCGCTCAAGTTCGCCCGGCAGTTGTGGGTCCACGGGGTCGGTCCAGGGGGGCGAAAGCCTGGAATCTTTCCGACGCGCCGGGTTTCAGAAGCAACTTTGATAGTATTAATCAGGGGTGAAACTTAGAAACAACTTCAACGACGCGAGCCCATTCTCATTTTATCACATCCACAGCCGTGTAGTTTACACCTCAACTTCACCCGCCCGTTCGTTGCACAGTCAGACACTCGGCCGGGCATTTTCTCGCCCCTTTCCGTACCTAATTCCAAAACACAACACCGCCAACACAATGACATCCTCAACCACCACAACCTCCCCAGACATCCCCCAAACCATGAGATCTTGGGTATCCACCTCCTTCGGCAACCCCCGCAGCGCCCTCTCACTCCTATCCGATATACCGCTCCCTACCCTTCCCGTCAACGCGAACAACGCTACTCCTTCCCCCACCCACCTCCTCCTGAAAGTCTCCCACGTCACTCTCAACCCAGCCGACCTAGTCACCATCAAGCTACTCCCGCCCTGGCTTCCCTTCCGCCGATCACCGGTGCCGGCACTGGATTTCGCGGGGGAGATTGTTGCCATCAGTGGGGGTTCTTCGTCTCCTACTCCCGGAGGAGGAGAAGAGACCAAGGGAGGCGCTATTAAGGAGGAAGAGGGATGGCAGGTCGGAGACCGGGTCTGTGGCGCCGTCGGGTTGAAGGATGTTGCGCGGGGAAAGGGCTCGTTGGCGGAGTATATCGTTGTTGATACCGGGTTGGTCAGCAAGGTTCCCTCGCTTCCTCCTACCTCTACCTCTAGCGGTAAATCCGCCAGTGGTGATGGATCTGTGTGGGAGGGTGCGGGCGCGGCTGGGACGATGGGTATCGCGGGCCAGACGGCGTGGACGATGGTGAGGAAGGCGATGGGGGTGGAGAATGGGAGTGCTGTTTTGGCAGCGCTTGCCTTAGGGAAGGGGGAGAAGGGACTGGAGGGGAAGAGGATACTGGTGAGCGGTGCGAGTGGTGGTGTGGGCACGATTCTGCTGCAGATTTGTAGGGGGTTGGGGGCTGAGGCTGTCGTGGGCATCTGCTCGGGCGCGAGCGAGGAGTTGGTTAAGAAGTTGGGGGCTCACGAGGTAAGTCCGTCCCTTGGCCTAGTTGGACTACCACTGGGACACTGCGATACCTTTCCTCTCATGAAGGTTGCTCGGGTTACTAATAGAGATAAACTAGATCGTCGATTACCGCCAACACTCCCCCCTTGAACCCCATCTCGCAACTACATTTGCCGACTCCCAATTCGACGTCATCTTCGACTGCGTCGGCAACCAGTCCTTGTACACCAACTCCGCCAAATACCTTAAACCAGACGGCAAGTTCATCAGCATCGTTGGCGGCATGTCCCAAGGCGTTGTGCCTTATGTCCGCAACAAGATCCTGCCCTTGTTCTTCGGGGGTACCTCGCGCAGCTATGAACTCTTCCTACTGAGCGCAGCGGGGGAAACAGCCAAGGAGGTAGCTGCGCTGGTGGAAGCGGGCGTGATTACGGAGAGCCTCATCGATGAAGAATTTCCGATGGAGAAGGCGATTGAGGTACGTTTTTCTTTCGTTAATGTCGTTGCTAGTTCGCATGATGTATGGTTGGAAATGCTGACAGTCAACGCTGCAGGCATTCGAGAAGCTGGCTACCAAACGTGCAAAGGGGAAGATCGTCATAAACGTCACGGATAACTAATGGTGTTTGCGACCTGTCTCTGTCTACTTTCATAGCTATCCGTGTCCCGCCTTCCGGCATTTTCTTTCTGCCGGTCAGAGCACGCTAGATTTAATACCCTATCTTTTGTTTCTTTTCGGATGACCACCCAGATCCAGAGCGGTGGCATCTGGATGAAGATACTATCGCGGTTCCGACGCCCCGCAACCACTCTCCCCGTATCCAACGTTATCAAGGTTTCAAACCCTCAGGCCAAAGTATGAACGAACATCGGATGGAGCTCGAGGTAAGCCGTGGTACATATATCGCGAGATATACATTCCCATGTCGGTCACGATCTCGGCAACCGAATGAAATACTGGATCGCGAGCATAAACAAAAGGAAAACAAATCGGAAGGATCAAAGGGTTGTGTGTTGCCTTATAGAACCCGTCATGACTTCTTTATCTGTGCCGGTCGGCAATGGCAGCCCACATACGAGACCAACATGTGCCCTAATGAAAGGCTGGCAAAAGCTTGAGTGTGGCGAGAGTATGTACAGAGATCTGTTGAAGGTCACTAGCGTTCAATGTTTGCCGACGTCAGACGTCAAGGTCTGAGGTGAACGCCCAGAACGAAAAATGATATCACGACCACAGATATGAAGACCCCCAAGTAGATAACTATTCATGTATTGCTGTTCCTAATCGTATCATGGCATAACGAATAGTTAGCTGTTCACCCAGCCCCGTCTTCCTCCGCCCAAGATTTCATTATCCCCGTCTTTCATCCTCCAACCCGTTTCACCTGTCCTTCACCTTTTGCTTCTTCCCCTCGCCTCATCCATTCTCATCCAACGTAGTACGCGTCATCCGTGGGCTTCGAGCCAACGTTCCTCCACACGAGTTCGCCCACCGCAAAGTGAGCTGCTTGCTGAATATGATGCACGGCGAAAAAAAGTGACCAGCGGAAAAAAGTGAAAGGAGAGAAATAGGGGTGCTGACCCCCGAAAACCTGAATATGCAACAGAAGCCTGAAACGCCGTTTTCCATGTCAATGTCCCGGGCTACTATCATGTACCGAACAGTAAGCAGCGCTAAAAAAAGAGACGAGCAAAAAAATGAGTAACGGAAGTGCCGAGAACGCCAAAGAAATATTTTTACACCGCCGTTCCATACTATCATGTTTGGAACTTGACGGGCCCAAACGCCATGCCGACTGGGACTGTGAGAGTCACCGCGGTCCAGGTAAAGTCAAAACGACGATGAAGTATTAGGATGTTCCCAATGTCGCAGTCCATGCGGTTTCGCTCATGGCAAAGCCAGAGTGAGGAAGATGTCGCGGATTGATGGGCGACGTTCTCCCCGTAGACCCCGCAGGGGCGACGCAACGGCCTTTCGCGAGCTTCAGCTCTTAATCGCTGCCGGCCCATAAGTCTCCGGTCCATAAAATGGAAAACGATCATGAGGGCACTCGTAAAGATAGTCGTTAGGCGACGTACCGAAAGGGGCGAAGATCCCTGGAACCGCGTGCGACGAAACCTTGGTATTCGGCTGGCCGGACACGGGGCTAGCAGGGTTCTCCGAGGGAGAGTCGACGGGGGACGCTCCCATGGCCTTCAGGATGGGAACATGAACAAAGTAGGGGCTCGGCCCCAGCGGATGTACCGAATGGTGAGGGGCGCCGCCGTAGGAATGATAAGGGTTGCTCAGCTGCACCGGGCTACCATCGTAGCTTGCGGTACTGCTGCTGCTGTCATCGCCGATCTCGAACTTGGGAACTTTGGACTGGGTTTGCGGGGAGGCCGTTTTAGGCTTGGTGCCATACTATAGAACACGAGTTAGCCACAGATCTCGGCGGGACAGGAGAGAAGCTTGCCTCCCATCTGCTCCTGCGCGGTGGGCGGGCCTCACAGAAGGCGTGATCCGGGAATACCTACAAAGCACCACTTGTTGACAATTTCCTCGTACGAGGCAGAAGACATGGCAGCGCTCGGCGAATCGGTCGGCGAAGTGGAAATTGGGGCGGCTTTCGGGGGTTCGGATTTGGGAGCAGACGCCGGCTCCACCTTTTTTTCCGCAACAACGGGCGCGGCAGTTGGCGAACCTACGCTCTTGTTGCGCTGCTTCATGTACAGGCCGTCGGACTTCCCAGACATCTCGTTCTTGGCGCCCTGAATGGCTCGGCTGAGAGAGTTGCCAAAGTCGTACCTCAGAGCAAACTGACCGCTGGGACCAGTCAAACCCTTGGAAAGGTTGTCACTCGGGATGTCGCTGGAACTCTTGACTCCCTTCAACCTTAATCCCGTGCCACTCGTCTCGCCGAGGTAATCGTGGATAGCTTTGTCAACCGGTTTCTGGTTCTCGCCAAACTCATCAGACCGACCACGGCTCGGCTTGGCCTTCGGACTAGAGCGGCGGTTGCTCTTGGGAAGCCCGTTCGAGGAACGAGAAGCAGCACCGGCGGAGCCCGGTTTGCCGGGCTGCGGAACCAGCTTCTTGCGGAAGTCTACTTGGAAGTTGATGCCGTTGTTGTTGTCCCAGTACTCTTGTCCATTGACAGTGTACCGGAGGCAAAAGTACAGCGTTTTAGCCTCCAAGTTCGCCAGATCCGAGAGTTTGATGGTGAAGTTAAACCGGTCCTGCGCTTGTGTCGTGTCGTCACCTCTGATCTCGTTAACGTACTCGGCAGTGACTTCCGATGTTGTTTTCCAGTAGTCGAGTGTAAACCGACAGGCAACGAACTTCTGGAAAGCCAGGTTGGCGACTGCTATTGAGCCAACCAGGGACTTTTGATCCGCCGAGAGCCACACTCTCTCTAGGCGCACAGGCTGCATCTTGCGGACGGGTGTGTCCACGGGAAAGTTATTCATGATGATTTCCCACTCAAACGACGAGGTGCGCGTGCTTGATCGGCTTTCCGTCGAGAAGGGGTACTCGGCGTCGCTGTCATAATTGTCCACCGGTGATGAACCGGCGCTCACCGCCAGCGGCCTGTCAACCTGAAGAAAGTGCCTTACATGTTCCAGATGGGAGTCAAAGTGGACCACCTTAGAGAACGTCGGGGTCCCGGGCATGCTTGAGGGCCGCCTGCGAGAGGCGGGCCGGAGCGCTGGCCTGACGAGCTCACCAGACTTCTTGCGAACCATTTGGGGCTTCCGTCGCCGCTCTTCATCGGTGTCTTCCTCCGACCCTGTGCTAGAGCTGGCACTGGATTTGCTGATGGTGATGTGCGGCTCGGTGGCCGATCTGGTATGTGTGTACCGACGTGTGCCTCCAACCTTCAACTCAGAAAGTGACCCGGTGCTAAAGTTGTGATGCACGGCCTCCGTCATGGCGTTAGCTTGGGTCGGGAGAACAAGCAAGTCCCCGGCATCTGAGGCCTCGGTACCGGGTGCTGCTCCTGCAGGCACACGGTTTCTTTGCTGAGGTATTTGGCTGATGGCCGCATGTAACTCCTTGATGTTATCGATCTGGCGGCCGCGAACTTCGGGCTGTTCATCATCGTCGCTCGCGGAATCAGGAGGGGAAATAATCGCGGCGTTAGGAATTCCGCGGACCGCGGTAATGGGGGGAGGTGATTGTCGAAGGCTACTCCCAGCGGCCAGGCTCTTCAGATCCTCCGATGTTGCCTCGGGCGACAACTGGCTCCCCCGGGCCTGCGCTGATGGCGAGCGACGGTGTTTCGTGAGATACGACGCGGAGCGTGGCAATGCCGGCCGCGCGTTGCTGTTTGGTGGTTGGTGGAAGGATGGGCGGCGGCTCCCATCTGGGGACGGAGGCCCCGAGGAAGCCGGTGAACGCTGTGGTGGTGTGTAGGGCATTCTTCTCCTCGCACAGACCTCGGCCAAAGCAGAGTTGGCTCCACGACGATGGGGTCAGAACGGTGGAGTAAAGCTGCCGAGTCTTAGAGCCGGGTCATGGGTGGCGGGCGGTTGTACGGGCGACTGGGAGAAAGGACGACAACTGGAGAAGGGTTCAGAGGTCAGTTCACGGCTCGCACAAGTTGTTCGGGTAGAGCGGGAGACTAGGGAAAGGAACGAGCCGAGCATCGGGTGCCGAACGGGAAAAGCAGTGAAACTTTTGTTTCCCTGCGCAGCCAACAGCAGTGGCCAAAAGAAGGGTCGTTTGCGGACTATGACCAACACTGACCTCGAAGAAAAGAATGCTGACTCAAGCTACTCGAGCTGAATGAAGATCGGACAAGAGCCGGCCGGGCAATATTCCAGCAACGCAAGCCAAGCTCTGTTTAGATCCGTGACAGCGAGTCCGTTCGCAAAGTAGAAGCCGCTAGGGGGGTCTTTGCGAGACGGATGATGTGCCGCAAAGGGAAGGGTATGGTCGGGAAGACTGCGGACCACGCTGAGGGTTGTCCACCTATGATCGACTGAAAGGCCCCTCTACTTCTTGTCTCGTGGTGGCCGCGATTCTGGCCAACGTGCCCGTTTCGGCGGTCGTCGGGATGGCGGCCGAAGGGCTGATGGAAGCAAAATAGAACGATGCTCCTGCTGGGGCTCGAGGCCGATGCCAGCAACGAACGTTCGGGGAGAGTTCCTAGGGTGCTGGCTGTGACCTGTCAGCAGCCTGCTCCTGGGCGAGGGGAAGGACCTCGATGGGGCTTGTCAAAGGAAACAAAACACAGTTGTGCTTGAATGGCGAGAGGGGAGCGGGAGGTTCAATGGCAACGGCGGGACCAGCCCAGTTTTGAAGGACGTGACATGGTTGGGGGACAGACTGGGGGTGTGCGAGGTGATGGGGGCAATGGGCATGGGGGTGGGGCGAGACCCGGCGTGGTCGTGCAAGGAACTCGCCTCGACACACCATGGACGGGTTACATGGGGAGTGGTGGTTCAAGTTGTGGGTTGCGACATGCCTTCTTGGGGGACGGCACTGGAGCGTTTCCAAGGTTGGCTGGAGACGCCAATGCCGGCGGAAACGCAAGCTGTACTCGGCTCTGCACGTCAGAGGACTAGACACAAGAGCGTTCAGTTCATGTCGCGCTTGCCTCGGGGGCGGGAATGCGAGGCAACGAAGCAAGGTCGAAGGAGAGAATGGCGAGTGATGGGGGAGAGGACTCGCAGCGATGCAGGTCGAACCTGCCGGTTGGGATGGCACCAGGGAGGCGTGGATGGAGTGCTTCCTGCAAGACGCATGCAAAAAAGGTTGGTGGGGCCATATGCTCCACTGCTCGCTTTTTTTTGGGCAAGGGTGGGGCCGATGGCAAAGGCGACAGGGCCTAGCCAGCCAGGGCAAGCCCATCTCCCAAACCAACCGGGCTGCAGTCTTCGCCCGTTGTGAGCGGCGTTGCGGCAGTCCCCTGCTCTGGCGCATTTGTAACTTGGTCTGCGCACTGTACCATGGCTGGGCCCGGCTGTGTACGATGTGAACCCCCCAAACCTCGAGCTTTTCGCAACATCCGATAGAGCCCCCGATGCCGGCGCTGATACGGATATTCGCAACCCAGAGTCCCAGATGCACGCAACATCCTTTCCATTTACTGCGTCGCCGATCAGGGAGATACCGGTGGCGGCCATCACTGGGGGAAGATTAGGAAAGGGGTGTGAGATACGGAGTGGTCTTGCCGCTTCGCGAGAACAAACTCCAACTGCCCGGCTCGTCCGGATGGGGTGTCATTCCTGAAAGCGCTCGGTCATTGTGTGTGGCGCCGCGCCTTTGCTGGATCCGGTGGGAACGAGCAACTCACTTTGGGGGTCTAAGACAGATCTTTTGAGGCAAGAAAGGAGGACGGGACGTTTTGATGCGAAGAATTGCACCAATGTGCGATGTCCTTGCAATAATCCCACGATCCCTTTGGTCTGGAGCTGGAGCCGGAGTACCACGCCCAGTGCGCTGAGCCTCAGTGCCACTTACCGGTAATTACGGTAAGCCGGCGGGCAGGCAGCTGCAGCGCCTCCTTGGCAACCCCTGGCGCAGCAAGAACAACACTCGGAGAAGATGGCGTGGGGTGGAAGATCCAAACCTCAACGATCAAAACTTCGTCCTGAGAGTGTGCTTCGTTGCCTTCCGACCATAGTAGAAAGACGAGCTGGTGAGAAGAGGGTGGTAAAATCGCGCGACATCAGTGGTCCATGGCACGGGTGTGTTCAACTTCCAAACCACCGCCCCCTTCCTCACTCCTTGGGTATGGGATGAGGAGCGGTTTCCAGGGATTCCACGATCGTTAGGAGACTGCGCCGCGAGGAGAATTCCCTGTAATTCGCCGAGCGTCTTTTACGCAACTTGTGGGGGAGTACTCTGTAACCAAGTGGAATGGTATTTAAGCCATGACGAAGAACAACAGATGGATACGTTGAGATTCCCGGTTTGTGAACTCCCAGTGGCGCGCAACTCACCAGCTTGCCAACAAGATTTGAAACTGAATCGCTCAGACATTGCCTCCAGAACATATACTCAGGAGCCGACCGATACATTCCCTGTGCAGTATTAATGGTGTTAATTGGATTTCCCTCCAGCTCTCCAGTAACCCGTCCTCGATGTGACGTCGAGTAGAAGAACAGTGCCTGTCCTTTGCCTTGAAGTCTCGCCAAGCCGGTGCCTGGCTCGAGCCCCGGCCAACTCCGGCTCCGTCTTCCAGCCCGGCGACCGAGCCGATTCCCTTCAAGTTCGGTGTACATAGTACACTAACGCAAACTGTGTCGTGTTGGTTGGACGGGGACGAATGTACGTGTATGGTGGCTGCCAGAAATATCAAGGATCGAGACACAAAGTGCTCTAACATGAGTTTTCTCCCAAGGAGACGCCAAACTTTTTATTCTGGGGCTCCGGGCTCTCCCGCTCAACGCGACCGAGCTCGGGAGACTCCAGTGCGATTGATACCCGTACCGTTACTCTGTAATTACATGGTCTTGGCTGTCAAGATCCCAACCCCTTGGGCTGCCGCCCATTGTCTGCTAACGCCTGCAACGCCACTGCACAAGCCCCCTCCCCCACCCAAAAAACCAAGGTAGCCGCTAGCGAGTTACTGGATGTTTGCTCCGGGATGTTCGATTTCCGCGGCGGACAGGAGTCAGCAACGAGGGGGGAGAAAGTCTTTGCGCACAAGCATCGCCGAGCATTTTGCCCTCGAAGGGTTAAAGCATTTCAGCGTCGTGCTCCTCCACTAGTGTAATCCCCTCTAACCCTTGGACCCCGCCACCTAGGTCAAGAAGAGGGATGGAGCATGCTTGGGCCCCGTACCATTCTCAGCGAAGTGCTGTGAGTTTGTTCCTCTCAACTTCCGCTTGATGATTGCGGCGATTTTCCTCACTTCGCATTGCGGGGTGTTTGTCATGCTCACAGGGGGCACGCAACCCCGGATTGTCAAGCCTCACCCCAGCTTCTCATCGAAAGTCCAAAAGATTTCACCCAACATTCCCAGGCCGCCGACACCGATGTTGACCAACGAACGCCGAGGCTGTGTGGGGGTTTTCAAGGACATGGGTCAAACAAGCACGTTGCGCAACGACGAGCAAGCCCACTCTTGTCGTCCGCGACACTGTTCTCTGTGTCCCACAATGCGATCGAAGGCTCGTTTGATGACTTCTGGAATGCGGCGCGGTGACACATGACCAGATCGTTCGCGGCACAGGTTGGTTAGCTTGAGTCGACCTGACACTGATGGATTGTTTCAGCCTCTCAAAGCCCATCCACCCAACAACTTTTGATCACGCCAGCAATCGCAAGTAGGAAGTCGGTGGTTTCATTCATCTTACTGCTGACGACCAGGAAAAGAAATGTTGCCGGCGCCTCCAAACCTTCGGCCAGCCGAAAATTCGGGATGCCGACCCCCACGACCGCCTCCAACAACCCTGGTAAAATTTTCCGCGCTTGGTCACCCACACTCTGGAAGAGCAGGAGATGCTACCTGCACTGATGTGAATGGAAGTCGAAAGGGCCCGCAACTATTCAAGTTGCTCACTCACTCAGAGTCACCTCCCCTTATTAATCCCTCTTCTGTTACCTCACCTTGGTGGACATGCCATTAACGTTACCCCGTCTGTCGCTTCGATGCTGGGCTTTGAGAGAAACGCGCGCGCAGTCGCTCTGGGGATCGAGCCTTGGCCTGGGCCATCGGTTTCTCGTCGATCCGCTCTCATCCGGGCGGCAGATGCATTTTTTCAATGTAACAGCCGAACAGGAGAGCAGTCTGGCCGCTTTCAAGCATTCCCCAAAAAGTGTAAGATCTACCCTTATCATTGCAGCAGTCTCGCAAGGTGCGCAGAGATTGCCTGCCGAGCCTCCGGGCCTTGCTCACTGTCGCACCTTGCGATTTGTCGCAATCGCCCCCGCGCCTGCCATTGGCGAATCATTCGGGCTTATCTCCGTAACTCGCCCACACGTGGGGATTCGCGTGCTTGTCAACGGTTTGTTCGCGGTCAGCGTGAGGCAGCCTCAGTATCAGCCAGGGAAATCGCACTGTGTCTTGAAACTCCAAAACTCGAGACACCCACGACATCAGACGGTCGGTGAGCACCGGCCTCGAGATATCATCACCAGTTGAAAACTGAAGTGCGCAGAACAACCCTACCCTTATTGGGTCGCTACCTTGAGCGACATGATCCGACAAATAGCCTTCATTCAAGACAAAGGCATCAACATATTTCCTGCCTGGAGAAACAGCTTTGGGGCAGGAACCTGGCGATGACTGGACCGTTGTGGGAGTATACGTTGTTAAAGGAAGAGAAAAGAAAAGAAAACTGGCGGCGACAGTATGTGCGGGAGGTCTGCAAAGCGACCGCGACATGAAGTGCTGAAAGTGGAATATTTGGCCATTAGCACGGTGTCTTGTCCATTTCTCCTGGGTGAGCCCGGGCTCCTCTGAAGT